TTTTGTCTCCAGCAAGTCAAATGCAGCTCAAAACACTTTTCTGTATGATACCGCATACTGACTAGACAGATTTTTGGATCTAGTATTGAGAATAAACAGGTACACATTATATATAAGAAATATAAGAATTGCATTAGTGTTTTGATATTTATGGACTCAACTGTAAATGAAATATGAGGACATAGCAACATAAGGGAACATATTCAATTATTTATATGGGACAAAAAAAAGAAACACGGAAAGCTATATTTATGATTTCAAGACTGGTCATAAAGCCGAAGTCGTACTGTAATAGTAATTATGTTTTTTTTAAACAGCTGACCATGCATATCATCGAAACCTACCTTAACTTTGATGCCATGGTGTATAGTATGTGACGGTAAGGCTAACACTGGGAGAAAGTAGGCCTGTGTAGTAATGATGTAACGATAAGCGGCTGAGAGACACTTGCTAGCGTGTGCTGGACCAGAGAGGCTTAAGGGCGCGTGTGTGTATGTCTGTGTGTGTGTGTGTGTGTGTGTATGTGTGTTGTGTACGTGCGTGCGTGTCTGTGTGTGTGCGCGTGCGTGTGTGTGTATGTATGTATGGGGGAGGGATGCTTTATGTAACCACTAGGGCCTGTACACCTCCTTGCACTGCTAATACGGCTTCCCCCGAACGCAAGCTCACTTTAAACAACTGGATAACAGAGCCCACCACAGGCTACTATAAAGATACGGGCATTAGTAGCAGCGGACAAAAGATTATCTGGAATCTTCTCTCCATGGCACAGTGTATACTCAATGTTTGCTTTATCACTTATGAAAAACAAAGTCAATAACTGTTTTATAAGCTCCAGAATGCTACTTGCAAAAATGATAATCTATAGCCACAAAGAGCCGGAAAAGGGAAGAAGAATATTTCAACTGTACATAGTCAGTGTTTGCAGAAGAGATTGGACATTGCTATATTGAAGAACATGGCAAATGATGTGGAGGACTGGGATAGACATGGGTGGTACAAGCCCAACTGTTCTCTTTCTGGTGGTGCACACCGGGGTAGTCTTGCACAGTTTTTCCTATGTGGTTTTACTGCAAATGGCAAATAAATGAATCTGAATCTGAATCTATGGATGCATAAAGAACCTGATTAAGTCTAGATTAAAAGATCCTTTATATGTCCCACAGGGGGAAAATGTCAGTGTTGCATGACAAGTAACAGAATCAATCAGTATGATTGAAGAGCACATAACACAAGGTAAAGGAACAATAACTCTACACTGAAATAAATTAAAATCTCTAGCTAACATATCTTACTTATACATAATAAAAAAGCAAGTATAAAATCTATACTTTAGCATAATAAAAAAATCTCTAACTTTTGCGTATGATAAAATAGCAAGTCTAAAATCTCTCGCTTTAGCATAACAAAGAAGCAAGTATAAAATCTCTGACTTTAGCAAAATGTCTGTACTTAGCTTGTTAAGAAGCATTACAGTTACTTGTATTGTGTTGCATTATGTTCTGAGATTATTTATGATTTGAAAACTTGCCTTGCCTATATTTTGTGTTCTCCTTGTGTGCTCTTTCTACCGTCCTGTATGTGTGCTGCAACATCAACATTTCCCCACTGTGGGACGAGTAAAAGTTTTCTTATCTTACGTGTATCTTTACTTGAATAGACTTCTACCTCAATAGGTTTCAAGCATTGTGTGTGATTACGTAACAAACTTTTATAAAAGGGCCAGAAAAGTTTTGTGCTGGAGTGTGTGTGTTCGTTCAGTGACTGCAGGCTACAGGACCGGGAAGGATGCTATTCTTAGTCAAGCACTGCAGCATCACAGAGCACCAGCCTCTCTCCACACAAACAGCCACCAACTCAAGTTTACATGATTCTGTGGAGAGTGTGGAGAGCCGTGTGGGGGTTTGGGGGCAATGTGAGGCTTCTCTGACGTCCAAAAAAATACTTGACATGGACAAAAAATACAAGCTAGAATTTAGAGTGGCATCTTTTCCCCCCATGTTTTTGTTGTGTTGTCAAATAGATGATTTATTTTTGTGTTGGTTGTGAGTGATGTGTCAAAAAAAATTCTAAAAATATATAGTATTATTATAATAATAATAATTATAATAATTATTATTATTATTATTAAAGAGCAGTATGTAAACATCTGGCCATAAGTGGTACTGCAACCTCTCCCACTCTCTCCGACTCTAATAACTGAATAGACAAGACTTTTGTCAACAACAAATCTATAACCAACACTTTTTTCACAAAGGCCCAGATAGAAATCCTTGCTGTATTCCTTTATGTTATTAAGGATTTGAGAATCATTACAAGACCTTTTTTAGTTCTGCGGCCACAAGGTACTTTGCCAGTGAGATTAGCTCGACGCGGTGAGTTCTGGCAACCCGGATCACGGACTTTCTGATTGGTAAAACGATAGAGGGCGGGACATTGAAATGAAAACAATAACAAGATTTAGGGGCTGTGAAAGTATTTTTGTAATTGGAATATCTCGGCTGAACTACTGTTAACAGTTAAAGAAGTATTTGAAAAGAGCATAGTTTATTATTGCCTTTTGACATTAGGGCCATTTAATGATAAATGTGATGTTAAACAGACAAAACAAGTTATAGATGGACCACTAAAATCAACAACAGAATATATACAAGAAAGAAATGGAAGAACACATAGGGAAACGTGTGTGAGGAAGCCTGGTTGCTGTATAGAAAGTGTCCTTATGTAGTATTCTGTTGCAAAGTCTTTGCAGATGAATTTGATTAGTTGGCTATATGAATGAAAATGTGGGATTTGCATTCATTTTACATCAATGATGAGTATTTGGAAGCATTTTGAAAAAATAAACGTTTTTAAAAGTAAAAAGTGACAATCGACTACAAAAGTGTTTTTTTATTTTTCTTTATTTTTGTTTTCTAAAAAAACAAAACATCCAACTTTAGAAGGGGCTTTAGAATCCATCTCTTGAATAGTAACTGGATGTAGTATAATAGAATAGATAACTCATTGGTGAATGTTTTAAGTTTGGTTTTGAAAAAGAGAAAGACGTTTGTACTTTCCTACACAGTGTTTTTATTTACAGATGAGCAACGTTTTGGTCGTGAGGCTTCGTGGGCCTCATCATTTGCCTGACAAAGACCATGACCCATTCTCTTACGCACCTACCAAAATGTGGTCATGAAAGAGCCTGGTTTGATCTGGCCTTGTGCTCTGTGATGTTTGCTCTTTGTGGACTTCATTAGGCTGAGATCAAGCAGGGTCTGTCTGCTGTAAATGTGTGTCCCTTTATTGATGTCCAACACAGACTTCAGCTAAAGAAAGCATTGTGCAGGACCAGGGTTTTTCTACCCTGAGCACCAAACTAAACAACATTTCACAAATGGAAACAGCCCCCTGCGGCTCTAATGCCACGCTGTCACAGCAAATACACTGCACCTGTCTGCACCTTTACCTTAACCACGCTGCAGTAAAAATGGTAACAGTAGTCAAAGGCTTTTCTCCAAACTGGAAAATGTAAAAATTTGTTTACTCTCTTGACTATAAATTACAGTTTTTCATGCTGCAACACTTAACACCACAGCTGAAGCCAATAGACGACTTTTTAACACAACAAGATTTAATAATGAGCTGTGGCATTGTGCTTCTCATCTTTACACTATATACTGTATATATATATTTAAAATTAAAGTACTTTCTGGACTTTAAGTGAACTGTATATATGCTATATTCTACTAAATAAAAAAAATGCATTTTGAGTTTTCGTAATTTGTAAATGATGTATGTAAGTAAATGCGATAAAAGATAATAATTTCAACCTCTAAATTAAAACATGTCCTGACATTTAAAGTGGCTTCAAAAGTATTCATACCCATGAACCTTTCCACAGTGTGTCATGTCACGACCACAAACAACCCTATCCCTAACTTTTTTTTTTTTCAAAGAATTTATGTGAAACAGATAAAACTTAATAGGGGACTACTATAATCAATAACTAAAATCCTTATTTAGTAATTTGGTTACTTTGATGCATCGAGGGTTCATTTTAAGTTATTATTTGCACCTTTGAGTCCCCAGACTCAAGCTACACACATAGTGTTTCCTGATCAATGTTGACAATTTCATCTTAATGAAAAAATAAAATAAAAAGAACAATGGACTTGATGGCAGCACAGTTTATGTCAAAGGTTCATAATTTGTTTCTCAAGGCCCAATCAGAAAGCAGAATTAGCATCATATGAAGATTTGAGTTGCCAGTTTATTTGGTGAAATTAAAGCTTAACCTTATACTCCTGCAGCTGCATGTGTTTGTGCTAAACATGCAGTGAGAACATGGCCATAAAGGCTTCTGGCTGAAAACCAGTAAGATCAGGAATTGGCATTTTGTTTCTTTAAGTTTAAAATCTATATTCAGTTGTGCATTAAATCACATGATTAAATAATGTACATAAAACAAAATATATTCCATATGTCATTCTTCTCTTTTGTATTTACTCTGCTCTGGCCGGAGATGTTTGAATATGTACTGAAAACATCAACAATACTTATTATAAAAGTTCCAAATTCAAAACATACCTACAAGTTTGTCACTTACGTGGCAATAAACATGATTCTGATTCGGATTCTGATGTTTTTATAGCAAGTCATAAATATATTATTTTTGGAATGCTCATAAAGCAAATTTGACTTTTACATTCTATCACCTCAGTTTTGTTTCATATTATGGCCCCAGTAGCACTGACCGCTCTGTTGGTCGAGTGGCTCATGGGTAAATGTGCGTTCCTCTGAGACTTTGCCCCAGCTGCAGTAACAACACATCAATCTGGGTCAAATGATCAGTATCAAGTCAACAACAACATCAGTTGTTTGTGTTTGTTTTTACTTCAGCAGCCTATAACATGCACACCACAATACACATGGCGGTAGAGCACTTCAGACAGTTCTCCAAAAGCTGATAGTGCAGCTTGTGTGCAGTGGAGGCATGTTGTGTGCAGTGGAGGTACCTGCAGCCTCTCGGGCGGCTCTCTGCCGCTGACAGACGCCTTTGGAGCGGGTGAGCGCTCACACGTGCAGCCCTCCAGCAGGTAGATGCCCGACGGCCTGGCGCTTTGGTCGTTCTCAAAGTAGAAGAGCACATTCTGGTGCAGGGCGAAGTACTTCTCAGCCCAGCGTCCGTTCTCCGTGGTCTTCTTGCTGAGGAACCCCCGCTTGGCGCCCTCTTTCCGGGCGATCACTGACAGATAGAGAGCGTGCCCCTCATTGTACCGCACGCTCTTCTGCATTTCACCTGAATGTTCTCCGTTTCAATGTGTTGCCAACTTCATGAAGTCATTTGAAGACATTCTAAAATGTAAATGTGGAGCAGGGAACCGGTCAATAAGACTGTTTTAGTTTGCTGTGCTGATAATCCAGGTTTGCCATTTGAAAAAGTTGGGATGTCAACAAAGCTCCGTCTCCGCTGGTCCGTGCGTGCTCTCAGAGGGCCCCCATGCTCCAAAGTCAGACTGAGTTTACGTGTGTAGAAAAGACCCTCCTCTGGAGGACAGCCCACCCTGTCTGGGGCGCAGGGATGCAGATGTGGAGTCCTCGTCGCAACGAAAATAGACACATCGAACAGACGGTGAAAACAGAATCACCACAAGATCAGCGGTAATCGGCTTTGACACCAATTTAAAGAGACAGGTCCCGCTCCCGCCGCGCTGCATCAAAAGTTTCGATCTGTGTCTGTCTGTGTGTGTGCGAGAAAGAAACGCATCTTATCATAGAAACATAATCCAAGAGTCATACAAATCATGCCACATGTACCTACACAGAGCGACGGAAAGATACACATTCAGAATATGTCTGTGTAGGACATATATAAGGCTTAGAACAAGCTGCTGTATTAATACCCACGAACACTATTACTAATGGAGCCCTCTGGTGGATTTGGAGTCCTAAACATGAATGATTTGTGTTGCGTTAAGTTACACTAAAATTGAAATACATAAGTAGTACAATATCACTGTTTGTTTAAAATAACTGACTTACACAAATTTGAGTTATTAAAGTTTCAAATACTTAAAAATACTTCCGTTGTTTCCAGACACATATAGGTCATGTGTTCTAAATGGGGCATATTAACCATATATTAACAATTCAATAACCCCAATCAAGTGTTGGTGTGGTGCTTGATGGCACATTCTGACATCCCCAAGTCATGAAGAGTCCAGGATCAATGTCAGGATGGATCCTGAACTCTTACCCCTGGTTGGTTGGCAATAACATTGATCCTGAGCAAACGACTTTGACATTGATCCTGGACTCTTAATTACGTCGTGATTTCAGATCGGCCATACTTGATGGTGAAGCCTAACATGCTGAATGAACTCTTGAGGTAAAGCCACAGACTGTAAATCAGGGGTGCTCAATACGTCGATCGCGATCTACCAGTCGATCGCAAAGGTAGTATTGGTAGATCGCATTAAATAAATAAAAAAATACACATTCTAAACGAATATATACAAAAAACTCCGGGCAAAGTGGAGATTTTTGAAAACTCCGTTAATGCATTTGTGTGTAGACAGAGATAACCGGAGTTTTGCGTTCTCGCACGCCACAGTACCCCCCTAAATTCCTCTGATCACTGAAGCATGGATCATACTACCTTAAAAACTGTTCGCTGTGAGATGCTCGCAGCAGCAAACATCCTCGCTCCACATCAGAGAGCAGCAAAGTGATCGCAGGGACTCACGCTCGAAAACAACCAAACCAGGACTAAACCAGGGCTAAACCAGGGCTAAACCAGGACTAAACCAGGGCTGAGGACGGGGTCAGTGCTTGTAAACATACGTCTTTACTCTGAGTGTCTTCTATGACTGTAAAAGTGACGTTACCGGCGTCTGCATCAAAGCTCCGCCCACTTCCGTGTTTTTCCCCAACGCAGGACAGGCAAGCCCCGGCGATCCAAGATGGCGCCCTATTCAAATGAATGGTTGTGCTCAGTGGCGCTTTGTGACAGCATGGGGGCTGAAAGATTAGCGGAAGTTGCCTGAAACTCGCAAAGATCTATGGGAAACTCGCCTGTATTTGGGCATCGTCTGGTCCTCCCGGTTCTGCGCGGTGGATGATCTCCCATAATGCATTGCGCCAAACACGCGTGTGTGGGTCTCACACCAGGTCTCACGCACGTGCACAGAGGGGCTCGGCCGCGCTCTGACCAATCAGAGCAGTTCCTCAGAGCGGGAGTTAGAGCGAGAGCCAGAGGAGCAGAGTTTGTGGCACTAAAGTGTGGATTTAAACAAAACCGAAGGATTTAAGAAGAAAAAAAGTTCAGGATGACAAGGGACACTAACATCCCCACAAAATCCGATCTTTATTAAAGCTGTAGGTTCTCTGTCAGCTGAGGTTGAGCTGTTTTAATATGCATTGAGTTCTATGGGGAAAATTTCTGGGTAGCCCGCGTGAATTTAGTCTGGTTCAGTCTGCAGTACCACGAGAATCCCCCGAGCACATGAGTTATTCAGCTACAAGCTAGTAATACCCTATCCAGTTAATATAATAGATCCATGAGGACAGGACGTAAGAGACGCACATGTTTGGAATGTTACAAATGTGATTGATAACGCAGATGTGTGGATGCAAATTATTTTATAAACTGAGGAGGGGAAATATTTGGATTTAAAAAAAACAGGCATGGCACATGGACATGGCACCACAGTCAAATGACATCTGTGTTTTACTCAGTAATGTTTTACTGACACTTAGGTGACTGCACATGCGCAAACAACCGCGCTCAGTGCAGGAAAGCTAAACCACGACAAACTTGTCAGCGAGTTACCACCAATTTTCCGGACTATGCATCCCTGGCCGATTCAATTCAGTACAAGTCATAAGAGTAAACTCGGGTAATGACAAAAAATGTACATAGGTAATTGTGTTTTGTTGTGCTATATTGGCTCATGCGGTTTTGCATGTACATAAACATACATTGTCGATATAAAGAATATTTTTTGAAATAAATATATGATTTGCATTTTTGTAGTAGGTAGATCATTTTGACTTGATCCTTTTATAAGTAGCTCGCATGCTGAAAAAGTGTGAGCACCCCTGCTGTAAATAGTAAAGTGCTTCATCCTAATGCGTTCATGTACTGCCCTCTAGCGGTGATGAGACGAACAGCCGATTGTACCCAGTTACTATGGTTACATCTATCCTTGTTCAAGTATATTATAGCATATTAAAGCTCACAAAAGCTCAGACAGCAGCCTCTCACATCACTAAGGCAATCTGTCTTATTCTTAGTCACCTTTGCTGCTAAGGAATAAGTATGTTTTGCCTCAATTACTGATTTAAAACAACATAGACAGAACATGATTTAAACAAAAATGTTCACAGAGCCCTACATCCACTCAATTAACACTCCCACTCCTTTGTGTTAAACTATTTCTATTGTACAATTACAATATGAGTAACATCTCTGCCTTCTTCACGGTTGTCATGGAGATGTCATTGAAAAACAAGATAAGGATGTTTTTTTTTCTCACAACATTCTTTTGAAAACCAGTATTGGTCACAACAACAGATATGCCATGACGCTTTCTCTCCCTGGTTCAGTGCGTTCAACCTCTCCTGTGCCTCTTCTCTCAAGAGCACTCAAGCTCCGGTCGCCGCTGCAGAGAGAGGTTTCTTGGAGCTGCCCACCATCATCACCAGCGCCCGCCTGTCACTTTTGCCTTTGATTTCACGTTTAGTTTGAGGAGAAAACAGGCTGGAGAGGAGTTTCTGTCACCACCCCCCCCCCCCCCCTACATACACTGAGTCAATGCCCTGACACCCAGAGCAGATGCCCACAAGGGAGGACTGACTGTCTAATGTAAGTACTAAAGCTAATATCAATTACAAGTCATGATTTGTCTGGTTATGTGTGCTTACAGGGGTTTGGAATCATTCAAATGTCAAATCTGTTATATCTATTATGTGAAGGACAAGCTTAACGTGCATTTAACAGTCGTGAGCTCACAGATGATGAAGAACGAAGTGAAGTGGACTTAAGCTGCATAGTGGTTAGCAGATTGCAGGGGTTGGAAACAAGCAAAAAAAAAGGAACACAGAAGTACTATTGTCTCCACTAAAGGACATTCGCCATCATACTTTACTGTAGTTTTGACTCAATTGAACAGGTAATGAATATAAAGCACAAGGTAAGAATATTGTGGAATGTGTACCACGAAAGCCTTATGCAAACTATTTGACAGAACAGCAGATTTCAATCTAAATTGAAAGTATGTGAAATGCATGCATGAGAGTCTATAGACAAAGCCACAATTATATACATTAATACATATAGTTTGAGTGAAAGCGATTTCATCTAAAATCAAGCTTTTCCTTTTCTATAATTCTATTTATCATGGCTTGATAAAAGAGAATGCAGATGGTGTTCGGCAACATAATCATACCCAGCAGTGATGTCAATGGTGACGGAAGCAGCAGATTGTATAAAGACAAAAACACTATCACTTTATTGAAACACTTTGCTTTTTGAGATAAGAATAAGCACAGTGACAACAACCGTCTGTGGTCTCAACATTTCATCCCTGTAAGTGAGACTTTTTTTCAATTTGAATACGCTGATCAAAGGTTATTTTAATGTTAATCATCTCTAGGCTTTTGATTTGAACATATAAGCTGATTTGTATGTTATTCAAACAATAGAAGTCTGTTGTAAAAATCAAATCAACTTCTCTGGCTTTTTGTTCCCAAATTTGCATAAAAAGCAGAACATAACACGGTTAAAAGGTTAAACTATAAAATCTTATCTTGTCTTCTCATGGAAGTGAATTGTTACAATGTATGTGACAGTGACATCTATTGTAGAATCTAGATCAATATGTGCCACTTCAGATGAGATAAAACGGCCTGAATCAATTGCTTGTTTATGAAATAGCAACACTTAACACTAAAACCTTTGCTGTATAATCAGGAAAACATGATGCAATGTTCAACAGAAGTAGTATTTGGGACATTTAAACCATTTAGCCTTTTGTAGTTTCAAATTTGTGTCGTTTGTGTTTCTTGTACATGACTCATGCAGAAATGTGTCTGAGACATTGATGACTGCCACATTAGCTGGTGGATTTGAGTGAACCAAGGACAAACAATTCAACAGGAGCTGCAGACTGATGAAGCAACAGTGACATGGGAGAGAAAGACATGAATGACATGGGACCCCACACTAATCTGCAGAGGAAAGCGTCTCATTAAAAAACTTTTCTAAAGGACTAGAACTCTAAAGAAGAAGAAATATTGCAGTGTAATTATGAACCTCCCAGTTTTACTATTGTATGATTTTGGTCATACGCACCATGTTGTGGCTGCTAATGTTGTTTTATACTGTATATGCAGTTTAAAGTAAATGTTTACTAAATAATTCACTAAGAATATTCGTTCACAACACTATCCCACTTTGTTTTGTTGTGGATTGTCACAAGAGGGTTGTGATTAATTGTGACTAATTGTGGCTAATTGCTTTTTGCAAATACAATTGATTACTTCTTTACCACATAAGGACAATGTTACTTTTATAATAGTTTCTACATTAAAATAAGGGCTTCTATGTAAACTACAGCTGTAGCCACAGCTGCCCTGGGACAGACTCAAGGCAACCATTCTGCACCATCGGCCCCTCCAATCAGCACCAATCATTCATGTACACAACAGATGCATATTCAGCAATATGGGTGAAGTGTCTTGCCTAAGGACACAACAACAGTTTGGCACTTCAAAGCTGCACTCTATGGCACTGCTGTTAGAGGTCTCCCATCACAGTACTACCCAGGCTTCAATTATACCCTTCTTTACATTCACCAACACATTCTGAAGTTAAAACTGTTTGGTAAGGGGTTAGAGTCGCTGTTTGTGTGTAGTTTGCAGGCGTCATCTCAAATAAAAACCACCACTGAACCACTGAAAGATCAAGGCTATGCTCACACTCAGAGAGCAGCCGTCCTCCTGTGGACTCACCACCTGCAGAGGATCAGTGAGGGGCTGGTGCTATGAGACTTGGGTGGCATCTCTGACTGCCACCCCCCTGACCCAGAAATAGATTAAAGGGTAGAAAATGGATGGATGGATGGATCTCAAATAAAAGTTGTACTAAGCATATCACACTGACTCTAGGGTTTTAAGACCGACTTCTTCAAGCACTTTTTAAGTTGTGAGATATAACCTGATGTGTTTTTGTCTCCCAAACCTGCATGCATCCAGACCAAGTGATGGACATAGCAGCTGCAGTTGCGGACGCGCCCCTGGACATCGCGAACCCTCTCCTCAGAGCCGTGTTTCTGCGGCGCCTGCGTCTGACGCGGCTGCTTCTGGACGGAGGCGCGTATGTGAATGAGAGCGACGCCCGGGGCCACACCCCCCTCATGATGGCCTGCAGGACCCCACACTCTGACGGACAGAGTGCCAGCAGAGTCAAGCTGGTGCAGTTCCTGTTGGAGAGAGGAGCAGATCCCAACATCCAGGACAAGGCAGGCTGCTCCGCTCTCATGCACGCCTGCAGGGAGCTGGCCGGGGCGGAGGTCGTGTCCCTGCTGTTGTCCAATGGAGCAGACATCAGCCTAGAAGACCAAACAGGGACCTCTGCACTGGTCTATGCTGTCAGCGCTGGAGACTGGAAAGTGGTCAGGTTGTTACTAGACACCTGCAAGGCCAGTGGAAAAGAAGTCATCATTATAACAGCAGATAAATTGCCATGTGGTAAACTACAAGCAAAGCAGTACCTTGGGATGCCTCCAAACAGTCCCACTGACAGGCCTTCCTCGGCCGGTCCTACATCTCCTTCTGAAGTCCAGCTCATGACCTCTCTGCAGATGAGCCCCACAAACTCTTTACCGAGACAGTCCGTTTTCTCCTTCAAAGAGTCCTCAGAGAGCGGGGTGAGCGGAGTCAGCTCCCATCCCTGCTCCCCATCACGCCTTCATAGTCTCCAGCAGCCATTGCTTAGGCTGAATTCAGAGCCCTGGTTGAAAATCCCCACTTCTATTCTAGACCAGCAGCTGCATGCGAACCCAGAACAGGCTTCGGAGATGAATTGTAATAGAATACCAATAAAACACAATTCCAGTGAGGACAAGAACTCAGCTTCGGAAAGTTTGAAGATGTTTGAAGACAGCCTTACAAAGGAGAGAAAAGTTAAACATCACAAGATTTTGCTCCCTGGGATTCTCTCCTCTCACTCTGCTTCAAATCCCAACTTGCATTCTGAAAACTTGGGAGAGTCGGTGACCTCCTCTGCTTCATTCCCGAACAGAAAAGCACTGGGCACTGCATTGCATAGTATGTCCTCCTCTTCAAGTTTATACTCCATCATTCAAAAGCGTAAATTAGGGGGTGATATCTACAGCTCAGATCCACAGATTGCCATGAATGCTAAGAATATTCCTGAGGAGCCAGAGGAAGGAGCCAGTCAGACGGTAGAGAGGAATAAGCTTGTCCCAATACGCTGCTCTAGCACACTGGGGTCAAGAGAATCTCCGCTCTCTCACAGTCTGAACCGAAGGATGCTGTCCCAGTATGAGCGCAGGGGGTCTGGGACATTTCCTCAGGACCACCTCTCGCTGTGCAGCAGGCCCAGTGTGCTCCCACCATTGACCAGAACCAGCTCAAAGACATCTGTGCTCGGAGTCTTTAGCCTCAACTCCAGCAGTGCAGGGGAGAAAGAGAGGAGAACTTTGATCCCCTCGGCTCCTCCTGGGGCCCCAAAGGAGCTGACCAGACGCATGTTGCTAAGGCGACACTCGATGCAAACTGAATACAAAACCACTGTATAAATGCCATCCCTGTCCTGTCCCAAAGAAAATACAATAATTGAAATCCACTATAACCCAAACAGTCTATGAGTGTAAATTGTCTTGTAATTATTGTCAAATTTGTTGTGGTAAAATGCAGCATAAAATCAAATCCATTTAAATGAGTGAAATGTTCAATGTTCCCTTCAGGGACAATAATGTACCTGAGCCTTAACCTTAACAATAGAAGCCTGGGTTTCTGAGCCAAACGCATCACTGTGAAAACCTGCTTTGCCCACTCCATCATCCGACGACTTTTAAAAGCGAGACGGAGAAAGTCTAATAATTATATGAATTTATTACAAATCATTATACAAGTTACAAAAGTCTTTAACATGCACAGTATTGTGTGTATTTATAATGGAAGGAAGTCAAAATCATTGTACATATTTATATAAAAATAGTAAAAGTGATAAATGATGAATCACAGCAATCGCTAAAAAGGCACATTGTGTACAAAAAGGCCATATGTTCACAAGTGTCACATTGGTCTCATGTTAAAATGTTAAAATCAGACACTGAAATAAATACAAGAGCAGAGAGATGCTTATTATTCTGACGCACACATTAAAATAGTCACGATACTTTACACTCAATATTCATGCTAATGATTACAATGCCATACCCATTTCCATACCACTGTGATTATTTGAAGCTGTAACACAGAATAATAAAATAATAAAATAAAAATGTTTATAGTACCACAATGTTTGACCTAGTTCTATGGTGGATCAAAACGTTACTAAAGCAATTCAGGAAATTTCCAATTTTGTCTGTTTGTGTGAATACTTTTAGTGTCGATCTCATCTTTCTGAATGTTGATACTATTGGCAAACGGTCATTTGCTGAGAAAGTAAATATCCTTCCTCAAACTCACTATGGTTTAAGAGGCTTGCAGACTGAGGCTCATAGACCCCAGGCCGCCGCACGTTTCCATCAGGACATTGTTCACAGAGAGCTGCGGTCGCGCCTCAGCCGCCACGGTCGCGCCTCAGCCGCCACGGTCGCGCCTCAGCCGCCACGGTCGCGCCTCAGCCGCCACGGTCGCGCCTCAGCCGCCACGGTCGCGCCTCAGCCGCCACGGTCGCGCCTCAGCCGCCACGGTCGTGCCTCAGCCACTGCGGTCGTAGTTGCTCACCATCTGCTTGACATGGCTCAGTTTGGCCTTCAGGTATTTGCACCTGCGCCTCTTCAACTGATAATCGGCTGACTGTGAAAAGAGAATAAAGCTGATGAATATATGTTGCTTATTTGTGTTTTTTATTCATTTGTAGAAACAATCAATACCTTTTTCAAAGTCTTTATCCTTTTGTACTCATCCAAAGCATCCTATGGATTGAGAAAACGTTTGAATCAACCGTAAAAAATGAATCTAACAAAAGCATTACAGTAGAAACCAGTTTACATTCAATAAAACATCATTCATTTATTTATATTATTTATATATCGGCTCAATGCAACAATGTACATAATTTTTTATGAATTATTACTTTCTACAGTCTCACATTGTTACAGTAAACAGATGAAACATGTAAAATTAGACTATTGTTCAAAAGTAAATTCATTGTTTTGACTCAACTTGTGAAAATGTGAAACCAAGACATGATAGACTTATGCAGAGTGACATTATGCCAAGCCTTTGTTAAAATGTGAAGATTATGGCTCGTAGTCCATTTCCATATTTGTTTTTACAAGCTGCGTGCCATAATTATCAACAATATAGTAGATAAAAGGTTTGATATGACTCACATTGCGTGTTACAAGTCTGTCATACATGAGTTCACGTAAGTGAATTACAGGAGTACATTTACTTCTGCAATTCACTCATGTGACCTTTGAACTTTTGAACAATGCATTCTTTATTGGTATAGTTATAATAAATTAGGATGTAGAGCTCTGACCAGGTACTGTGCACTGCCCTCCTCCAGATGGTCCAGCTCGCGGTCCACATCAGACAGGTTCTTGTTAACAGTGTCCAGTTCTGCCTGTAGATCCTTGTACTCCAAATGGTCTCGGTCAAACTCACGCTTGTAATTGGTCCGTTCTTGATCATCTCGAATTGGTGGAAATTCACTGGATCAAAGTAAAAAAAAACAGCATTTGGTAAAAAGATGTAAACCTCTAAAGTTGTTATAAATACAACATACAAGTAGAAAAAGGACCAATACGCTTGAATTGAATGTTTTCAAGGCCGTCAGCTTCACAGAAAACTCATTTTAAAAAACACAGTTCAGATTTATTGAAGATGTCTCATTTATTCACTAATGTAACGTGTTTAAAGAAAAGGTACTGACGTGCTGAAATCGTCGTCGTCGAGCTCGTCTCCTGAGGAGCCGTAGTCCGTGTCGTATCCGTCCATGCGGCGTGGATGTCCTGCTCTCCTCTTACTGGAGGGAACCACGGAGCTGTCGGCCTCAGAGTGACTGTAGGGAACGGCGGCGTTTAGAGGAAGTGCTTCTTCCACTGCAGGTCTGTGATGACAAACATACTTTAGAAATGACTCATTTACTTCGAAACAGGTCACTTTCCTATAATAATAATGCATAGAACTGTAGTGATTACAATAATCTGCCATATGGAATCACAATGAGTCACAACTCTGTCGGCTATGACTCTATAAAATATTCATAGTGTTAAACTGGAACCAGGTACTTTTTAGAACCGACTTGGCCCTGGTTCTGTCCAGGCTGAGCTGGTACAAAAGTGTTCTTATTGACGGAGACTGGCCAGTGCTGCTGGAAGCCATGGTTACCAAGGAATTTCTCTGGATATTGGTTTGTTGTGGAAACATTGCTAGGATATAGAACCATTGCAGATAGTCTGAAGCATTATATTTTATTTAAAATGGCCTAAATAGTACTTGACTTTATCTAGTAACGAATACATTTAAAGACCTTTCTTTTTGCACAATCTTGAGTGTTTCTATCCATGCCAATGTGACATGTAAATTTCTCCTTTGTGAGATCAATAAAGCATATCTTATCTTACCTTAAAAAAGACAAAATAAGTCGGTATTTAGAAAATGAGGTCATTACAAATACACATGATTGAGCTCACTCACTGAGGGGTGTAGTTGTATGGAGGCTTGTCATAGTCTGAGCTGTCATCATCAAGGTGACTCCTGGAGCTACGTAGCTTGTCGGGATAGTCAGAAATAGGAATTTCATTTGGAACAGCTGACACATTGTTGACCTGCAAAATATTTCAGCCTTTTTATAACTTATGCGATAGATTGTCTTTATTTCTGACAGACAACACAAAAGACAGACACATTGGATTGTGCTTGTATTTCAGAGCTCCATATCCTTTTCCCTCTCTGGTATGAGGAGCCTGCATGGGCCTGTTCAGAGTATGTCACATTACTGCCACACCTGTACACAGGTGCCTGAACACAGTGGCTCAGCAGTTTGAGTTGTGTTCCCACAACCTCGTGAGGTGTCACAGTTTCATGTTTCACGCTGAAGTTTGTGTATTTAACTACCATCATAGTAGACCACCTGCCCAACCGGTTTACCTCTCTATAAAAGTTGATGAAATATATCAGATATCAATGTGAGTTTTAAAACAGTTCAAATGGACACACTATAATAAAAGCTAATGGAATAAAAGAAAATGGGTAAGATTATGCGAGCTGCTTCTATAAGAACAAATAGTGAAAAGCACCAGTCTTGCAGTGAATCTAAAACATGGTGTTGTGATTTAGTTTCAGTGGAAATATCATAATATACAATAAAAGCCACACCTACAAATGGAGATTTTTCACTATACTTCCTCTCACAATAAACAGGTGACTGTGGCCAAACCAGTTGTGCGAGTTTTCAAAACACACTTACCCATGCTTCCACATCCTGAGGAGGCGCCATCTCATCCACAACCTTCACCTTTTTCCACAAAATGTTGCTCTTCCCATAGTGGTAGATCTTTTGTCGTGTTTTCAGGGCAAAAACAAGGATGATGATCAAAGCTATTGCCATGAGGAAGCCAAAAACAATGGCTATGGCCTAAAGGGAAAAGTGAGAGTGCTTTATCTGTTTTTCTTTTACAGTGAAAAAAGCATTCATTGTAAAATTGTGTTTGCATTACCTCCTGTGGCTCCACAACACAATAGTGGTAGAGATACTGGTTTACAAACACTCCAGAGAGCTGCGGTTGTTGATACTGAGCACATAGACCTGCAATTTGGCTGCCATACGCCGAACTATACGACTGGGACATAGGGTTTACTGCTACAAGATAAACTATACTGGCCACAAGCATCAACAGGGCAAAGAAGGCACTGATGATGATCACAGCGAGGTAGAAGCGCCTGCTCTGGGACAGACTCTGGTGGGACACAATGATGATGAAGATGATCAGGCAGTAGATGAAGACAAACGCTGCCATGGCGATGATAAACCCTTTGCCAGTCCTGGGATCGTTGTAGTTTCCTCCGATGCTCCCGTAGCCGTAGTTGCTCCCAGCGCCATAGCCTCCACCAAAGCCGCCTCCACCAAAGCCTCCTCCACCATAGCCTCCTCCACCATAGCCTCCCCCGCCGTAGCTTCCCCCGCCGTAGCCACCGCCACCACCATATCCGAAGCCGCCGAGGGCCCCCTGGCTGTCATAAGCAAGTGTGGAGGCAACACAGGCAAAAGTGGCCACGCACAGGACAATACAGATGATGGACATGATTTTGATTATGCCTGGGGGAGAGGTCCAGCGGTAGAAATGCTGGAACTCGTCATCTGGGTAGTATGAGTAGGCTGTCTGTGGAGGCCCACTGAAAAGGCAAGAAAATAATGTCATTTAGTTAGTTATTTAGTTAATATTTAACAATTAATTTTAGTATAGAGTTATTTATCTTGTGTTGTGTGCTCCTCATTCCTACAGTTCTGTAACTGGTGATGCAACACTGACATTTCCCCACAATGGGACGAGTAAAGGATCTCTTAATCTTAATAAAAGCAAAACTAGGCTGCAAAAAAAATTACTTACTCTGCAGTTTCTGACTCATACGGTGGTGGACTTCCATTTGGTCTGGAGGACATGGTGGCAAGATGACAGTTTGACACCTGTGGAGGATGAGAACAATAGAAATAAGTCACAATTCAGTGTAAATACAGTTGTTTAAAATTAACTAGCCTGGTAAAATATGGCAATAAGCCGACACAGGTACAACAAAAAACAAGCCTGGACACGCTCAGACACGCTCAGACACGAGAGTACTGGATACAAGTAGAAAGTTATAAATATAGAGACTACTGTTAATGTTAAAATTGTTCTACCTCTTATTTGAGTGCGCTGGAAGTTTTCTCTTGTCTAAATGTCTCGACTGAAACTGTGCCGCTCATAAACAATGCAGACAGGACACACCTTGACGAGCGCGATACGTAAGCCCCGCCCCCACGCACAGGTTTTGCGTTTCAAAGCAAAACCGGAAGTGGGTGACTCATGAACAAAGATATCCCATGGATCTATAATAATAATAAATCCTTATCACTGTCTATGATCCTTATCCGGTTAAGTATTACACCCTTGCTCGTTGAATGTTCTATAATAGATATAGTTTGGTCCACTCTGCTGCACAATGTGACTGGAATTTTCAGAAATGATGTCATATAATTCAATTTCAAATGTTAATCATATTTAAAGGGGCAGTATGTACAAATCTGGCCAAAAGTGGTACTGTACTCTCCCTGACTCAGGTTGCCAGATATGCAGACGAATCCACCTGGGAACATAATAACTGAATAGACAAGAGTTTTGTCAACAATAAATCTCTAACCTTTTTCACAAAGATAGAGATCCTTGCTTTATTTCTTGTTTTGTCATTAAGGATTTGAGAATCACAACAAGACTTATTTAGTTCTGCGGCCACATGGTACTTTACTTTTTTTTTTTTTACTGGTGACATTAGCTCGACGCAGTGAGTTCTGGCAACCCAGATCAGAGACTCTCTGGTTGGTAAAACAGGGAGGGCGGGACATCAAAATGAAAACAATAACAAGATATAGGGCCTGTAAAACTAATTTTCAAATCCAAATATCTGGGCTGAACTACTTTTATCAGTTAAAGAAGTGTTCGAACAGAGCATGGTTTATTAATGCCTTTTAACAGATTAGGGCCATTTAATGATGACTTGACATGAAAATCTTACATAATGCTACTTTAATGATTAAAAGTTCTCATTAGATGGAATATATTTTATGAGTATAATTCTAATCCTAGAAAAATACGACAATCAAGTCAAATTCTGAAGAAAAAAAATCCCTTGCTATTATTGTTTTAAAGTGTTTTTAAAAAATGAAAAAATGAAAGACACATGCAGGTCACTTCACCTGCAGTTTATTCTGTTGGACAGCGTCCTGTTATATGGCCCTAAACAGTTATGTTATCACTGTAAATATCTCCAACACTCTGATCTTGTTTGTTGTACATATTTATATTAAGGGAACTTATACATATGGATATTTTAGGGACAGTTGTTGTGAAAATGTATTATTTGCCACTAGTGACACATATTATTTATCATAAAGCAATATATATGTATTACTTTTACGATATTTGTTATTCTTAATTGTGATATCAGTGTTTGTGTTGCAAGTACGTAAGTAATCTTCATGTATGTAGTGCAAGGTCATACAAAGGACCATGAAACCCTGTGTAGGAAAAGCGCTCCACAAATAAAGATTAATTGATTGATTAAAAGCATTTTACAATTTTTGAAACCTACACAGACACAGAGAGAACATGAAAACTCCGCACAGAAAGGTCTTTACGTTTTGTCATTGAACCATTAATAATAATAATCTTAGTCATATCTGAGGCCATTGAAATTCCTTTGCCTGTATTCCTGTATTTGGACTTATCTGGTATTTCATCTGCTCCTCTTCCTGAAAATTAAAACATTTCAGTTTTGCCTCAACAACTGGGGCTTTGTGAAACTGTCAATTACATTTTAAACAGATATTCCACCGAAATAAGTTGAAATAAATCAAAAGAAAAGAAAATTTCATTGGAGCTACACAGTCTCATAAAAGGTTTTAAAGCAAACAGAAAACCTGGGAAGAATTAGGCTATTTTTTGTTTTTCCAAATCCAGAAAATACCAAAAGGTCAAGTGGGATGTAACACATTTCTAACACGTTTTTAAGGTTAGGTTAGAGGTGAATTATGCAACTTTTTATGTGGAAAAAAACTATTTTTGCATATTTGATCTTGTCGTGACCCAGTGGCTGTATGAGTGGTCAGCATGGTGCCTTGATTTTTAACAGTGGTCTCAATAGAACTGTTTGGACAATTTTCACCAGAAAATGTCCTCTCCAGAAAACCTCCAAAACCATCAATCCTCGAGATTCAATCGTGATCATAAAAAGTATAATATGTGGTTTGGAGTTGGTCTGTTGGGTGGTCAGGATCACGGGTCATGGGTATGTGGGTTTGTTTTTAACCTAACTGAAGCATTTTTGTCATATTTGTTTTATGTAAAAATCTTTATAAATCAAGTTTGATTGAATTTGATTGATCAAAGGTTGAGGCACCATGCTGCCCACTCTTGCAGTCATTGGGTACGCCCCCCCGACCCAGAGATGGATTAAGGGGTAAAAAATGGATTGATGGATAGATCAGATAACAAGTTTCAAAATCCAACTTTAAGGTGCGGTTCTTCTTTTTGCAATGATGTGAATATTATCTCTAGTGCTTACACAGATTGTCTTGGTTTCTATTCAGTAGATCAACTGGTTGTGTTTCTCTGTAAATGACCTAAATCAATGAGTTTTTTGTTTTTGGAAGTGAAAAAGCGCCAAAAGGAGCATCCTCAGAAGTGCTGATGTATAGATTAGGGAAAGGAACTATGAGCTCAAGTTTTTCTAACAGAGCAAGTAAATCTTATTTGAAATGAACTCTTGCAGACTTTCTTCCTGGTCCAATTTGAAAAACGCAACAGCAAACAGATAAATAGTCATCAGGCAATTTTGCTCAATCTGCCCCAACATCACTGTCAAGTGGAAGCCTCATCAACTGACTTCAAAATATAGCAGCTTTAGTGACTCATCTAAAACCTGATTTTATTATGTAATTTGTGCCTAGTGTTATATCTATATAGATTTTCTTCAATTAGACATCAAGAGCAGACAAAACATTCAGTGCAAAAGTATGTAATTATAAAACACAAAGCACCAATAAAGTTACAGAATGAAATTAAGGACACGTCGATAGTAAACACATATAAACATTTGGTCATTGAGAATCCTAAATTTAGATCCGTGTGCCCAAACATGAATGGGGGAAGTAGTCAAATCTAAACATAATGTAATAATGAAATGGTAGGGCCACAGCAACATGTATAATGAGAAAGTGAATACACAAAATAAATGAAAGCAATCAGCAGCAGTTCAAAACTCGGCTTGTAAAATATCAGTCAGTTCATGATAAATAAGGGCATATGTAAAGTATTTGGTGTATTACATTTAACATAATGCAAAACATGAAATAAGTAGTGGCAATCCTCTTGTGCAAAAACAGTCACAGTGTAAAACATCAGCATAGTAGTTTTCTTTCAATGATTAAGAACATCTTAAGTATAAAACATATGGAACTTTACATTTTAAACATGTAGCGTGAACAGCAGAATCAACCAGTGTCTTGTTCACATTTACAGTGTTGGAGCAATTTAACTGAAGCCGTCGTTCCACTCCATCACTTTGTCGTATTCATGGATCTTCTGTTTGATATGCGACAGTTTGTTCTTCAGGTACTCACAGCGCTCTTTCTTTTCCGTAAAGGTTGGATCCTGAAAATGTAGAATTGTTTAAATAATTCAACACTATAGTCACAACAAATAGTCGCATTAGGATTACAGACAGCTGAGCTCACATTTTTTTTCCTCTGGTAGTCTTGAAGGATCCTGTTTATTCGATCCACTTCCTGGAAAGAAAGACATTTCACACTTGGTTTGGCGCAGCACATTCATGAAGCACACTTTGGTTCTGAGGAATCCAAATTAGACCGTCTACAAACTTAAAGCAAGCAGTGAACAAAGGCGTTTTCATAGGCTCAACTTTTCCCATGTCATAATAATAATACAAATAATTATTTTATGTTTTAATTACTCAAGGAGACATGAAAGTGCCAGTGCTACGTATAGCTGCACTTGTCATGTGATAACAATCTACACTGGGAGACACAGCTGTGAGCAGGATGCACCAAAACACTGATGTTGAATTTATCCTCAAACACTTCCATACTGTTCACCAGATTAACCCGTCAATAGTTTAAAACAGGAGTGTCCAACTGGTCCTCAAATGTCCGGTGTGGCTGCAGGTGTTCGTTCCATCCCAAGCAGGAGCACATCAGACTCCATCCATTTCCTCAGGTGAGTCCAGCTTTAACCATAGACTGTAAATATTAACGGACATAGTGACGCTTATCTCCACCGTTGAAACTTATGTGTGATCACTTTTCCCTCCTGCCAACCTTTTTCAAAATGGCCGCGAGTGGCCCCTCCCGCAGGAAAATGTGACAAAACGCATTAGTGCATGCATCAGCCGGCACGAGCCTGATACATGCCATTCATTTAATGAGTGCATTCAAAAGTCCACAGTGGCTGAACTAGGCTTGTCCAAATAAAAAACATTCCCTTCAGCATTGACATGCATCTGAAATCTGTTGAGCCAAGAGCCGACTTTTGGACCAGACTGTAAAGCCGTTTTTGAGAGGAAACAAGGCGTCGTAAACACCCTTGGTTTAAAAGAAGGTGTCCAAAGTGAGGACGTACCATCTGACTTGTGGGGTGCTGTGGCAGAGTGCGCATCATTGCATCCATCTCATCGAACTTCTTGAGAGTGACCTGAACATCTGCGTGCAGCTCTTTGTACTCAGAATACTGGTCGTTGAAGACGGCGCGGTACTGGTCCCGCTCTTCATCTGTGCGGATTGTTGGGTATTTACTGAACACAAATGTATTGCATAATTAGCAATGCCTTTATGGTTAAACATTACAGAAGAGGCAAACATGAAACAAATATTTTTCCACTAATAATTATTGAATGTTAACTTAGGAGTCAAAAAACCACTTACGCAATGTAATCAGGCACAATAACTGGCTTTGGGATGAATCCAGATGGTATGGTTCCCTGTAAAAACCTTTTTGAGGCGAGTTTCGGGCTGGTTTGAATAGGAACAACTGAGGAACCATGGACCTGTTCAGGAAGTTTGCGTGCAGTAGTTGCCTCAGGATCGAGCTGTTAAAACACATCACATTTTTTATCTCAGAGTCTGGACGGAAATATTTCTCTGTATCTGTGAATGTTTTAGGTGTGAAGTGAAGAAGAAATATTACCAAAGTCTGCGATCCCCGCACAGGTGCTGCATACATCTGAGGCAAAAAGAGCAAATTTGTAATACATTTATCAAACCATTAACTTGTCAAGATGTTTAAACAAACAGTGAAGAGTAGTAAAACTTGAACAAATAGGTTCTTAAAAGAATTATGCAGGAGGATCAAATGTAGTTACAAGTGTGTTACAGTCACTGACATCATTTTAACACTCACTTCCTGTCCATAGCGCTCTTTGTATCGGCGAGCTGCTTCGTGTCTCCAAAGCTTTAGACAAACTATGGCTCCAATCAGATACACTACCATTGTGACAAACAGGAAAATGATGGCAGCAGTCTGTCCAGCCTCAGTCCGGCAGAAAGCCCCATTAATGCCATTGTTGAAGACTGGATAGGAGCAGAGTCCTCCTCGTGTTGTGTCTCTGACATAAACAATACCTATTGAAATATTCACATTTTATCCACAAAGGATCCAGGAGGGCATTTTGAAAATTGTGATAGTTGGTATATAGTAAATAAAAATGCAAAAGTATACCTGCAGACAAATAGAGCACAGCCAGAGCCAGGTTTATAGTGAACTCAGTCAGAGGCCACCAGTTTGAGTCCAGTAGGATGGTGCGGTAGTACATAGTCATCCCCAACACCAGCATGATGACAGTGACCAGCCATGCCAGTCCTGCCACCACCAACACGAATGGTGTTTTAGGACCGGAATAGTAAGAGCCACCTGTGCCTCCTCCATATGCTCCATATCCTCCATATGCCCCTTCTGGGGAGGAGTATCCAAACATATTAAACCACTCGTTGTCTTTGTGGATGTAGGCGCAGACACAGGCAAACACTGCCGCCCCAAGCAGTAGCTCCACACATCCCAGGATCCTCAGCAGACCGGCCCAGGACTTCATGTACGCGTAACGCTGATGGTACTGCTCTACTCGCTCGCTGTATGTTAAGGCGGTGTGGTAAGTACGCCCTGAAATAGACCCGTGAGTGCCATGTGCTCCCAGAAGCTCCTTGCCGGAGTTGTAGCTGCTGCCTGAACCTCCATAAGGATCGCGATAGGACCCTGGGACAGGAGAAGGAGGGGGGGAGCAGGGCACCCCCTCTGTGGTGCTGTTATTGTTGTTGGATGAGGAGCCCGGCATGGACCAAGGTTTCTCGCTGCTGCGATTACTCGCTCTGAAGAAGTTTTTCCAGGAGTCTGGAATGAAGCGATGCACTGGTTTTATGTCAATGGCAGGGTCGATGTCTGTGTCAGCGTTGTCGTCACTGCCACTGGGGTCAAACTCCGGGCCCACTGGGGGCTGGTCAGGGAGGGGGGGCGGTGGAAGAGGATCTGCACTTTGAGCCAGAGACCTGGAGGTGTGTTCTCTCATCAGCTGAGCATCTCGAGGTAATAATTCTTGAGGAACCTGATCATAATAGGGCGACTGGCGGACTCGCTCAGTGCGTCCGGTATAACCTCCTCCATGGGACATGGGGAAACAGATGAGCCCTGAAACGCAGAGGTCATCTGTAAAACTCTGATTACAGATACATGTACTGTATATGTAAATGCGGATCAGCTAGAATGCAACAAGAAAATTAATATAGAAGAAAATAATCAGGAGATGCCAAATCTCTCAAGCAACCCATCACCAGTCATTATAATTGCACTCTAGAGAACAGCCCTCTACCACAGTCTGCATCATCCGCCACCAAGTCAGAATGTATTTTTGTGCTTTTAGCCGGTAAGGATCAATAGACTACGAGTACGAACCACATGCTTTTACTTACCAACAAAAGTTGCTGACAGTACAAAAATACACTCTTCAGGATGATTTTTACTATGCCACTCTTGGTATTATGTTTATGAATAGTGGTTAAATACCTCTTTCACACGCAGTCACTCAACACGACTTACATTGGTTTGCAGGTCACTATGCAAACCATTTATGAGGTCATAGGCAGTGATCTAAAAAAAAAATAAAAAAACATTATGAGACCACATCCTTGAATAAAAACACAACCAGGAAATTAAAGCTTTACTAACTAACATTATTGATTCATAAAGCTGTTTGTCCAAACACAAAGAATCTTATTGATTCTGTCTTAATCTTAGCAGCAAACAGGCTACTTGTAAGAAAGAGGCCTGCTGTGAGTAACCCCCCACTAATTGCCGCTTTGGGCTGAGAGCTGATTGGCTGAGCGAGGGCGGTCCTCTCTTTTTCTCTTCTCTGTCTGAAAAATATGATCCAAAGAAGTGACAAAGAGATACATGACATATGTTTAAAACAGTGATAGAAACTAAGCGTTCAGAGTGCGAGGAACAAGTGCCATGGATTATAGCAATAATGGTTATAATTGTGTGTTTTAAAGTACGGTACCTGAACTTTACACAGACATTAGAGTGGCAAAGTGATAACTATATGTAATAGATCAGTAATAGGCCTGGATGGTGGTAAGGTAGGCCTTTAGCAGACATCAGCTTACTTGTTCACTGTGCTATTTTCAACCTGTTGTTGAGCCGCTGCGTAATGACCACAAGACAACGCAACAACAAACACACATTTCTGGATCACACACATACACAGCGAAGTGATCTCTCTGTTGTTAAAGTCATCGTGTTGTTGTTGCTGTGGGCCCCGGAGATGGTAAACTTTCGCGTTTCGTCTCTAAACTACTACTGACTTTATGGCGTCAAAGTGGCTTTTACAAGTACTTGGCACACTTTGAAGTTTGTCATGGACACTCTTTTACGTTTATGGGCTCGCGTTGTATGAGGAAAAACACACACGTTTCTTACCTTATCTCCAGTCGCTCCGCTAGACTACTTCCCATTTCAGTAACAGTACACCAGGTCTCCCTCGCAGCACCACGTGACCTGCCCATCCCAGTGACGACCGACGCTTGTATGGAAATGATTAACCTACCTGAGGTTTTGATGTGTGTGTGTGTGTGTGTGTGTGTGTGTGTGTGTGTGTGTGTGTGTGTGTGTGTGTGTGTGTGTGTGTGTGCACTTGTTTTCAACTCCTGGTGGGTTCCATAACCTGAGATTCCACTCACGTCATGGGGACTGGTTTTACGTGGTGGGGCCCGAACACCGGACCCCACTGGTCCAAGCTTAATAATCAATGGGTAATGCTTTTCTAACGGTCCTTATGCAGTCTCTGTAAAAATATGGAAAGGACCCCTGGAGGTTTACTTTCCTGAAAAAAGTGTGTTATGTGTCGGAACCCTGGTGGTGGGTTGCGGGATATCAAGGAGGGGCACACTGGGGCAATTTCAGTCCAGCAGGCTGGAGCCAATCATGGAGCAGCACAACAGAGGAAATCAGGTGTCAGACTAGAAAAAGGTGCAAGTGTGTGGTTCATTAGGCTGCAAGAAATCATGGAGGAGCACACTGAAGCGCACGCTTACAAACCACTGGTAAGTGCTGACTACAAGTCATGACTTCAAATTGTTATATAGAATGATTACAAATTATTTGTTGTTTGTGCAGCTTAGTCAAGAGTCCCTAATTGATGAAGTCGACTCAGATTCTGACGATTTAACTGTCAAGAAGAAACCTGTAAAAAAGTATGGAAAAAGAAAAATCAAAAACACTTTTCTTCAAGACTCGGAAAGTGACGAACCAAAGGCAAATAAGATTGTTATCATGCAGCTGCAAAAGAAGAAAAATGGGGGGCGAGTTTACAGCAAGAGACACTTCTGCCTCTACTGTTCAATGTCCTGCCACAAAATGTCCCGTCATTTGACTAGAAAACATGGAAATGAAAGTGACGTAGCCAGAGCATTGGCTCTACCTGTGAAATCTAAAGCACGTAAACTTCAGTTTGATTTGATCAGGAATAGTGGAAACCGTGAGCACAATTTTGAGGTTTTAAAGGCCGGCATTGGAACTTTAGTCCCAGCTAAACAGCCAAATTCCCCAGTTAAATCCAGTGAGTTTTTGCACTGTATAGACTGTGGGGCATTGCTTAAGCGAAAGTCGCTGTGGAGGCATGTGGCCAGGTGCCGGCTTTCACAGAAAGATGCCCAGGCTAAACCAGGTAGAAGTAGGGTCCAGTCCCTCTGCTCCCTAGCCCAGCCTGTACCGGAGGGCATCAGCAAAAAGCTGTGGTCTTTAATTTCGGCAATGCATCAGGATGAGGTCACGGGTGTTGTCAAAGCAGAAAAGGGGATTCTGAGACTCGGAGAGCACCTGTACTTAAAACACGGGCATGATAAGACTAAGCATGATTACATTAGGAAGAAAATGAGAGAAGTCGGTAGGTTAATTAACGAAGCAAAAACCGCAGGGAAACTGAAAACAATTAAGGATTTCTTTATTCCTTCCAACTTTAACCATGTGATTGATGCAGTCAGGTCTGTGGCTGGATATGATGAGGAAACAAATCAATACAAGACTCCATCCTTGGCCCTCAAACTCGGCCATAGCCTCAGAAAGCTAGCAGATATTCTTGAATGTGACTCAAAAATGGAGCATTGTGTTGATGAACTATTTATTAAAAACCTCCAACGAAGCCGGCTGCTTTTTGAGAAGAGGTGGGACGTCTGTGTTTCTTCTGCTGCCCTACAGACCCTCCGGCAAGCCAAGTGGAACACTCCGGACCTGCTCCCTCTGACTGAGGACGTTAGAGCCATGCATGCACATATTGAGGTATGTCGACCTGAATATGTGCAAACCCTAATAAGTGAGCCAACGTCTAAGCATTGGTCTAAACTGGCAGTTTTGACTCTTTGTGAGGTCATAATTTTCAATCGAAGAAGGGAAGGTGAGGTTTCAAAGATGCCACTGACAGCCTTTACCTTAAGAAGTAAGACTGGGATCCATTCTGACATTGCTCTGGGACTGTCCCAACTTGAGAAAAAGCTGTGTCAGCATTTTCAACGCATTGAAATTAAAGGGAAAAGAAGTCGGAAAGTGCCGGTTCTTTTGACTCCTGAAATGATTGCTTCGATGGAGGTGCTGGTGGAGAACAGAAGGGCCTGTTCCATCTCTGACCATAACCCATACTTCTTTTCCCGCCCGGGCGCAGACACCCACATCAGGGGATCAGACTCCCTACGCCAGGTAGCCAAAGAATGTGGTGCGGTGCATCCAGAGATGCTATCCTCAACCAAACTTAGAAAAGCACATAGCTACTATGTCTACAGTTCTCAATATGAAAGAGAATGAGATGGACATACTTGCCAACTTCCTCGGCCATGACATTCGCATCCACAGGCAATATTACAGACTACCAGAGGGGACACTGGAGCTGGCCAAAATCAGCAAAGTGTTGATGGCCATGGAGCAGGGAAGAGTGACGGAATTCGAAGGAAAGAGCCTCGACCAGATACAAATTGAGCCTGAAGGTAATTCTTGATATTATTAAAATATGTATGATTTTTTTCCCCTAAAGGCCACTTGTATTTTTATTTTCTGTGCGACAGGGAGAGCAGTAGAGATCCTCTCACAAACGGACGGGCTAAAAGAAACTTCAAGCGGAGAACCTTCAACCATTCATCCAGATGCACCCCATGGTAGTGGCAGTGCCCCTTCTGGTAAGTGTACCAGGTGGGGGATTACAGCCAGGCTGCTTGGTCCTCACCCTGGGAGTGTATATTGCTAATATATTTTTATTTCTCTCCCTAGAACGTGTAAGAAAGCCATGGTCTGCATCTGAGGTGAAGGCTGTGGAGAAGACCATGACACCTTTCATACAGACTGGAAAGGTCCCTGGGAAGTCTCACTGCCTGGCCTGCATTAATGCCTCACCAGATGACCTTAGACATCGGACATGGAGTGGCATTAAATTCTATGTCAAAAATAGAATCACTGCAATTCGAAAACAAAATCTAAAATAAAATTCCTTTAAAATAGTTGTTTGGTTTCTATTGACTGTTTTGTATTACTTAAAGTCTTGGTAAAAAAAGATTATGTCTATGGGTCCCATTCTGAACGGCCCTGTCAAAGGGACCCACCAGGTAACAAAAACGTGTGTGTGTGTAAATGTATGTATGCATGCAAGTGTTGAGTGTGTGTATACATATGCAAATGTGTATGTCTATGTATTTATGCATGAGTGTGTGTGAGAGTGTATGTACGTCTGTATGCAAATGTGTGTGTGTATGCAAATGTGCGTGTATGTATGCAAGTATGTGTGTGAATGTTTGTCTGCAAGTGTGTGTGTATATATTATACTATGCATGGATATAGGTTTCCTCCAGGTGCTCCGGTTTATCCTAGCACAAATTACAACATGTACAATAGGTAAAATCTCCAGCTCTGGTCCTGACCAAGCCGAGCATCCACAGGTGTAGACATGTCCCTGGGTGCTGACCTACGGCGTCCACTGCTCCCAACAGGGGCCTTTGTGATCATGAAGGATGGGTCAAATGCAGAGGACAAATTTCCTTATGGGTACAATAAGTCTGTCTGCGAGTGCGTATGTATTGATGTATATATTTGTTTACATGGATGTATGTACTGTATGCAAACATGTTTGTTTTTTTAAATTTCCTGTTACTATCAATACTAGAACTATTACTATTTTTTGTAGACAAGATTTAAACTAGATACAGAACAAAATTAACATGTTTGGACTATTGATCTGCCCAACAGTGTTGTCAAACAAGAGAAGCCCCGGTCTATCGACCCATCCCATCATTACACTAATTGCGTTGCTTTCTTGTTGCTGTAACAACTCAATGATTGTGAATCAAACTTTACAGAGAAACAATAAAAAAAAAATTATGAATTACAAATTATTGAATTAAAACCGATCATAGAGTAAATAATATGAAGCAATATCCAATAATCTTTTATTGTTCAATCACTGTAGAGTGTTCCTGAAATGCTCCTTCACAGATTTGTGCTTGAAGGAGTCATATTTGAAATAACATGATGTCACATCAACCTGGAGACAGATGATTGTCGACTGAACAGAGCAAAACAGCACCGACAAAAGTGGACGTACAGTAACATAGAAATTTAAGAGACAAAGACCATGATAAACTGATCGATTAAAAAGTAAGATCGACAAGAGTAACCGTTTTATCTTTACACCTAGATTTACATTTGAAAATAATGCACAATTAGTATTAACATGTAAGTACACGAACATATCTGCCATGAAGGATGCGAGTTAGAACACAGCCACCAAAGAACATATTACACCATATAGTATTGATAAATTGCATAATATTAATCATCAAGTATCACTACAGGCTGCCGCAGTGTCTGTACTAACACAGAGAAATGGCTTTTCAATTGTTTGCAGTCTTCAAGTCTGTGCAACTCAAACAGCATGTGTGAATAGGAATGTAATATTAAAAAATAAAATCCACTCTAGATGGAATGCTAACTTGTTAATACTCAACACACCGGAACACACATAAATGTTAAAAAGTCTACAAAAAAGATGCCGTTTTATTGTAAAATGAGCACAGCCGAACTTTGTTATTCTTAAATATGTGATTTCTAGCGTTAAGAGGTACAGCCCTGAACGTGTGCGAAAAACCTTTTAAAATGTATACTTCTTTACAAACAGAATGAGCCAAGTTATTGACTGGCATTGTCAATAACTAGCATTGGTACACTAATACAATGTAAATCTCTAGCTACATAATATCTTCATTTAGTCTTTGATATATATTTCAGATCAACAGTGTGTAAACAGTTAAAAAAAGACTCATTTTTCTAGATTCAACCCCTAAGCAGCGGACGGAAATTAAATACTGTGATCTATAAAGTGCAAACCAGCATTAAGTGGACACCAGCATGAAAGACTGATAAAATATCTCCTTCCACTACACAGAAATATGGCTCCCTTTTGGTCATTTTACACTCGTGTGACCACAAGCTATTCTTTGTAACAAATACCAGCATTGTGAAGAAAACATTTAAAAGGGAAATTTACAGATACCTTCTTTGATTGAAATAATAAAAAACAAATCAACCACCATCTTTAAAAGCAGCAGATAGACTCGCATTTGGTGAGTCTAAAAACAAATGCAAATTACTTGAAAGGAAGATTTGCATTGTAGGGATGTCCATGTAGACCCTTTAATATGGGATTTGATTCTGATAGTACTGCAGCATATCATAGGTCTTGCTCCTAAAGTGAGAGGAGTCAAAAGAAAAGGGTTAGGTGCATTGAATAAATCAGTGCCCAATCAAACAGCATGACTTATGCCTCACCTGCTACTGAGGAAACAGCTCTGAATGATTTTGATCATGAATGCAGCTGCCTCTTTCTCACTCATTTGTGGGTTGAATCGACCTCTAAAAAGCAAAGAACAATGTTAATCTTGAGGGTAGTGGGGGAAATTTATGCTGCATGAATTATGTTTCAATTGATTACTTCAGTAGTTTAATGGTTTGCCCTCTGAAACATGGCAGCCCAGTGTCCAGCATCAGAGTTACCAAAGAAACCACTGCATCCATGTAGGGCCTGCATTAGAGTGGATTAGGTTTTATATGTTTTCTCATTTAATTTACAGAGTAGAATGGATGCCTTACCGAACAGCCAGATATCCTCTGACGCACATCTCCATGAACCACTTGAAAGGGGTAGCTTCCATTTTGCCTCCCATAATCATGACCATCTCATCAGTCAACTTGATGTCCGGTTCCCAGCCGAGGTTACCTCCAGGGGAACTCTCAAACATGAAGCCAAAGTCTTGGGAAAAGCATGTTTGTATAGTTTTATTAAGTTATATACAGTTAACTAGGTCAATAAATACAAATATATAAAATACAAGAATAACGTACCGATGTGGATAAGATGACCCTTGCTGTCGAGCATAATATTCCCATTGTGTCTGTCTTTGATCTGCAGCAGGAACAACAGAAGACTGTAGGCCGCCATGCTCCGGATGAAGTTATAACGAGCCTACAAAGAGAAGAAGGACAAGAGGTAAATCAAAAAAGGTTAGTTTGCATTTTTTCGTTTACAAAATATATGAAATTCACTCCCACCTTTTGGAATGCTAAAGTGGATTCATCTCCGTATTGGTTACGGAAGTAGTCATACATTCCAAAGTCTGTCTGTCTGCCGAGTTGGTCACGGGATTTGCAGTCAGGGATACATTCAATCACACCACACTGGGAACATGTACATATTTTAACCACAGTGGCTCAAAAGATATTTAGTTGCAGGGTGAGTAATATTAAAGTTTTACCCCTGGCGCCGTGGCGACCACTCTATATGGGAAAACGAACAGATCCAAACCAACCAACTGGAAAATATTCTTAAAGAGTCCAATAATTTGTAGCGCTAGCATATCCTAAAAAATAAATAATAATAATGATATTTGATCATTTTCATCAAAAATGTGCGGCAAATTAAGATTTTTTTATTACCTGGCGACAATCATCTCCAACTTTAAAAATGGCCGCCTGCCAGCAAACCTTTCGAGACCCATCAGGATTTTCCTCTCCGTCTTCTACCGAGTCTGAAGGGCAGCGAAGGCCCTCCCTCTCCAGCTCGCTCACACCACAGCGTTTCACTTTGAACTTTGCAAGGTATGGTGCTTTCGCAGCACTGGAAAACCACACATGTACCAATGAAACTCAATAATAATAAAAAATGAAATACATTTAAACAGGTATTTAGTACATGTATTACCTTTGCATAGGTGTTCCAGATTTGTAATCAATATCAAGAACAATTGCTTCAGGGTTACTTGGCAAGTAGCAGCCTGCAGGCACAACATCAGCACCAGTTTATTAATGCCCACCAAAACCAGAGTCCAGTGTCAAATGTGCTTACCTGCTTGAACCTTGATGTCAGACAATGCTTTAAGACAGGCGCGTTTTCTCTCTTCACCTTTTGGAACAGGCCTAAAATACAAGATTAAAAGGTCCGTACCGATCTTAAAGAAGGGAGATAAGTGTAATCATGAACGACTTTACTTGATCATGGCAGACACATTGGTGATCTTGTTGAAGAAGTCAAACTCTCTCTGGTAGAAATCCTTTGCTGGTCCGGACAGAGAGTTGATGATTTCCTCAACCATTTGCTCCAACAGCTCTCCGATGTCGGCTAAACAGTTTTCAGCAGAAACTTAAGATCAAATCACACTCGACGTGTACAAAAACATACATTTTTCCCACTTACCGATTTCCCTCCTCGTCCAGGTAAATGTTGGTTTTCATGTTCCAATAAAACTGATGCGCGCGAGAGCTGACACTTTTGAGCTGCCCAAAGAATGTACTCTCGAACATAACCCATCTAAAAATAAAAACACAAGTCACTAACCATAACCCTCAGACTGACTTTAAGACCCCTTCATTAATTCTTGCAATTTTTAGACAAATATAAATAATCAGATTACCCTTTCATTTCAAACCCCATGTTGGTTCTAACGCTCACACAGGTGGCATTAAACATGAGAATAATACCTTATCATAACGTAACGCTTGTACAATCTGGGGGATGTAGAACAAAATGGCATCCTAGGGAGAAATAACAAAGTGTTAAGACATCATGATGGCGCATACTCAAGACTTTATCGGGGAAATGTTTACCGGAGGGAAGGAGCGCAGGACCTTGACGCCGTACTGAGCCGTGAGTGGATGAGGTGGGTACATGCTGCTGAAGTAGGACAGGCCGGTGGGAGGGTCTGCCGGAGCCCAACACAGGATATGGCTGAGCTCAGGCGAGTCGGCATCGATAGTGTGCCAGGTCACTAAAAACTACATCAAAAACAAAATATATTTTTAACTCAATTCACTTCGAATTTATTCTGTACAGCCCTAAATCACAAACAATAGTAAATCTTGGAGTCTTTTACGGCAACTCGTTAATTTGCCATACACAGATCAAGAATGAAACGGTTCAAACACAAAAGAATTGAAGCAGCATTGAAAAAGCTACATTGAATCAAACGTTTCCACTTACTTTTACTACATTCCGCACATCACTGACAGCTCCAGGCATCGAGTCTCACGAAAGTCCTTTACATCAGCGACAGGGCATCGTTTTTTAACCTACCGATTTGAGCAGGTAAATGTTTTATGTTTGTGAAAGGGCAATGAAAATAATTTAATTCATGAATAGTAAACCGACTGGAAGCTTGCATTGCCAAGTAATTGCGCTATATTCCTCACATATCTATGCCTCAAGTGACATCGCATGCATCTGGGGCACGATAGGTAGTAGCGCTCGGGGGTATCTTTAGCGCGTTATCTGTGTCACATGTTACCTGACACATGGGTAATTAGTTGTGGACCTGGTCTCGTGTGTCTAATGTAAACTGAGACTTCGCACCGACACGTGACTCAGTTGGACAGCGCTCAGTTCCTGGGCGCGACAACGTGTGATTGTGACCAATGTGGGAAGCTCCGGTCTCAAGATCTACATTCATGGCCTAAACAACAAAATCCATCACACACACACAGAAGATATCTATTACGTGTCATAAGCTGTAGATATCTCTATTCAATACAAGTCCAAGGTCCCTGTGGATAGATGTGCCTCATGGACAATCTTTCGCTGCACCAACTTGATCTAGGCGCCTGTCTACACTTACTGAGAACGCTAGCGTAGTTCTCTCGTGTACCTATAACGACAGGTACAACTCTGTACCATTTGGGGTTGAGCTGGAGTCTTTGCGGTGAATTCAGTATAGCGACAATACATAAGGTAATGGACGGGGGACCAGGGAAAATACATGCCAACATCGCGTTATAAACCGATGTACGCTCGCAGATCGTTGTCTCCCGTTATGATGCAGAATGAACGGGCCTCTTTCCATTTAATGCAGAGCAACGACTGGCTGAACATTTAAAGGAGCACTTATTGTCGCCCCGTAGGACAATTCTGCGTGCTCTAGCCATGAGTGTAGCACGTGAACTATGCACCCCCCTGAACACGCTAAGTCAGGCGCATGACTCGCCGTAGTACATTATTATCCGTGGAACCCACTACACTAAATTCAACGTCTCACTTGAGGCCTACCTATCATATCCTGACATACGTCAGCCCTAAAATAATAACCTATCATGTGCTGGCAACACAGCGGAAAAGATTCGGACACAACACAAACTGCGAGTGATGAGACGTCACTAACGAATCTTCCTTCATCCTCTCTAATCATCTCCATTTTGATGCCGGATGTCTTATATAGACAGCAATCATACAGAGCCTGCGATACGACTCTTTAACATAGATGTGCATCTGCTACGGTTAGTGGGTAGAGAAACCGGAGCACTCCAACACCAGAGAAAGGCTTCGCAACAAAGGGAGAAACAGGCAAACTTCCACTAAGAAAGACTCTAATGAGACGCGAAAAAACACACAGCGACGAGCAACACAGTTATCATGAGTGCGTGCGCGCGCGCAGTGACCGTCATTAACAGACTAATTCCAGCCCAGCGGAGAAATACTACACATCGCCATCAGCGCATGTCGCAAATCATCCAGACGTCTAGTATATTAGATATGTTGTCATGAGTGTGGGAGGAATGAAGGTATCTTAATGATTCAACGTATTTAGATGCGCTTACTGATACAAGTGATATCCCGAGACACCCAATTCCTCACCTACATCCCATTATTGCTCACACTGAACGAGAGCAGCAGCGTGCGAGCGCAGTAGTTAATAATACTAATAACACACACACACACACAGAGATTAATAGCGAGTGGAGCATTCACTATTAGGAGATGTAAGAAATAGTCACTTCGTGTGCACCTGCACCCTGATACAACCTGCATCATCTAGTAAGACACGGGACGGAAACGCAGAAATATTTAAAGAACGCTCATTTTCACACACATCACTAGCGATGGCCGATAACGCAATTGAGGATATCTATAAGATATGGCAAAATGCTAATTCACAGTTGCGTAGACGGGAAATTCTTGATTGAAGTTTTCACTGTGACACACGAATTGACACAAATCAGGACGAGAGCCGGACAGCGCGCGTAGAGACAGAGAGCGCGTAGTCTCTTTCTCAAGACACGTAGCTCATGCGTATAAAATCTCTGTCCTAGATGTCATATCTGTTTTATATACGAGTGTGCCTCGTCGCAACTCACATCATAAACAAACACACTCCTATAACACATGTGTGAGTTTTGTGTGCATATATATGAGCGTCGAGTATACACACAATTCCGGGAGAGAGGGGGGAAAATTATTAAATAATTAGTAGAGTATCTGAGAGAGAGTGGCAAGATCTTGAGTGTGGGATGTGAAGTGGTGATGGGTGTTGAGGGGGGGGGTTATAGGTTAACTAATGAGATATGAAAAGAAAATTCAGTTAAATATATATCAATACGAGCGTGTGGAACACAAAATGAGATTAATCTAAGTGTGAGAGCCGAGAATCATGTGATAGACACACACACACAAACAAATAATAAGTTATGGGTGTGAGGATGATTGTTTTTAATAAAAGAAATTTCTTCGAGTAATCCATGCGCGCCAAATAATAAAAACACACACTAGGCTAAATACTAGTGAGTTATTTTACGCGATATAGCGAGAAGGTAGACAGTAGTTACTACATTTTTGTATATAAAGAGTAGGTCGATATCCTTGAGAGGGGGGGGGGGGCATAAAATATATTATGCGTAAAAATACATATATATAAAACTCTTAACAAAATAGGTGGGGACTTCTACAAAATTACACAAAGGAAGGGGGGATTCTCTAGAGTGTGACTGTGTTGGACACACACACACACACACAGTATAGAGCTATGCGCGATGATAGAGAGTGCTATCTATCTATCTTGAGTGGGGAGAAGGGGGAGTGTTGTAGGTGAGTTGGGGTTGGAACAAAGGGAGAGGAGTGGTTGGGAATGTTTTATGTGGTATGAATAGTGGGGGTATGAGGTGGTGGGTGGGATGGGAGAGAGGGGGTGTAAGGGCGTTTTGGAAGGATTTGGCATGGTTAAGGTAGGTGTCGATAGAGATGACAGTACTCATATACTCTTCTACTTACAGAGGGGGGGTGGAAATAATGTAGGGGTTAGGGAGGTGTGTGTGTATGCTGTAGAGTGCGAGAGAGTGAGAAGAGGAGAGTGCTGGAGAAACGTGATGTCTCATAGCGAGTCGGATGGGGGAGTAGGGGGGAGTGGGGGAGAGTATATGTGTAAAAAGTAATTTTGAAGAAACTATACATATAAAGTTATTATATGGGGGGAATGTGGGTGGGGGATGCGGGTGGATTGTCACACAATATATCTGATGATAATAATTGAAAGGCAAGGAGTTGATAGTGGTGAGTGGGTGAGGGGGGGGGGGGGGGGGGGGGTGGAGTGTGGGGGGGTTTTGGTGTAGGTTGGGGGGGTGGTATATCGTATACTAGGGACGTGGTTGATATATTATATCTCAGATGGGTGTTATTATATATATATATGGTTAGTGAGGAATATGGGAGCTGAGTGATATAGAACATACGAAATTGCAAGTTGAAATATGAGACGTGGTGTTCATGTCTGACAGGTGGTGTGTGGAGGTCTAGATGGGACATGAGGAGAGAATAATGAGGTGATCTATATATACTCAGGGTGAGTGTGGGATATTTTAGGTATGTTGGGTGGAGAGTGTGTTTGAGTTGAGATTGAGAGACAAGAGTGTGGTTAGGGGTGTTATTAAACTTATGTGGAGTGGGTAGAGGTGTTGGTGGTGGTGGTACATTATGAAGATTGGATGGTGTGATCGGTGAAATGTGGTGGAGGACTTGTTGATAACAGTTTGTGATGCACTGACAAGTGATAATGAGGTTGCTTTGTGGAGTGGATAGGACGAAAAAGATAAGGGTAGGACAATTGTGAGATTTATTGACAAAGAGTATAGATATTACAAGACGGAGTCAGAGGGACATAATTGTAATAGGGCGGAGGGAAGGTAAAACAAGACATAACAAAGAGCGATTTGGACTGGTGTTGGGGATGTCATTGTGTTACATAAGTGGTGTGGTGGGACATCATTGGAGTAGACATGAGATGATGGCACTTTGTGTTTAGTTGTGGAGGTGCAAGAACGTATTAGTGGAAATGGAGGATTTATGAGTTAGAGACAACAGAGGCATGGGATTAAGTGACACAGGGATATAGACTAGCTTGCGAGCGGGTACAATGAACAGAATACATAGGGATCTGTATGCAGACTCAAGGGTAAAAAGCATGAGGAATTTTGGAATGAGTGTGGTGAGTCGGAAGGGTACATTGGAGATACAAAAGAGAATAATGATGGGTGGTGAACTATCTGTAGAGCAGTAAGTATCAAATTGTGGTAATGCGCGTCTTGGAACATGTATTGCAGATTGGAGGTGATTAGGTTGAAGATATAGAATGTAACATAAGGCGAATGAATACTATGTGGGTAGGATCAGATAGATGTAGAGGGTACATCATAAAGGTGGGAGGGCGTGTAGTAGAGAGGGGGAGATAAGTGATATAGGAGTTTTAAAAATTAGTTAGGTGTGGTGATTTGGGAGCGGCGGAATGACATTATTACAATACATTAGAGGCACGGGGAGTAGTGAAGAAAGTCATTGGACAGAATTGGTGTGACGGGCGTGTGGTGGTGTTGAGGGGACATTATAATGGTAGGGGTAGAGAAGTGGAGAGTTATGGTCTGAACGTTGGGTTAGTTAGATTCAGGGGTGTCTCACTAGATAATGGAACAGGGAGTGAATGGACGGGATCGGAAATTATAGTAATGATTCTGTAACATGGAGCAGTTTGGTAACTATATATAGAGTGAGGTTTTTGATAATGTTGAGTGGAATTGTGATTGATAAGGAGCGGACGATAGCGATGTACTAGTGGGTGGGGAGAGAAATTATGGATATTGTATACAGTAGATGCGTTATAGTGATTAGGTAAAAATTTGTGGCAGGTTAGTGGTAGTCAGAGGAGGAAGTCTACAGTGAGGGGCGAAGAGTGAGAATAGAAAATTAAGAGAGGTAATTAGTAAGTGATGCGTTTGGTTGATCTTGTGAGTAGATATGGAGTCTAAGCTGGGGGGTGTAGGATGTGGTAGAGTGTTGGGTGGGTGACGTAGCGTGTAGGAATTTCTTAAGAGATGACATGAGATTACAATATGTGTCATGTATGCGTATCTCAGAAGAAATTTTGTAAGGGGGAGATTGAGGAATACAGTAGAGGGGTTGTCTTGGGTATGCAGGGAACAGGGAGACAGGACACATTAGTACTGTGGACAATGTTGAGTGCGCGGGTGATGAAAGCAATGAGAGCTAAGGTATGAGGAATTTTATCGTCAGACAATTGGGAGAGGTGATTAGAGAAACACAATAATTAATGGGAATTTACGGAAAAACATAAATGAATTGAGGAATGATGTATGTAACAGTAATTATATATAGAAACTTATTATGGCAATAGGGTGAGTGTGGATGTTGTGGGGGTGTGTGTTTTAATTATGGTGAGGGATTGAGGGGTTTGGTAATAGGATGGATTAGAGAGTGGGTGAATAGAATGATGGAGTGTTGATGGAGAATGGAATGATAGCAAGGGTGGTTGGGGGGTGGGGGGAGTAATGAGTGTGGGGGGATATTGGAGGGGGGGATATGTGGTTTTTGGGTGGGATGTTGATTAATGTATGGATATGGGGAAGGAAAAGTTGAATGGGTGGTGGATTGGTGGGATAAATTAGATTTGTGATAAGGGATTGGGTGTTTGAAATTTGGACAGGTTGGGTTTTGGATATAGTATGTATTTAGGGGGAGGGGGGTTTTAATATTGACATGTGAGGCGCTATTGCGATGTATCTGAGCGATGAGCGTGTGTTAACAGGACGAGGAAGTGTCAAAAATAGGAAGTGAAGTGGGTCTGAGCTGGGGGATGGGAGATGTGGAGTGTGAAGAGAGGGTGGCGCAGTAGGGGGGTGCGGGTGGAGGGGCGTGTCGTAATTGCTGGTCAAATAAGGGGTGATATGGCATGCAGAAGCTGAGGTCGGGACAAGGTGACATGGCAGGGCAGGAAAGATATTGAGTGGGTGCGGATGGAAGGTGTAAGCAATTCTTTGGTATGTTCTGTAATTGGGGATGTTGGGGGGGCAGGGTATGTTGTGAGTGGATGGGGGTACAAGAGAATATGACTGAGTGGGATTGGGGGTGACTGTGACAGGATTTGGGGTTGTTGAAAGAGGGTATATGATACTCGACTGTAGGAGGTATTGGGTGGGGTAGCGTCGTTATTTGTGATATTTTGAGATGGTTGGGTGTGGTGAGAAGATTAATATTATTAGGTGGTGGTGGGGTTTATTTTGTGTTGTGAAATTGTTGGTGAAGGGGGGATGGAGGGTGTCAGTGTTGCGAATAGATAGACGGGGCGACACACTTTGGAGCGCGGGAAGTGTGGATTTTTGGAAGGTACAATTGGAGACGGAGAGTGAGATAGTTTAAGTCATTTTGAGGGTCTGCAGGAGGGGATGTCTGGGATTATGACGTATCTGGTGCAGGTTGGGCTTTCTGATTTATGTTGGGGATTCTCTCAAGGGGGGGGGAAGAGCGGAGGAGGTGGGCAAAGTATATGGTGACTGATGGGTGGAAGAAGTGAGTGGATATTGATGAGTGGTCTCATTGTGTATAGATGTAATGAGGGGGAGGGTAGGGGTGTGACATTATATGGGGGGGGGTTGTAAGCAGGGTAGGTACATAGGTTGTGAAGACAGGGTAAAGAGGAAGGTGAGGTGAATAGGTGACAAGAGGGGATAATTTTGAGAGAGGAATAGGGAGAGCGGTTAGATACTAGTTGGATATATTAGGCGCAGGGCACTTGAGAGCTAAATCTAGAGGACATCTGCGACATAGGGGAGGGTAGGATAAATAGGGACGACGAGGAGGAGCGAATCAAGACATACGTGAAATGGTGTGTTGTGCAGACATGGGGCGCTAGGGAACGCTGGGACATTGAGAGGGTTTATTGTTGGTGGGGGGGAAAATATGAACAACATGCATGCAGAACATTTTATGTTAGGGCGTGGCTTGGGGACATGGTCTTGCTACTCTTGGTAGGGGGTTAGGATGTGGGGTGGGTGGTGACGGATCTCGATCGTTAGGCGATTTGACAGAACAGGAGACAAGGGTGGTGAGCGGAGTAGTATAACAGAATAGACGCAGCTTAACACAAGCGGGACCGATGCATGTAGAGATTCATGAGGGTGTAATGTGAAGCCAGCGGGATGAATCGGGCGAGTGCGGGAGAGACACCGGTACAGGAGTGACTTGGGGGAGTACTACCAGGAAAAGGATGTAGTGAGTAACTCGGTGTAAAGAGTGAGGAAAGGTATGGGTTATTGGGGATAGATCAGGTGACTGGGGGTGGGCAGACAACAGATGATTGTTATAAGTAGGAGGGTCGAATGTAGAGTGATGATGGACATACAGTGAGGGGTGGGGGGAGGGGTGGGGGCAAGGGTGTCGAGGGAGTCGTGGAGTAGGGTCGAGGGCACATGGTAGCAGGAAGCGTAGAGTGTTGGGGTTTAGGTACGGGGGGGACAATTGTATAATGCAGACGAGGCTCGATGGGGAGACTTAGAGCGCGTGAGCGGGATAGGGATGTGACACAGGTCGGTTTGAATTTGATTGAAGTGAGCAGCGTGGACAAGTGCAGAGTACAGGGGATCTGCGTGAAATAAGTTAGGAGACATAGAATGGGGGAGTGAGTAAGGTGGACGCACGTATTGAGGCGTCGCAGCGGGGCGAGGTGGTGAGTGTGTGTACGGGGGATGGGATTTGCACAGGAGTTTTATATTGCTGTGTTGTGGTGAGGTCGTGCTGAGTGGACAGGATTGGACCATTGGGAAAGGGCAATCGGTGTGGGGGTCACTTGTGACTCTTTGGCGGGAGTGGAATCTGTGTGACAACCGTCGAGTTTAGTGCGAGAGTGCTGATGGGTCGCGAGAGAAGGTGACACAGTGCAATGCACATATCGAGGCGTACACACGGTACAGGTTGGCGAGGGTCGAGGTGCACTAGATGATTTGGAAGTAGAAGGCGGAACTGAACAATTAACTACGAAGAGACTGGGTAGGAGAGGAGTGATGACAAACGAAGAGGACTATGGAGTGAGAGGTGCTAGTTATAAGTGCGGCGAGCTTGAGGGGATCCGTGTAATGTGGGGCAGAGTGCTGCGGAGTAGGGCGGGAGCGCGACACGACAAGATTAGAGATAGACAGAGCAGAGTTACGCGGAGTGTACGATACTTGAAACGGGATGAGATCACCAGTAAGTTTTCTGGAGATTGTGAACTAGTAAATGGGTAATCGAGGGGACACAGAGAGGATCCATTCATGGGATTGAGTTAAGGTATGATGGCAAACACACACTCAGTGAAGACGAGCGTCAACTACGAGCGAAGTTCTGACAAAACATGAACATGGCAGGGGCGCGTTTGTTGAATACTGAGGGTGTGTCTAGGCTTTGGGGTACAGATGAGGGATGTGGTTGGGGAGGGGGATGATATGTGATGGAAACTATATTTTGTGACTAATGCCAGTATGCGGGAGTGTTGTTATGAAGTGAGTACACACAATCTATGAGGAGGGATTACATACTGTACATGAGAGGTTTGGTCGTAGAGGAGACAGTTCGGGGGGAGTTGGAATTGAATATGAATGTATTCGTTGGCAGAGAATGGATAGTACAGGTGGTAGTATGGTGGGGGCATGGGAACACTGATTAGAAAGGCTGTAGTGTGGTCAAAGGATGGAACAAAGGAACAATACTACAAAAGGAAGAAGAACTTAGGACGGAGGGTTACTGGGCCGCAGCAGGGTAAGGGGTTGGGGGGGAATTGGGGTGGATGGTGAGGTATTAATATATGGGTGTGTGATGGGTGGTGGGGGGTAAGGGTGGGGGGGGGTGGAGTGGGTGTTTGGGTTGATGGGGATGGGAGGGGGGGGAGGATGGAGGTGAGTGTGAGAGGGTATTAAATATGGATATGGTGGGGGAGGAGTGGGGGGAGTGGTGGGGGGGGTGGGAGGGGTGGTATAGAGATGTGGGGAAGTGGGGGGAGGAAAGAGATGGGTTATGGTGGGGGGGGGGTGGGGGGGGGTTTGGGTGGGGGGGGGGTTGGGTGGGGGGGTGGGTGGTGGGGGGTTGGGGGGTGGGTTGGGGTTGGTTGGTGTGGTGGGGTTGGGGTGGGTGGTGGTGGGTGTGGGGGTGGGTTGTGGTGGTGTTGGGTGGGTGGTTGGTGTTGGGTGTTGTGTGGGTTGGTGTGGTGTTGGGGTGGTGTTGTGGGGTTGGTTGGGTGTTGGTTGTTGGGTGGGTGGGTGGGGTGTGTGGGTGGTGGTGTTGGGGTGGTGGTGTTGTGGGGGTGTGTTGGGTGGTGTGGTTGGGGGTGGGTGGGTGTGTGGTGTGGGGGTGTTGGTGGGTGGGGTGGGTTGGGGTTGTGTGGGGTGGGTGGTTGTGGGTGTTTGTGTGGTTGGGGGGTGGTGTGGTGGTGGGTGTGGTGGGTTTGGGGGGTGGGTGTGGGGTTGGGGTGTTGGTGGGTGGTGGGGTGGTGGTGGGGTGGTGTTGGTGTTGGTGGGTGTGGGTGTTTGTGGTTGGGGGTGGGTGGGGTGGTTGTGGGGTGTGGTTGTGGTTGGTGGGGGGTGGGTGTGGTTGGGTTGTGGGGTGGGGTGGTGGTTGGTGTTGGTGTGGGGGTTGGTTGGTGGTGTGGGTGGGGTGGGGGTGTGTTGTGGGGGGTTGGGGGTGGGTGGGGTGGTGGTTTGTGGTTGGGTGTGTGGGGGGGGTTGGGGTGTGGGTGGGGTTGTGGGTGGGGTGGGTTGGTGTGGGGGTGGGTGGGGGGTGGGGTGTGGGTGGGGTTGTGGTGGGGTGGGGGTGGTGGGGTGGGTGTGGTGGGTGTTGGTGTGGGGTTGGGGGGTGTGGGTGTTGGGGGTGGGTGGTTGGGGGGTTGTGTGGGTTGTGGGGTGGTGGGTGGTGTTGTGGGGTGTGGTGGGTGGGTGTGGGGTGTGGGGGTGGTGTTGTGGGGTGTGTGGTGGGTGGGTGGGTTGGGGTGGGTGGGGGGGTGTGGGGTGTGGTGGGGGTGTTGGGTGGTGGGGGTGGGGGGGTGGGGGTGTGGTGTGGTGTGGGGTGGTTGGTGGGGTGGGGGGTTGGTGTTGGGGGTGGTGTGGGTGGGTGTGGTGGGGGTGGTTGTGGGTTGGTGGTGTGGGTTTGGTGGTGTGGGGGTGTGTGTGGGTGGTGTTGTGGGGGTGGTGGTGTGGGTGGTGTTGGTGGGTTGTGGGGGGGTGTTGTGGTGGTGTTGGTGTTGTGGTGGTTGGGTTGTTGGGGTGGGGGTTTGGTGTGGTGGGGGGGTGTGGGGTGGGGTTGTGGGTGGTGGTTGGGGGTGTGGGGTGGTTGGGGGTGTGGTTGGGGGTGGTGGTGGGGTGGGTGGGGGTGGTGGTTGGGGGTGGGGTGGTTGGTGGTGGGTTGTGGTGGGGTGTGGGGGGTGTGGGGGTGTTGTGGTGTGGGGTGGTTGTGTTGTGGGGTGGGGTGTGGGGTTGGGGGGTGTGGGTGGTGGTTGTGGGGGTGGTGTGGGGGGGTGGGGTTGTGGGTGGTGGGGTGGGTGGGGGGTGTGTGGGGTTGTGGGTGGTGGGTTGTGGTGGGGGTTGTGGGTGTGGGGGGTGGGTTGGGTGGGTGTGGGGGTGTGGGTGTGGGGTTGGTGGGTGTGGGGGGTGGTGGTGTGGGGGTGGGTTGTGGGGGTGTGTGGGGTGTTGGTGTGGGTGTTGTGGGGGTGGGTGGGGTTGTTGTGTTTGTGGTGGGGGTGGGGGGGTGTTGGGGTGTGGGTTGGGTGTGGTGGGTGGGGGGTGTGGTTGTGGGTGGTGTGGGGGTGTGGTTGGTGGTGGTTGGGGGTGGGGTGGTGTGGGTGGGTGTGTGGTTGGGGGTGTGGGTGGTGGGGTGGTGTGGGTGGGGTGTGTGGGGTGGTGGTGGGTGGTGTGGGTGTTGGGTGGTGGGTGTGGGGTGGTGGGGTGTGGTGTGGGTGGGGGTGGGTGTTGGGTGTGGTGTGGTGGGGGTGGGGGGGTGGTGGGTGGTTGGTGTGGGGTTGGGGGTGGTGGTGGGGTGTGGGGTGGTGTGGGGTGGTGGGGGGGGGTGGGTTGTGGGTGTTGGGGTGGGTGGTGGGTGTTGTGGTGTGGGTGTGGTGGGTGGGGGTTGTGTGGTGGGGGGGTGTGGTGGGTGGTGTTGGTGGGGTTGTGGGGTGGGGGTGTGGTTGGGGGGTTGTGGTGTTGGGGTGGGTGGGGGGTGGGTGGGGTGTGGGGGTGTGGTTGGGTGGGTGGGGTTGGGTGGTGGTTGTGGGGTGGGTGTGGGGGGGGTGGGGTGGGTGTTGGGTGTGGGTGGTGGGTGGTGTGGGGGTGGGGTGGGTGGGGGTTGGTTGTGGGGTGTGTGGGGTGGGGTGGGTGGGTGTGGGTGGGGTGGTGTTGGGGGTGGTGGGTGGGTGTGTGGGGTGTGTGGGTTGTGGTGGGGTTGGGGGTGGGTGTTGTGGTTGTGGGGGTGGGGTTGTGGGTGGTGGGGTGTGGGTGGTGGTGGGGGTGTTGTGGTGGGTGGTGGGGTGGTTGGTGTTGGTGGGTGGGGTGGGGGTGTGGTGGGGTGGGGGTGTGGGTGGTGGGGGGTTTGTGTGGTGGTGGGGGTGTGGTTGTGTGGGTGTTGGGTGGGGGGGGTGGGGTGGGGTGGGTGGTGTGTGGTGGTGGGTGGGGGTGTGGTGTTGGGGGGTGGGTGGTGGTGGGGGGGTGGGGGTGTGTTGGGGTGGGGGGGTGGTGTGGTGTTTGGGTGTGGTGGGGTGTTGGGGTGGTGTGGGGTGGGGGTGTGGGGGGGTGTGGGGTGGTGGGGTGGGTGGTGGGGGGTTGGGTGGTGTTGGGGGTGGGTGGTGGGGGGTGTGTGGGTGGTGGGTGGTTGGGGTGGTGGGTGGGGGTGGTGTTGGGTGGGTGGGGGGTGGTGGGGGTTGTGGTTGGGGGTGTGGGGTGGGTGGGGTGGGGGGTGGTGGGTGGGGTGTGGTGGGGTGTTGGTGGTGGGGTGGGGGTGGTGGGGTGGTGGGGGGTGGTGGGTGTGGGGGGTTGGTGGTTGTGGGGTGGGTGTTGGTGGGGTGGGGTGGTGGGTTGTGGGGGGGGGGGTGGGGGTGTGGGGGGGTGGGGTGTGGGGGGGTGGGGTGGGTGGGGTGGTGTGTGGGGGGTGGGGGTGGTGGGGGGTGGGGGGGGTGTTGGGGTGGTGGGGTGGTGTGGTGGGGGTGGTGGGTGTGGGGTGGGTGGGGGGTGTGTGGGTGGTGGGTGGGTGTGGGGTGGGGGGTGTGGGTGTGTGGGTGGTGGGTGTGGTGGGGTTGTGGGGTGGGGGGTTGGGGTGGTGTGGTGGGGGTGGTGGGGTGGTTGGGTGTGGGGGTGGTGGGGGGGTGGTGGTGGGGGGGTGGTGGTGTGGGTGGGTGGGTGGGTGTTGTGGGGTGTGGGTTGTGGGGGTGGGTGGGTGTGGTGTTGGTGGTGGGGTGGGTGGTGGTGGGGGTGGGGGTGGTGTGGGTGGTTGGGGTGGGGTGGGTGTGGGGTGGTGGGTGTGGGGGGGTGGGGGGGGGTGGGGTGTGGGGTGTGGTGGGTGGTTGTGTGGGTGGTGGGGGTTGGGTGGTGTGGGTGGTGGGGGTGGTGGGGGGGGGGGTGTGGGGTGGTGGGTTTGGGTGGGGTGGTGGGGTTGGTGGGTGGGGTGGGTGGTGGGGGGTGGGTGGGTGTGTGTTGGGGGTGGTTGGGTGGGGTGTGGGGTTTGGGTTGTGGGTGTGGTTTGGTGTTGTGGGGGTGTGGGTGTGGGGGTGGGTTGGTGGTGGGGTGTGGGGGGTGGTGGGGTGTGGGTGGGGTGGTGTGGGGTGGGTGGGTGTGGGTTGTGTGGGGGTTGGGGTGGGTGGTGGTGGTTGGGGGTGGGGGGTGTGGGTGTGGTGGTGGTGGTGGGGTGGTGGGTGGTGGGGGGGTGGGTGGGGTGTGTGGGTTGGTGTGGGTGGTGGGTGTTGGTGGGGTGGGTTGGGGGTGGGGGTGTGGGTGGGGTTGTGGGGTGGTGGTGGGGTGTTGGGTGTGGTGGGGTGGTTGGGGGTGGGGGGTGGGGTGGGGGTGGGTTGGGTGGGGGTTGGTGGGTGGGGGGGTGGGGGGTGTGGGGGGGGTGTGGTGGGTGGGGGGTGGTGGGGGGTGGGTGGGGGGGGTTGTGGGTGGGGGTGGGTGGTGGGGGGGGGTGTGGGGTGGGTTGGTGGGTGTGGGTGGGGGTGTGGGGGTGTTGTGGTGTGGGGTGGTGGGTGTGGGGGTTGTTGGGGTGTGGGTGGTGGGTGGGTTGGGGTGGGGTTTGTGGGGGTGGTGGGGGGGTGGTGGGGGTGTGGGGTGGGGTTGGTTGTGGGTGGGTTGTGGTGTGGGTGGTTGTGGTGGGGTTGGGTGTGGGTGGGGTTGTTGGTGTTGGTTTGGGTGGTGGGGTGGGGGTGGTGGGGTGGGGGTTGGTGTGTGGGTGGGGGTGGTGGGTTGTGGGGGGTGGGGGTGTGGGGGGGTGTGGGTGGGGGTGTGTGGTTGGGGGTGGTGTGGTGTGGTGGGGGTGGTTGTTTGGTGGGTGGTGTGGGGTGTGGGTGGTGGGTGGGGGGGTTGTGGTTGGGGGTGGGGGGTGTGGGGTGTGGGTGGTTGGGGGTGGTGGGGGGGTGGGTGGTGGGGGTGGTGGTGTGGGGGGGTTGGTTGGTGGGTTTGGGTGTGGGTGGGGGGGTGGTGGTGTGGGGTGTGGTGGGTTGTGGGTGGTTGGGGTGTTGTTGTGTGGGGTGGTGTGGGGGGTGGGTGGGTGTGGGTTGGGGGGTGGGTGTGGGTGGGGTTGGGGTGTGGTTGGGGGGGGGTTGGTGGTGGGGTGGTGTGGGTGGGGGGGGGGTGGGGGGTGGGGTGTGTGGGGTGGGGTGTGGGTGTTGGGGGTTGGTGGGGGGGGTGGTGTTGTGGGGTGGGGTGTGGGGGGGTTGGTGGTGGGTGTTGGGGTGGTGTTTGGTGGGTTGGTGGGGGTGGTGTTGTGGGTGGTGGTTGTGGGGGTGTTGTGTGGTGGGGTGGGTTGTGGTGTGGTTGTGGGGTGGTGTTGGTGGGTGGTGGGTTGGTGGGGTGGGTTTGGTGGTTGGGGGGGGTGGGGTGGTGGGGGTGTTGTGTGGGGGTGGGGTGGTGGTTTGGGTGTGGGGTGTGGTGGGTGGGGGTGGGGGGTTGGTGGGTGTGGGGTGGGTGGGGGGTTGGTGGGTGTGTGTTGTGGGGTGTGGGTTGGGGGGGTGGGTTGTGTGTGGGGTGGGGGTTGGGGTGTGGTGGGTGTGGGGTTTGGTGGGGGGGGTGGTGGTGGGGGTGGGGTTGTGGTGGGGGGTGGGTGGTGTGTTGGTGTTGGTGGGGTGTGGGTGGGTTGTGGGGTGTTGTGGGGTGGTGGGGTTGGGGGTTGGTGTGGGTTGTGGTGTGGTGGTGTTGTGGGTGGGTGTGGGTGGGTGGGGTGTGTGGGTGTGGGGGTGGTTGGGTGGGGTGGGTGTGTGGGTGGGGTGTGGTGGGTTGTGGTGGGTGTGGGTGTGGGGGGGTGGGTGGTGGGGTTGTGGGGGTTGGGTGTGGTGGGTGGGGTGGTGTGTTGTGGGTGGGTGTGGGTTGGGGGTGTGGTTGGGTGTTGTGTGGGTGTGGTTGGTGTGGTTGTGGGGTGTGGGGTTGTGGGTGGTGGGGTGGGGTGTGTGGTGTGGGGGTGGTTGGGTGGGTTGGGGGTGGGTGGGGTTGTGGGGGGTGGTGGGTTGTGGGTGTGGGGGTTGGTGGGTGTGGGTGTTGTGGTGGGGGGGTTGGGGTGGGGGTGTGGGGTGTTGGGGGTGTGGGTGGGTGTTGGGGTGTGTGGGTTGTGGGTGGGTGTGGGTGGGGGGGTGTTGGTGGGGTGGTGTTGGTGTGGGGTGGTGGGTGTGGTGGTGTGGGGTTGGTGGGTGGTGGTGTTGGGGGGTGTGGTTGGGTTGTGTGGTGTTGGGTGGGTGGGGGTGGTTGTGGGTGTTGGGGTGGGTGGGGGGTGGTGTGGTGGGTGGGTGTTGGTGGGTGGGGGTGTGTGGGTGGGGTGGGTTGGGTGTGGGGGGTGTGGTGGGGTGGGTGTGGGTGGGGGGTGTGGTTGTGGTGGTGGGGGTTGGTGGTGGGGGTGTTGGGTGGTGTGGTTGTGTGGGTGGTGTGGGTGTGGTGGGGGGTGTTGGTGGGTGGTGTGTGGGGGGGTTGTGGGGTGTGGTTGTGGGTGTGTTGGTGGGTTGTGGGTGGTGGTTTGGTTGTGGTGGGTGTGGGGTGTGGTGGGTGTGTTGGGGTGGTGGTGTTGGGGTGGTTGGTGGGTGGGGTTGGGGGGGTGTGGGTGGGGGTGGTGGGTTGTGGGGTTGGTGTGGGGGGGTGTGGGTGTGGTGGTGTTGTGGGTGGGTTGTGGTTGGTTGTGGGTGGGGTTGGTGGGGTGGGGGTGGGTGTGGGTGGTGTTGGGGGTGTGGGTGGTGGGTGTGGTGGGGGTTGGTGTGGTGGGTGGTGGGTGTTGGGTGTGGTGTGGGGTGGGTTGTGGGGGTGGGTGTGGTTTTGGGTGGTGTTGGGGGGTTGGTGTTGGTGGGTGTGGTGGTGTTGGTGTGGGTGGGGTGTTGGTGGGGTGTGGGTGGGTTTGTGGTGTTGTGGGTGTGGTGTTGGGGTGTGTGGGTGGGGGGTGGGTTGTGTGGGGTGGGTGTGGGTGGGTGTTGGGGTGGTGTTGTGGTGGGTGGGGTGGTGTGTGGGTTGTGGGGTTGGTGGGTGTTGGGGTGGGGGTGGTTGGGGTGGGGTGTGGGTGTGTGGGGGTGTGTGGGGTGGTGGGGTGGGTTGGTGTGGGGTGGTGGTGGGTGGGTTGGTGGTGGGTTGTGGTGGGGGGGTTGTGGGTGTGGTGGGGTTGGTGTGGTGGGGGGTTGGGGTGTGTGTTGGGGGGTGGGGTGGTTGTGTGGGGGTGGTGGGGGTGGGGTGGTGGGGGGTGTGGGTGGTGGGGTGGGTGGTGGTGTGGGGTGGTTTGTTGGGGTGGGGTGGTTGGTGTTGGGGTGGTGGGGGTGTTGGTGGGGGTTGTTGGGGTGGGTTGGGGGGGGGTTGTGGGTGTTGTGGGTTGTGGGTGGTGGGGGTTGGTGGTTGTGTGGGGGTGGGTGGGGGTGGGGTGGTGTGTGGGGGGTTGTGGGTGTGGTTGTGTGGGTGGTGTGTTGGGGGGGTGGTTGGTGGGTGGTGTGGGGTGGGTGGTTGTGTTGGGGGTGTTTGGTTGGGGTGGGTGTGTGGGGTGGTTGGTGTGGGTGGGGTGTTGTGTGGGTGGTTGTGGGGGGTTTGGTTGGTGGGGTGTGGGGTGTTGGGAGGGTGAGGAGGGGGATGGGGGGTTGGTTGTGGGGGTTGATTTGGGTATTTTTATTGTTTTTTTTTTGTGTTGGTATTTGGTTGGTTGGTTTAAGTGATGTTTTTGTTGTTGGGATTGTGAATTGTTGAGTGGGGTTTGAGAGGGTTGTTGAAGGTTTGGGGAATGTGGGGAGGGTTGGTGGATGTGGGGTTTGGATGTGGTATGATTAAGTTAGGTTGTGGGGAGTAAGTTATTATTTTATGGAATATTTTGGGTAGTAAGGGTTATGTTTTGTGGTTGTGTAATATGTATGGTGATTAGTGATGGGGTTGTGGTTGTATTTGGAAGGTGTTTAGGGTGTGGGAAGGTTGGAATGGGTAGTGGTTTGAAAGTAATGGTGTTGTATGGTTGTTTATAGGTAGAGGTTGTGAGGATGGTTGGTTAAGGGTGGGGTTGATAATTTATAATAATGTAAATGTATAATTTTGTGGTGTGTTTGGATTGTTTTTGGGTTTGATGATGGTATAGTATAGGAAGATGGGATGGTAGTTATATGTTTTGGAGGGTCAATTGTTTGCAGTCTTCAAGTCTGTGCAACTCAAACAGCATGTGTGAATAGGAATGTAATATTAAAAAATAAAATCCACTCTAGATGGAATGCTAACTTGTTAATACTCAACACACCGGAACCACACATAAATGTTAAAAAGTCTACAAAAAAGATGCCGTTTTATTGTAAAATGAGCACAGCCGAACTTTGTTATTCTTAAATATGTGATTTCTAGCGTTAAGAGGTACAGCCCTGAACGTGTGCGAAAAACCTTTTAAAATGTATACTTCTTTACAAACAGAATGAGCCAAGTTATTGACTGGCATTGTCAATAACTAGCATTGGTCACTAATACAATGTAAATCTCTAGCAATACTTAATATCCTTCATTTAGTCCTTGATAATATATTGCTGTGATCTATAAAGTGCAAACCAGCATTAAGTGGACACCAGCATGAAAGACTGATAAAATATCTCCTTCCACTACACAGAAATATGGCTCCCTTTTGGTCATTTTACACTCGTGTGACCACAAGCTATTCTTTGTAACAAATACCAGCATTGTGAAGAAAACATTTAAAAGGGAAATTTACAGATACCTTCTTTGATTGAAATAATAAAAAACAAATCAACCACCATCTTTAAAAGCAGCAGATAGACTCGCATTTGGTGAGTCTAAAAACAAATGCAAATTACTTGAAAGGAAGATTTGCATTGTAGGGATGTCCATGTAGACCCTTTAATATGGGATTTGATTCTGATAGTACTGCAGCATATCATAGGTCTTGCTCCTAAAGTGAGAGGAGTCAAAAGAAAAGGGTTAGGTGCATTGAATAAATCAGTGCCCAATCAAACAGCATGACTTATGCCTCACCTGCTACTGAGGAAACAGCTCTGAATGATTTTGATCATGAATGCAGCTGCCTCTTTCTCACTCATTTGTGGGTTGAATCGACCTCTAAAAAGCAAAGAACAATGTTAATCTTGAGGGTAGTGGGGGAAATTTATGCTGCATGAATTATGTTTCAATTGATTACTTCAGTAGTTTAATGGTTTGCCCTCTGAAACATGGCAGCCCAGTGTCCAGCATCAGAGTTACCAAAGAAACCACTGCATCCATGTAGGGCCTGCATTAGAGTGGATTAGGTTTTATATGTTTTCTCATTTAATTTACAGAGTAGAATGGATGCCTTACCGAACAGCCAGATATCCTCTGACGCACATCTCCATGAACCACTTGAAAGGGGTAGCTTCCATTTTGCCTCCCATAATCATGACCATCTCATCAGTCAACTTGATGTCCGGTTCCCAGCCGAGGTTACCTCCAGGGGAACTCTCAAACATGAAGCCAAAGTCTTGGGAAAAGCATGTTTGTATAGTTTTATTAAGTTATATACAGTTAACTAGGTCAATAAATACAAATATATAAAATACAAGAATAACGTACCGATGTGGATAAGATGACCCTTGCTGTCGAGCATAATATTCCCATTGTGTCTGTCTTTGATCTGCAGCAGGAACAACAGAAGACTGTAGGCCGCCATGCTCCGGATGAAGTTATAACGAGCCTACAAAGAGAAGAAGGACAAGAGGTAAATCAAAAAGGTTAGTTTGCATTTTTTCGTTTACAAAATATATGAAATTCACTCCCACCTTTTGGAATGCTAAAGTGGATTCATCTCCGTATTGGTTACGGAAGTAGTCATACATTCCAAAGTCTGTCTGTCTGCCGAGTTGGTCACGGGATTTGCAGTCAGGGATACATTCAATCACACCACACTGGGAACATGTACATATTTTAACCACAGTGGCTCAAAAGATATTTAGTTGCAGGGTGAGTAATATTAAAGTTTTACCCCTGGCGCCGTGGCGACCACTCTATATGGGAAAACGAACAGATCCAAACCAACCAACTGGAAAATATTCTTAAAGAGTCCAATAATTTGTAGCGCTAGCATATCCTAAAAAATAAATAATAATAATGATATTTGATCATTTTCATCAAAAATGTGCGGCAAATTAAGATTTTTTTATTACCTGGCGACAATCATCTCCAACTTTAAAAATGGCCGCCTGCCAGCAAACCTTTCGAGACCCATCAGGATTTTCCTCTCCGTCTTCTACCGAGTCTGAAGGGCAGCGAAGGCCCTCCCTCTCCAGCTCGCTCACACCACAGCGTTTCACTTTGAACTTTGCAAGGTATGGTGCTTTCGCAGCACTGGAAAACCACACATGTACCAATGAAACTCAATAATAATAAAAAATGAAATACATTTAAACAGGTATTTAGTACATGTATTACCTTTGCATAGGTGTTCCAGATTTGTAATCAATATCAAGAACAATTGCTTCAGGGTTACTTGGCAAGTAGCAGCCTGCAGGCACAACATCAGCACCAGTTTATTAATGCCCACCAAAACCAGAGTCCAATAAATGTGTCAAATGTGCTGTACCTGCTTGAACCTTGATGTCAGACAATGCTTTAAGACAGGCGCGTTTTCTCTCTTCACCTTTTGGAACAGGCCTAAAATACAAGATTAAAAGGTCGTACCGATCTTAAAGAAGGGAGATAAGTGTAATCATGAACGACTTTACTTGATCATGGCAGACACATTGGTGATCTTGTTGAAGAAGTCAAACTCTCTCTGGTAGAAATCCTTTGCTGGTCCGGACAGAGAGTTGATGATTTCCTCAACCATTTGCTCCAACAGCTCTCCGATGTCGGCTAAACAGTTTCAGCAGAAACTTAAGATCAAATCACACTCACGGTACAAAAACATACATTTTTTCCACTTACGATCTTTCTGATGTCCCTCCTCGTCCAGGTAAATGTTGGTTTTCATGTTCCAGATAAACTGATGCGCGAGGAGCTGGGACTTTTGAGCTGCCCAAAGAATGTACTCTCGAACATAACCCATCTAAAAATAAAAACACAAGTCACTAACCATAACCCTCAGACTGACTTTAAGACCCCTTCATTAATTCTTGCAATTTTTAGACAAATATAAATAATCAGATTACCCTTTCATTTCAAACCCCATGTTGGTTCTAACGCTCACACAGGTGGCATTAAACATGAGAATAATACCTTATCATAACGTAACGCTTGTACAATCTGGGGGATGTAGAACAAAATGGCATCCTAGGGAGAAATAACAAAGTGTTAAGACATCATGATGGCGCATACTCAAGACTTTATCGGGGAAATGTTTACCGGAGGGAAGGAGCGCAGGACCTTGACGCCGTACTGAGCCGTGAGTGGATGAGGTGGGTACATGCTGCTGAAGTAGGACAGGCCGGTGGGAGGGTCTGCCGGAGCCCAACACAGGATATGGCTGAGCTCAGGCGAGTCGGCATCGATAGTGTGCCAGGTCACTAAAAACTACATCAAAAACAAAAATATTTTAACTCAATTCACTTCAATTTATTCTTGTACAGCCCTAAATCACAACAATAGTAATCTTGGAGGACTTTACGCAACCGTTGAATTTGCCAACACAGATCAGAGAATGAAACGGTTCAAACACAAGAAATAATTGAAGCAGCATTGATTACAGCAACATTGGAATCAAACTTTCCCACTTACTTTTACAGCTTCCGGCACATCACTGACAGCTCCAGGGTCGAGTCTCACAAGTCGTGTTACTTCAGCGACAATGGCATCGTTTTTAAACCTACCGATGTAGCAGGTAAATGTTTTATGTTTGTGAAAGGGGCAATGAAAATAATTTAATTCATTGAATAGTAAACCTTGCTGGAAGCTGCATTGCCAAGTATGGCGCAATGCTCCAGGCCAAATTCACATTGTCCTTCCACTGTTTCTCTGTCAGACTGATGTATTTGGACCTCCAGTTGGAGATGCTGGTTTCCACAGACTGTTCAGTGACTATGGCTAGTTCCTGGGTGGAAAGGGGATTGTACCATGTGGTAAGCCGTTCAATCTCACTGGCCTGAAAACACAAGACAGGAAGATATCTATTACGGTTATATAATAGTAGATAACATTCAAACAAGGTCCAAGCCCAGTGGAGAAGTGCTCATGGACAAAGTTTTGCTCCAACTTGCTCTGGCTCCTGTAAACTTACTGAGCTAGAGGAGTTCACTTTTCCATGTAGCAGTCATACTCACCAATTTTGGTTTGATATTGTCTTTGTGAATTCAGATAGCACAATATAAGTATTGACTGGGGACCAGGGAAACACCAACATACTTTATAAACCATGTAGGCAGCTCGTTGGCCCCTGTTATGATGCAAAGAATTGGCCTCTTCCAGATTAATGCTATCACTATGGCTGAAATGTAAATGTGCACTTTATTGTCCCCGTAGGACAATTCATCCTCTGCATATGACCATCCTGATGCCACTAAGGCTTACGTCAGGAGCAGTGATCGCCGTAGTACAACGCCCGGGAACCCATCCTAACTTGTGCTGTGTGCTCCTCTTTCCTACTGTCCTATAACTTGTGATGCAACACTGAAATTTCCCCACCGTGGGACGAATAAAGGATCTCTTAATCTTAATCTCCAGGTTTTGATGCTCGTCTTAGTCAGGACTACCAGAGCTGGAGGATTTTACCTAGTGTGCATGTTTTTAGTGGTAGGGGAAACCGGAGCACCCAGAGGAAAGCTACGCAGACACAGGGAGAACATGCAAACTCCACTCAGAAAGGCCCTGTTCAAACAACTATTTGAACCCAGGACCTTCTTGCTGAGAAGCGAGAGTGCTATCCCCTCAGCCACCGTGACGTCAAAACTCAGTTAGTCCACTCCTAATATACGTCTATGTTCCCAATAGTCAACACGTATATTTTAATCCTTCTAATCCTGTGGCATGTGTCTTTACCTCTGCTCACTCCATTTTTGGCTTAAATATGCACAGTTTTGCACTTGCACTCACCTGTTCTATTTCTCACACCTATTATTACAATAAGCCACCTTCTCTCCAACGTCTCACTTTGGTCGAAAATCATGAGGAAAAACTGTCCATCACAAAACTTACAACAATCAGCTTTTAACCAGCGCCTTCCCTCGTCTCACACAACCTCAGACGCAGCTCTCATGTTGGTAAAAAACCTGTTTATAAATTATTCATAACACAGCAGGAGCCGTTTCATAGGCTTCAAAGAGCCGGCACGTGTTCAGTGTGTGTTACTGTGTGTAATAGAGACTTGTTGACACACGTTACCTTTGGTTTACTTCTATTTTATACAAATATTGAACATTTATTGCTTCAATCATGAAAAATTTTGTTTTTTGGATAAACAAACAAAATCAATCAATAGGAGAAAAATAATTGTGACAGACCTCATTCAAAACCATCACACCAAAACAAGGAATTAATTGAAATCACGGTAAAGATTCTCACCAGTAATGCCAAGAGCAGAGTTCTGCGTTTTGTATAATACTTATGAAGTTGAGTTCCCCTGTTGCTCTTCTTGGATGTGCCTGGAAGAAGAGGACAAGCCTGAGTTGTACAGCTGGTGTAGTTTTGTGCGCTCGTTTTTACCGTTTAAATGGCCTGTAAAGGAATATACCTGACTTTTTAGATGCAGTGGACATTCCACTAGAAAGCGGATATGTGTTAATCCAGCCCTGACCGCTCTGCTGGGAGCGGGAGCTAGAGTCCATGCTGCTCCGGAGGTCAGCAGCATTCATCACAGACAAACTATTAAGTGATGGGTCCTGATTATCTGTTCACAGAGAAAAACAATTAGCAAAACGTGTTCCATTGCTTAAAGTCGAAAAACATGGGTGGTGAAGATGTTTTGAAAATAAATGAGTTCTCGTCATTTTAATTGTCATGCAGGGAAACCAGCGGGAGATGAAAGCCGTTCAAACCACTGATCTGGGGTCATATCGGTGTGTTTTTTACTTGGCAGGATTATGGCCCAAGAGCTGTGGTCAAAGAGACTGTTTGCAGGAGTTGAATTTGAATGGATGTATGGCTATGAGATCATGTTTCTTTAGTTTGTTTGGAATGAAAAGGACAGGTTGTTTTATTTTTAGGGGTATTGAAGTCAAATTCAGTCAATTGTGAAGAGGGGGGCAGGTGGAGGGGCTGATAAAATGAATAATCATGCAGCTTAACGCAGATGACAAATTTGCACTTATCCTCACAGTTGCTTCAAATATTTTAGAAAGAATCAATACAAAGTTGTTAAACAAGAAGACATTTTGAAGGACCACAAGAAACAAAACAATGTCTAAATTGAGAGAAAGAAAACAGAGAGATTTGTTTAGGTTAATAAATCTGCAGCAATGTGAGGAGATCCAGCGACAAATTTGACATGCGCAACAGCATGCCCCTGCTGCAGTGCAGTCCGAGCTCCACCACGTAAGGCTTACTCAAGATAGATATCGGAGAAGTGCTGGACACAATTAGCGATCCAAAAATTCCAGCTGAGAGGGTGCTCGGGACAGGGCTAGTACCAAGCTCACCAGGTGGAACCAACTGACACGCAGCCAGGTATTTCTTGTCAGAAAGGATGCTAGCGTAGAAGCGAATCATTACACTGATGTCTTCACGAAGTCGCTTGTCACACTGAGTTGGGAACTTGGGGGTAACACTAAAACAGAGACATTTAGTATCAAATTTGGTATCAAAACAAGCAACGCTGGGTAGAAGTTACCTAAAGTAGTCAAAGGCTGTAGAGTAGATTTTTTCACGGAGGACATTTCGAACAGTAGCATTTGTGAGAACGTCAGAATGGAGAAAAGCCAGTCCCAGAGTGAGCAATCTGCAGGACGCAAAATAACATCAATACAATCTGGAAATGAACCAATACACTCTTGTAAAAATCTACCTGAAGCGAGGGCCAATAGCAGCTACATGGCGGTTGAGACTACTTTGATTGCCACCAACATTCAGAGACAGAGATCGCTGAAGCAAGCTGCCAAAGATCTCGACTTGATCTTCGCTAGAATATTTGGCAATTTCAAACCTCTGGACAAGAAACTGGAAATGAAGAAGATACTACATTAATATTTATATTTTAGCAGCTTTGCAAAAACTCTCTCAATAATAACAAAAGTAAGATTAAACCTCAATCCAAATGTGGTGAGGAGTCACATCCGGAGGACAAGGTACAGGCTGGCTTTCTTCAGATGCTGCCAGAGGATCGGCCTCGACCTGAGCGTCTGAAAACAGCCCCATCTTCAACTCCACCGTCATCTGCCAAGCTCCCGCCATCTCCCGCATAAACTACAAAACCAACAATGCACTGTAGATAGTCATAATATGTTTGTGAGAGAAAACCGAACATTATGCAATCGTTAAATGTACCGGGACTTCAATTCCAGTACGGGCCGCTAGTAGCCACTCCCAGCAGGCGATAGCAGTCTCCATGCCATGCTCTGTAAACATTTTGAGAGGCGACCAGCAAAGATGGTGCAGGAGCTGAGGGTCACAGTCTAAAAGAGAAGGTTAAGTCATAATCATCCATCCATTCATCCATTTTCTTCCCCTTAATCCATTTCTGAGTCAGAGATGTCACCCAACTCACAAAGCACCGGTCAAGTCATAATCAATGCAAATTAAATGCAAACGACAGAAAACGTGGGTGAATAAACAGATTGAAAATGTACTGAACCCTTTGTGATGATGAGCAACGCGGCCAGTTTGAACATGGACTCTGTAAACGCCTCGGGCTGAGCAGTGTCCAGAGCTTCCCCCATCTGTTTGATCATCAGTCGACTCAGATCGGGATGTCCTTTCATTGCTTGGGCAAAGTGGATCATGCCTGATACCTGCAGGAAAAGACAAGAGACCAATTGTTCAAATGTTTGCTTTTAACATTAATATCTGTGATGTTTACCTCTCCAGCATATCGATTTCTGAGGTTTAGAGATGCCATGAAATTGGAATAATCCTTCTTGACACAGGCAGGTCTTTCGGACAATTGAGTGGACTATAGATACGAAATGCACAAAAAGCTCATTAATGGGATATTCTAAAAAGGTGAATAACATTATTTGTATTTTTTCCATAATACAAATTTTATTATCCACAAAGTCATTCAATATTGATAATGTTCAGAGCATTTCATGAAAAATAAGACTTCATGACCCACCCCCAGCGTGAGGCTCTCTCGGTTGTAGCCAGCAAAGTGCAGGATACTCTCTGTGGCCATAGCTAAGCCTGTGTGTTGAGACAGTCCTGACACCCAGTTCTGGTGCTTGTTTAGGTATTCCTAAAAGAAATACACACATGTCCAGACTTGTTTGTCGTATGTGCAGTGTAAATATTTAGGCCCTGTCCACACGAAGTCAAGCTAAGGCCTAAACGCAAAAATACGTTATCAATCCAGTGTATCGTCCATACGAGGCCGGCGTTTTGGGGGGGTGTAAACGAACATTTTTGAAAGTAGGTCCCAGAGTGGAAAGATTTCAAAACTCCGTATATGCCGCTCCGTGGTTACTGCCTCTCCGCAATGTATCTGAGACGCTTGCGTCATCGCCCCGCCTCTTGTTAAAGCACGCATGCGCCGCACGCATAATGACAACAACAATGTAGCTTGTTGGTTTTGTAATCCAGTGCGACCCGAAGCAACAGTTCAACCTCATCGTCCGTCCATACTAATGTAGTACCAGCTTGCCCACTCGCCATGTTGTCTGTTTACAACATTCCGCGCATGCCCAGTTCCCGTCACGGAAGTTTGGGCTTGATCCCGTCATTGCGTCACAGCGCCACCAACAGGTCTGGCATAGTTTCACAGCGTTTTCAGGCGTATTGACTACATTCATATGGACGCACACATTTACTGAGCTAACTCCGTGTTTACAGAAAAAGTTTCTGAAATTATAAGCGTTTTGTCTTCGTGTGGATATAGCCTTAGTCTAGCCTATGATATCACCTGGAGATGAGATTTGGTCACAGATGGGGCCCACTTCATTGCTTCTTTAAGGATCTCTCCACAGCGAGCAGCAAAATCCTTTACGATGCTCTACAAATGAGAGTTTTACATTCACATTAACACAAAACTAGTGTGCTTTATTCATATTCTGTGAATGCAACAAAAGTAAAGATGAGCACACCTCTCTGGCTTCATACGTGTCCGGCACAGTGACTCGGTAGGGAGTGTCTGGGATGTCATAGTACGGTTGGTCTTTGTGGATGTCCTGAAAAAAACATTAAAGCATTTGTATAACAGTACCACACTTTTTGGACTATTGGTTGCAGGCACCAGCTACATTTTGTCCACATATAAGCCGCACTTGAATGTAAGCTGCAGTTTTTGATGTAATGTAGCAGATAGATGTAAAAATATAGCGGTTGATAGTCCGGACATTAACTCCACACAGAGATGGGAGCGGGGTCGCCGAACAGGAGGCGCATGCCAGACCTATTGTACATATTTTTAGTGGTAGGGGAAACCGGAGTACCCGGAGGAAACCTACGCAGACACGGGGAGAACATGCAAACTCCACTCAGAAAGGCCCTGGTCCGGCCGGGATTCGAACCCAGGACCTTCTTGCTGAGAGGCGAGAGTGCTATCCACTCAGAGTATATTTGTATCTGACAGGATTCTAACTTACAGCACTTAAGGACAGTGACAGTGTCTGTAGGATATCCAACATGGTCCGGAGAACACGGCCACTCCACAGCAGGTGAGGAAAACTGGAAAGACAGGTCAATGACATTAAAAATGGTCCATTAGAGTTTCATAATTAAAAAGGATTACTCACGTTTCAGCAAGTCCAGACAAATATTTGTCTGCCACTCGCCGTATTCTCTTATGTATGTGGTTAAAGTTGACCAAGAGAAACTGAGCATGGCGCTCTAGCTCTTCCTCGTGAGATTTAGTTTTTGCCTAAAAACACAAGACTCCATGTAAGAGTGTGGACAGGGAACAAAGAAAGACCTGGTGAATATTCCTTACTTTTTCTGCCATCATGTGAAGAAAGACCTCAAATACTTTGTCACTGACTGCAATCACACACTGCATCATACCTGAAAAGATTTATTATAGATAAAATAAAGTCGAGGAAAAATTAATAAAGTTTATTTGAAATCCTACCAGATTTATCCTTTTGAATTGCTCTGTCTTCAAAATAACGAAACATGACTTGAAATCGATCAGAGTCCGGAGAATACAGCATCCTGAAAATATACCATCATATTATTCAATAATAAATATTTACATACGAGATATAGGTTTGTGGTTTTCTTGCTATACCTCATATATTCAAGTCTGTACACGGACAAGAGGTAAGTGGACATAGCAAAGTCCAGTTTGTTGATTAGAACGGCCACATCAGGAGGAGGGTCTAACAGGTTGATGATAGTGCTCCGCAGGTCATTCAGTTCACCCTGAAATTCATTTTGTTATGAGATTGAAAATAATTTTACTGCACATTTCTTGCATGACATGACATACGGGGGTGACAGTGTCGTTCTTCAAGGCAGAATTGTACTGCAGCTCGGAGCGTAACGGTTCTCCGCTGGGAAATGTGAGCAGTGGGGATTTAGTTGCAATCTCACAGACTCCTTCGTACCATTCCTCTGGCCAAAGACCTAGATAGAGAGCATTGTGTTGTAAGCTATGAAACAAAACATTAGCTTCATTATTACATTATCAAAATAGAATAAACATAATATTCAAACCTGAACCCTCTACTGCAAAGCCCATCACAACAGAGTAGAGCCAGAAGTCTCTGAAGAGTTTCTGCAAGCGCGGTTTGGCTTCTTTGATTGGTGGAAGTCTCCTGGTCAGCTAAAAAACAAGACGATGACAGTAAAACAATAGTTCTCAAATATTTCCCTCAGAAGATGAGTAAAATCGTACATGCAGCCCCCAAGTTCTGTCAAAACATTGGCCTTCTGGTTTATTTGAATCTATTATTGTGTTATACAGTATGTGAAATTAAATGTGAAATAATGGGACTTTTATCTTGAATCACTCTGAAACCGACTTTAAGAAGCTGCACTAAAACTAGGAGCATCCTTTTGTGTTTTGAAAAACGTTCCTCGAAAAATTATTGAAATTTAATTTACATACCACAGCAATAACAGGGATTAAGACTCCAAGGTTTCCAGCGCTGCTAGAAGCCTACAGAACAAACAAAACAAAAAAACATGCATTTTTATAGTTGTTTTTTTTGCAATATTATGTCTGAATAATACAGTAATGTAATGATATCGTATTTTTGAATCTACCTTTAAAGCTGGGCCTTTGTCAGAGGCCCTCTCACTTGCTCTTTTTCCTTCCAGTCCAAGTTGAACAAAAAGTTCCAACAGGTTCACAAGAAGCTCATCCACCATTTGCTCATTTTGAAGATTTGCTGCTATGTTACCGAGGGCATTTATGACAGCAAGGGAGCAATGTCTATCAACAGAAAACAAGGTTAAGTTACATAATAGAAAAAATAAAGTCCTCAGGGATGTGTAATACCATGTGCTTCTGAGACTCACCTGTAGCCATGATCCTTGTAGTCCTTAGTAGAGTAAACCATGGAACTAGCTTTAACACTGATCTGCTGAAATAAATTCCATACTTCCTGGTAGATATATTGCTAAAAAAAGAAAAGAAATTAAATAAATAGAACACAAATAAAACAATCTCAAAATAACTGTAGGTGTCTTGTATTTGTATTTACATTGCCTGTGATGACCATGCAGCCAAGTTGGTCAATGATGAGGACATCGAGCTGAGATGGAGGCTGACAGAACTTTTGTTGCAGGATTTGAAGTATCGGCTCCATTACTCTGGGAGTGTCTCGTAAGGCCACAGAAATGTGGCCCAAAGCCCTGATGGTGTGATCTGGGATTAAATGAGCGTCTCTGAGGATGAAATACAGGAGAAATCAGTCATATTTCCGTCTTTCTGTAGCCATTTGAACCTTACTTATCGTTCTCTTGATAGATGTAAAGGCGGTTAGAAAGACTTGCAAGAAAGGCTTCCACAATGACATTGTCCCAAGTGAGGCCTGCTTTTAGACACCTAACGGGCATAAACACAAGCAGTTAAAGAAAGATATTTCTAATGGGACATGTCCCTTAATTTTCATATATTCTATTGGTAACGCATGTGTGAATGTATCCATGTATCAATAAAGTATGTATCCATGTATCAAAGAAGTATTTATCCATGTATCTATACAACCGTCAATGTGAATCCAATGGATCCAGTTCAGGTTGAGTTTTCTTTATTTGTACCATAGGTACATTTGTCTTCAATATAAATTACCTGCAGATGTTATCTATAGAGATGTCCCTCAGCTGTTCATACATAGACGGCTGGCTCTTCTTGCTTGTACTGGCGCTTAGTGTTGACTGAGAATGCTCATTGGTTACATGAATTTTTATTTCACTGCCACCTGTAAAAAATATACATTTTAAAAAGTGTTATATTTAAAGAATCAGTAATTCAGCAATATATTTTGTATATTCTTGGATACCTGTGAACTGGCTGTGGTATTTGTACAACTTCACCAACACAGGAGATGGTACCACCAAGAAGTCTCTTAAAGACGTGGTGACCGAGTGGGCAACAACAGGAAACCGTTCACACAGCCGCCCGAGACCCTGAATTAGACCAAGAAATGTCAGCTAACGTTTGAATAAGTATGAACGTATTAAAGAGGAAGGAAGGTTACATAAAAGTAACCAAAGAAGAACTTAATACCACAACCTCAGGAAACATGATTGTAGAAAAACGGTATAAAATACATTGCATCAACTTGATCTATATGATGTTTCAAAGTGAAAGCATATGCATGGTATGGAAGCCTGACCAGCCACCTAATTTTTGACATATAAATTGCGTGAGTCTTCCTGGTCCCTGGCTAATGGTATGGTATGATTTCTACTTTTACAGAGACAGTGTATAAAAAACACTGGTAAAAAGGAGATATGCTGTATATGAGGCTATTGCCGGAACCCTATTTCACCCCTTTCGTTAAATAATGTATGTACATAGTGAAGTTGATCAAATAAAATGACCACACTTGCTAATTTGTAAACTAAATCAAATCCATTCTCTTTGAATATTAACATATGTATGCTTCTTCTTTTTCTGTTACTTTACTGTGTCGTTTTCAATTCTTTCATGTTACAGATACGACATATACAACACCAAGAACAAGAGATGATGACTATGTCTATAATTATATATGTCTCTATTATGACATCAGATATATTGTATAAAATAATAAAAACATATGCATTCTTCTACAATCTATCTTATCTCACATGAAATAGTTAGAAGGAAATAATCAAACACATTTACCTGAAGGCAGCAAATGAGTAAAGGCATGTGAGCAATAATAACTTTGCTAGAAGTTTTAGACTGGAGCTTCTCAGATAGTTTAGTGCAAAGGTTTTCAGCTCCTAGTAAGAGAAACCATGTGTTTATATAAAAGCAAATAATAAAGATAACATATTTTAAGTGGGAGACATTTACCCTGCTCTTCAGTCACAGCCCAAACCATAAGGTCCACACACGCGGCGTTGGCCTGGCAGCGCAGTTTGAGAGGACTTAGCTCACTCTGCAAATACTCCACATCGTGTAATATCCGCTGCAGCTCGGACTGGCTGCTGCTGAACTGCTCCAACACAAAGTCGTGGACCTCTTTCACAAAGTCTGTCTGGAGCTCTGGAAAACACAGATACACTTGTTTGTAATTTAGGCACTAAATATGAAAATGTAAAAAGAAATCAGCAATAACTTACCCTTAAGATTGTATAAAGTATCCCGTAGCATTTTAAAAATAGCTACGTACAGTGGATCACTAAAGGTTTTGTAGTATAGATGAATATTTGGAGTTGTCTAGAAACATAAAGTAACTCAATGAAACTATATCACAGGGAGTTAGAATTGCCTTTAGGATCATACCTCTAAAAGTTCTGCCAAAGAGTCATCTAACGATTTTAAAAAGGATTCAGAGACAAGCTGCTCGACCTGTAAAACAAACGGATAAGCATGACAATTCTTCTGTTCAACTTCAAGTATATTGCTGATCCTCAAAAGTGCTTGCAGACCATGTGAATCAGCTGTCTCAGTGTATCAATCGGGACATGAAACTCTCCGGTGCTGCTTCCAGTGAACAGAGGGGACACAGAGAAGCTGGAGCTGATGGTGGAGAAGTAGTATTCAGGGTCAACTGCACTTCCATCAGGAAGATAAGAGCCTGAAAACGTAACATGACATGACTGCATATGTCTCCAACTTTCTGTGACCGATTTGTGATGAGTTTCATATGTCTTACCCTCAAAATACTGCACAGGTGCATCAGCAGGTGAGCTAGGAGCGAGACCTACTCTTTCAGGACTGGCCTACAAAAGCAGTGTGGGTGCTGAATTATTAAAACGTTTGTACAACTTTTAAAAACTTAATTTAGTTATATTTACCTGTTGTGAGACACCGGAATTAGAGGAGCTTTTGCGCTTTAGAGTGTCACTCTGACAAGCACTCAGCAAAGAGCTGGGCATTATTGAGCGGAAATCATTAAAAGATCGCCTGTGTACAGAGTCACTCTCTTCATTTGAAGGTAGAACTGGTGCTACAGGCCGAGGAAATAATTTTGATAGTAAAGGTTCATCAGTGTTGCTGTAACGGCCAAACGCTCGAGCCACCCCGAGCAGAGTGGGTACTGTGTACCTACAGAGGTACTCTGTGGTCATCGGAGAGAACAAACATTGTGGTGAATTTACCATAATGGACCAATGCAAAGAAAATTAAAATTAACTTTACCTTTGTTGTCAGAATCTGGATTCTTGCAGATGTCTTGTAGCACCTGCATGAGGTCCATGATAGCCTCCAGAATCTGACAAGAAAATTGTATTAACTTAGACTTTGACCTTGAGACAAATATTATAATTTATAGATATAGAGAAAAACAGTTTGTGACAATGATAAGTCAAAAAAACATTCAAAAGAAACAGGAGTTGCTTAATTTTAAATGCATTTATTTTTTTACCTGTCCACGTAATTCCTCATCCCTCTGAGCAACATCAGAGAGCAATGTTACAAGACTAAAGCTGAAGTTTTCAGCAACAGGAAGAATGTCTGCAACATCGTATTAAGAGTATGTAAATGGCAACTCTGTACACAGCAACATATTAGAATAAGACAATCTCCAAAGCGTGACTCACCATGTGCTTTACGTTGGGAGCTTTCCTCAATCCACTGAACTTTGGGAAGGCCTTTCAAAATCCCAAGAAGGTATGGAACAATGGGATCTTTGTGCTGTTCCAAGAGATTAAGAGTGTTAGAGAAGGCTTTCAAAAGCAAACAGTGAAGAAACCCAATATTTACCTGCAAGTTTGATTCAACTAGAAACACACCCAGAGCAATGACAGCATCTCTCCTCCTCTCATCCAACTGGTAGACCCCACGGAAATCCACAGGGCACATGCATTGTAACTTCTGTACCTAAAATAAGAACAAAACCTTTCAATCTGTCGAAGTGAATGGGGTCTTGAGCAAATACCTGATTTACACCGTGTACTTGTCCATGCCCACTTTGGTTTAATTTAGAGTACAACAACCGTTTGTTTTTGAGTAAATTACCACACTAAATGTATAGTATATATTGTCACTACATGTATATTGTCTGTAAAGAAAGCCTGGAACAACTTAATAGGCATCAACTAATGACTATGTGACGTTGAAGTTGAGCCACAACACGTCCTTTCTTTGTGATAACCAATAAGGTAAAGCCAAGGCATTTCTGTCATCACCTTACAACAACATTTACACTTGATGAATGAATGAACTGTTAAAGAACTGGTTGAACATAAATAAGGAGAGTTGATTGAACTGCTTTGTTTTGATTCCAAGGTGAGCTGGCACAAGAATGTTTACATGTAGTACAGGTTAACAAGTCGCAATGAAAGAATACTTAGTTAACTAAACAACATGTCCAAAGTGTACACACATCTGTATTACGATCAAATAAACACAACGCCAACAAGAACTTGACAGGCCTGCGGTCCCTGAACGGGTTCTCGCTAATGCTAGCTACGATACCTTTTCTAATGGAGCGTGTCCGTGCGTGGCCAGCGACCGAGCTAAAGATAAAACTGTGTTAAAATAAAACCCTCTGCTTCCTCCTCCAGTCGAAGACATGATTTAAAAAATATCCAAACTCAGCTAGACGAGCACAAGCATCTTCTTCATTTATCCGGATCGCGGCTGACAACTACGGCAAGCGCGTAGGCCAAACTGAGCGAAGGTCACAGGAGAAAATGCGAAACGTTGCGCAGATTAGACTCTAGAGGGCGCAATACATATCTGAAAATTCAGGAAAGAAAATTCCTAGATTATAGGGAATACAATGGAGTATTATAGAATTCCCAAGGTCCCACGGGATATTCAGATTCAGACAACTTTATTTAGAAGGCTGCACTACAGAAGCTCAAAGTTGCATATAATGATGCTTTCAGGATTCTGCTGAAAAAGCCCAGGTCCGGTAGTGCTAGTCTGCTGTTCTGTCAGAGTCGTGTGAACTCTTTCCATGCTCTCATGAGAAATATGATGTACAGGTTTATATGCCGTCTGAAGTTCAGTGAGAACTATTTTGTGCGGTCTCTGGTGAACCCCAGTATGAGTTCTGTGCGCTACCAGTCAGCTCTGTGGAAGCTCTGGTACAGTTTTCTTTTATAACTGTTTGTCTGTTGTGTTTGTGATGTGTTTGTTTGTTTTTTATGGACTTCGAGTCTGATAAATAAAGATAATAATAATAATTATCCCACCAGGGGCAATTCATTTGAGCAGCACATAACATAAAAACACAGGTAATAAGTGATATGACATGAAGTGGAGCCCCATACAAACATCGGGAAGTAGTACAACTATAAAGCTCAACCATCAAAGTCCACATCCAGCTACAGAGAGTTCAGCAGTCTAACAGCAGTTGGGACAAAAGATTTTACATGACGATTGGTTTTACAATATGGTGCAACATAACGTCGTCCTGATGGAAGCAAAGTGAACTCATCCTTCAAAACATGATCAGTGGACATTACATTACGTTACAGAGAGCTGACATTTACCTCTGTCCAACTCCTATGACTTTTGAACAGATGTGCACAATTCTATTATTCTATTCTATTGTGCGATATTATTCTATTGCACAAGGACTTGTCCTTGTGCGAAAGATTAGGGAGCCAGCAGATAAAGGAGAAGCACAAAATGCTCTCGATGAAGGCCTGATAAAACCGAGACAGAATAGTGGAGCTGACAATTTATCATCCAATATAGTGCCAAGGTATTTGTAGTGGGAGACTCTCTCAACCCCTACCCCAGGAACAATGCTTAAAGGGGCTGGATCTCTTTTTCTTCTGAAATCAAATACAAGCTCCTTAGTTTTAGCCACATTCAAGTCCAGGAAATGTTTGTCACACCATGAAATAAAATCACTCAGAGCCTCACCATGACCATTCTCATTTCCATTAAGAGATAGGAGGGCTGTGTCATCTGAAAATTTCACCATATAACAGTGCTCCTGGGTGCTTCTACACTCATTTGGATATAGATATAGGCCAAAAACAACTTTATTATATCCTAACAATTACAGTAAAAAATATTAAAAGAAAACAACAACAATGATGATAGATTAGTTATATTTATTTTCTTAACATTCTCAGAATAATTTGTTTCAAAGGCACATCCTGGCAAATACATTGCTTGATAGAGGGGCAGTAGGCCTACAAGCAGTATTTAAACAAAAGCAAAATACATTTCAACACTGATCATTGTAAACAGTGAGTTAGAATAAAATTGCAATTTAAAAATAAAGTTATACCAAAGTGTAAGGCATAAAATTAAATAGTCTACAACGGCTTGTCTCGTTGGAATGCGTTTGGAAGGCACAGTTAAAAATGTAGAGACAGTGAAGACTTTAAAAAAAAAGTAGTAAGTATATAATATTTAAAATAAAATTTCCCAGCATTTTAACAAGCACCACAAAATATACAGATCTCTTTATGGATTTACATTCAATTATTCACAATCTCAAAATAACACAACAATATTATTTAGGCACTTACGAACTAATCTTTTTAAGTAACTGCATTTAAGCCAAACAGGCTTGCAACACAAGAGAATAACATAAGATCAGTGATTGTTTGAGTATGGGCAAGTGATAAGGCCACTGGAAATATTAATTTATTAAAAAGGGAATAATGATACACAAATTATTCTAGAACTCTATTTTTTTTTGTAGATTAGGGTTTGTGTTCATAGATTGTTTTGTTATTACTTTTGTTATAATTAACTCATCTTTATTTGTAAAATGGCTTTGACCAGGTATATTAATACAATGATCTCATGTATAATTAATGTTCAAGTGTAAATACTATGTTACAGTAAAATTGTACTGTCTTGGCTTTTATAAATACTTGACCCCAATTGCACAAATACCTCCGTTTGGCGTTCCTATTCTTACAAGTGTGTCCTCTAGACTTTTTCTTGCACCCAATGACTAAGAAGCTTTTGAATGCAAAAAATCCTTAAATTACTGAGAGGAGGTAGATATTAACACATGGAAAGTGTTTTCTACATTTCTGTGGACTTCTCAGTCCGTCTTCCAAACGACGTTCAGAACTTTGACAACTTCTTCATAAATGATGAAGACTATGGCCACATCCATGCACACACGACCCAGACGAGGCACAGTACCTTTGTAGAAACTGAAAAAGAGATGAAAAAACACATAAAGTACTGATAATGATTCATGACTTAAATTGTTTACTTACGCTGCTGGACCTTCGTGCTTCATTATCTTAACCGCGCAGTCCATAGTGCTTTTGTATTTGTGAGCCTCAAGACCCTTTGAAAAAAAAAACATGATATTCAGACCATAGATCAAAGAAGTCATTTCATGATGAAAAAAGGCTTCTCACCTGCATTCTAGTTTTGATGACATCTAGAGGAGTGTTTCCAAAGACGCTAACCGCTCCAGCAACGGCACCAAAACACCCAGTTATCAGAGGGTTAATGGCCTTGTTGGGATCATCACCTGGATAGTTGAAGGAAGGTCATCTTAATACGATTATAAGTGATATTGTTTATTTGGAAAAAAGATGAATATTCACAAACCTTTATACCAGTTTCTTAGTGACGTCATGACATAAAACCGAATGGCCTGGTTTGAGCCCTGCTTCAGCACAGTGGCAGTCAGCCCTTGGTAAGTCCCCTTCAGTCCTTAAAAAACACCTCAATTTGTTAAACAATGTAGGAATGATAGAAATTGAATCATGTTTTTCAGTCTACATGGATCTTTCAACGTTGTCTTTCACAGAGACGCCATTTACTTTACTTGGGGTTTGACAGATACTAGTCCTTGGAAGGTATTACTGGAAACAAAATTAACCTTTGAAACCGAGGAACTGGCACAAATAATATCATGTTCCCAGCACTACTAGTTTTGAGACACAGGTCATGTTTCTGGTAAGAATCAAATAAACATAACAAATTTTTTAGAACACAATATTAATTCTTTGCTTTTTAAATTCTTTAATAAATAAAAACTTGGCACATCCGACTGCAGGTGCATAGTAAGTAAGTGTAACTGGCACTAAGGTTACCATGATAACTCAAGTTATAACTGAGTATAACTGACGCTTTGGTTACCATGGCAACTCAGACCATATTTGCTACCGTTTAAGTTTGTATGGGCTCTCTTGTGTTTTTATAAAGTTTACAAATTGCTCTGAGTGGCCACAGTCAAAGCTCTACCTCAGAGAGAAAGCACAGCGACACTTTTGGGCCAGTCTCACAGCTGAATGTATCAATCTACTTACTATATAACGTCACTAAAACCCACCTAAAAGCCATAGGATAGCAAAGGCAGGAAGTGAAAGGGCCGTGCTTTGTTAACAGGAAATGACATCACGGCTCCCCGTGCATATAGCCCATTTGAAGTATGCTGTTATAAAGATACGTTTTTGCAGCTTGGAAAGAGTATTATTCTACCATTGGTCCACTAAGGCGCACACTGTAACCTTTTTATTTAATTGTGTCTTTTATTTTGAGACCTGTAACAATGTGTGATTTACTGTATGGAAATTTAGAACAAGCTCTCCTTTATCTTTGTAGTTTTCACAGTGTTCCAAATGCTTGTATGAAATTAAATGCTGTGGGACATCAGTCGAGGCGTTAAGTCCATTTTTTTTGGAGATCAACGTAGTTACAGTAAGTACATGTGCATAAGAGGGGGCAAACAAACCGAAATCTCGTGCATGCTATTTTTTATTCACAGATAAACATTTTTGTTGTGGGTTTGCATCTAATCTGTGAATAAAACACTGGTGAACGCAAATACAGTGTGCAAGAGATTTCTTCAAAGTTTTGCTTTTTTCTTACCTTCAGTTCTGACAATCTCCCGAACTCCATGGAAGAAACCTTTGTACTTTGGGTTTGCTGAAGTCTGGTCGTGTATGAATTTGACCTAACATAAGAAGCACAACAGGAGGCAGTCAGTAAAAAGACACATTTAGTGTAATTTAAGGAAAGTGTATTTTCACCTTCACTGTCTCCATCGGACACACGACAAACACTGCCTCTGCAACTCCAGCACCGAGGCCACACATGAATCCTCTCTTGCTGTCTAGTTTACCACTCTCATCTCGCATCTTGTTGCTGAGAAACTCAAAAACTCCAAATCTGAAAAAAATACCCCAATTGTAATATTCAAAACGTTTAGTAAATTCACAATAAACAAGACAAGTGACTTAGAAGAGTACCTAACTGCAGCTTTCGGTATAGAGCCATACAAAAGAGAACTCAGACCTCTGTAAAGTCCTCGAACTCCATGACCATCCACAGTTTGCTTTACACAATCCCCTAATAAAAGAGGGAAAGAAAGGTTTTTTTTATAATTACAGAATATTGTGTGTAAGCGTAACAACCACGATAATCTCAAACTATACAGAGGTCAACCCACCAATGCCTTTATATTTAGGTGGATTTGCTTTTTCATCAAGCTGCAGCTGGGTTTTAACATACTCAGTAGGGAATGTGATACAGATCTCAATTCCTCCTGCAATCCCACCTGAAAAAACAAAAGAGTTCACACACTGAGTGAAAGGGGGAAAATATTATCGCTTCTTCATATCAAAGCGCATGTAGGGACGCCAACACCTTACATTTCCATTTGTTTGTGTTAAAAAAGCTGGTGCACAATGTTACAACATATAATTACAATGCTGTAACGTATCATTCCTGTTCCACCTTAAAGAATGTCACTCATCTGCAGATCCACGGCAGACCCAGCACTTGCAGCTGATTGGCTCTTCTAGTAAGTAAGTTAGTAAGTTTTTATTTATATACCGCCTTTTCACTGCAGATCTGAGTCTCAAAGCGGTTTACAATTGTTAATTTTTGGGCACTTGTTTCACTCCACACAGAGATGGGAGCGGGGTCGCCAGTACAGGAGGCGCATGCCAGAACTATTGGACATATTTTTAGTGGTAGGGGAAACCGGAGTACCCGGAGGAAACCTACGCAGACACGGGGAGAACATGCAAACTCCACTCAGAAAGGCCCTGGTCCGACCGGGATTCGAACCCAGGACCTTCTTGCTGAGAGGCGAGAGTGCTATCCACTCAGCCACCGTGCCGCCCCGCTCTTCTGAAGCGAGTATGACTGGTACTCCCCTTGGCTTGGTTCCAGCTCAAGGGGGTGTGTTTCTTTGAGCACAAACTGTTCACCACAACACATTTTAAAGTGACACATCCATGCAGACCGGGACTGACCTCAATGCTGCAATAGGCCGAAAAAGTAATAGAGCTTCACGCCATGCACTGACCGTGTTTGAAATGTCATGCAGCAGTGTCCACCAAACATTATCCACATTCTGACGTACAAACCAGAGACCACACAGTTCGTGCAGGAGCAAGACATCTAAACTTGTATAACTAACATAGGTGGCTTTGGAGAAGAGGCAGTATAACATTGGAAATTAGGAATTGAACACACCAAGGCATTCCTTTAGGACTAGCTACAATAGCATTAGCGATCACATGTTAGACTGGATTTATAATGTATAATTTTCCTGAAGTCTAATCATGAGTTACCTGAGGTCCTGATATTGAGCCTGAAATGAAAAGTAAAAATCCCCATTTATCAAGAGTTGACATAGCAAGTTGAAATAGGCCACAGGTCATATATATATTGTGGATATACCTGTTTGTCAACACCTAATCTGATCACATCTCACAAGTTAAGCGATGTAACACATGGTTAGTACTGTGATGGGAAACCGCTGAGAGTAGCAGGGTAAGGGGGACATGTCATGTGGCTCTATGGTGTAAACTGCTGTCATGTTCTGATGACAGACACGTCACCCACATTGTATGAATCTGGTGAGTGTGTAAAAATGGTTAGTGGTGGTTGGAGGCACATATTGGCAGCCTTGTTTCAGTTTTCCCCAGGGCAGCTGTGGCAATATTAGTAGCCTACTATCATGTTATGTATGTCAAAGTGTGTCTAACAGGTACTATAACAAATAACTCATCATTATTAACATTATTATAGGAATACTGTTTCAATAGTATATAGTTGATGTAATTGTGGGGGAAACATGTAATGTCCTTGACATTACTGAACTGTGGACACACAATACTGAACAAAAGTATCATTAATGTGTAATAGAGGAACATCATGTTTCACCATTCAACTAGAATCCCAGAATCTCTGAAAAGAAAACATTGTTGCTCTCTTTTGACATTTGATTGCATTGGACACAGGCATGCAGTATAATGCTTTAATAAAGTCATTCATTAGAATCAGATTAATATTACCAGATGCTAGAATAAGCAAGTCCATCTTGCAAATGGAAAGTGGACTTGCTAATTTGGACTGATGTAATGGTTGACATATCCCCACAATGTCGTTCAGCTATTGACAATGAACCTTGCTATTAATTAGAGCATACATTAATCATTAACTTGAGAAGCAAACAGGATTGGGGTGCTTTAAGCCCATTTCTCCACAGAATCAGATCATAAGATTTGACTCTGCCTGACAAACCTCGTGGCGATGGTTTACCCTGAGGCAAATATCTACTATATTTCTCCAATAAATGGTGGCTGGTGGCTGTCATACTATACTCTTCTACTTTGTAGTAGTCAATACTTGTTAGTGACATGTTTACAAACATGTGGTAATCCTGGACAGACGCTGTCGAGTAAATTGTAAACAGATTATTAGGATGATTTCTTACCTGCCAGGATCGCTTTTCCAGGGTGAGTGAGTTTGGCTTTTCCAGCAGGAGCTGCAGCTGCCAAACAGTGCGGTCTGTAAAACGGACTCACAAATGTGGGGAGTCCAGACATGACTGGGACAGAAGCAGGTTTAACTTTCGATCACAACAGGACGATTGTGCAGAAAGATCCGCTGAGCCTGCAGACCGAGTCTGTGCTTTGTAGAAGCTGCACGACTTCAAAAGCCAAGCCGCTGTGACCATTGGACTTAGTACAGAGCAAAAGTTGATAATGAATGTGTACTTTTGACAAGTTACCTCACTGCGTTGTACACGGGGGCGGATAGTGTCGACAGTTCGGTAAAGTCAGCTTGATATTCACAGATTCGGACTTCCGCGGTGAATATCTTACGAAAGCTACGTTGTTAAACGAAAGTAATTGTGTCAAAATGATCACCTCTACATGGGCTAACTACTACAACATCGATTTTTCTAATCCAATGCGCTGTTTTAATGCAGAGAAATCCATTGAATCCAATGCGCCGCAAGTGCCGAGAAAAGCACTTAGGGAGCGTCAACAAATGCCAATACCAGCTGTGTAAACGAACAATAGTTTTTATTTTAAGCCAAGTACACGCACTAAACTCTCAAATACTATAAATAGCTACCATATCTAACTACTACAACTTTTGTTTTCAGCAGAAATATCTTTTTTATATTTTTTATGATTAAATATGAATATGATTTTTGAATAACTTTTTTTCAAAAAGGGGCGTGGTCACCAAATTCTCAGGTATGATCAATAACTGCCATATCTAACTACTACAACTTTTGTTTTCAGCAGAAATATCTTTTTTATATTTTTTATGATTAAATATGAATATGATTTTTGAATAACTTTTTTTCAAAAAGGGGCGTGGTCACCAAATTCTCAGGTATGATCAATAACTGCCATATCTAACTACTACAACCTTTGTTTTTTGTATTTTTCTCTTTTTTCTCTTTTTTATGATAAAATATGAATATGATTTTTGAATAACTTTTTTTCAAAAAGGGGCGTGGTCACCAAATTCTCAGGTATGATCAATAACTGCCATATCTAACTACTACAACTTTTGTTTTCAGCAGAAATATCTTTTTTATGTTTTTTATGATTAAATATGAATATGATTTTTGAATAACTTTTTTTCAAAAAGGGGCGTGGTCACCAAATTCTCAGGTATGATCAATAACTGCCATATCTAACTACTACAACCTTTGTTTTTAGCAGAAATACCTTTTTTCATATTTTTTATGATTGAATCTTCAATGGCTTTTTATAAATGGAGAAGAGTCCTTTACGAGGGTTAACAGGAGTATGAATTAGACACTCTAATGTTTTAAAAAATATAAAAAAGATATTTCTGCTGAAAACAAAAGTTGTAGTAGTTAGATATGGCAGTTATTGATCATACCTGAGAATTTGGTGACCACGCCCCTTTTTGAAAAAAAGTTATTCAAAAATCATATTCATATTTAATCATAAAAAACATAAAAAAGATATTTCTGCTGAAAACAAAAGTTGTAGTAGTTAGATATGGCAGTTATTGATCATACCTGAGAATTTGGTGACCACGCCCCTTTTTGAAAAAAAGTTATTCAAAATTCATATTCATATTTTATCATAAAAAATATAAAAAAGATATTTCTGCTGAAAACAAAAGTTGTAGTAGTTAGATATGGCAGTTATTGATGATACCTGAGAATTTGGTGACCACGCCCCTTTTTGAAAAAAAGTTATTCAAAAATCATATTCATATTTAATCATAAAAAACATAAAAAAGATATTTCTGCTGAAAACAAAAGTTGTAGTAGTTAGATATGGCAGTTATTGATCATACCTGAGAATTTGGTGACCACGCCCCTTTTTGAAAAAAAGTTATTCAAAATTCATATTCATATTTTATCATAAAAAATATAAAAAAGATATTTCTGCTGAAAACAAAAGTTGTAGTAGTTAGATATGGCAGTTATTGATGATACCTGAGAATTTGGTGACCACGCCCCTTTTTGAAAAAAAGTTATTCAAAAATCATATTCATATTTAATCATAAAAAACATAAAAAAGATATTTCTGCTGAAAACAAAAGTTGTAGTAGTTAGATATGGCAGTTATTGATCATACCTGAGAATTTGGTGACCACGCCCCTTTTTGAAAAAAAGTTATTCAAAAATCATATTCATATTTAATCATAAAAAATATAAAAAAGATATTTCTGCTGAAAACAAAAGTTGTAGTAGTTAGATATGGTAGCTATTTATAGTATTTGAGAGTTTAGTGCGTGTACTTGGCTTAAAATAAAAACTATTGTTCGTTTACACAGCTGGTATTGGCATTTGTTGACGCTCCCTAAGTGCTTTTCTCGGCACTTGCGGCGCATTGGATTCAATGGATTTCTCTGCATTAAAACAGCGCATTGGATTAGAAAAATCGATGTTGTAGTAGTTAGCCCATGTAGAGGTGATCATTTTGGCACAATTACTTTCGTTTAACAACGTAGCTTTCGTAAGATATTCACCGCGGAAGTCCGAATCTGTGAATATCAAGCTAACTTTACCGAACTAGTGTCGACGGGAGGCGCCCCTGGAAGGGACAGGGGCCCGCTCATTGGGCTCGGTCAGTTGCGCGGAAAAAACGCCATGTTTTGTCATAAAAATTAAGGTGGAGCCATAGGCAGTAGATAATAATGGAACAGGCCAAATTGTTATACATATATAACGTATGCATTTATAAATGTAATGAGTGTATAATTACCAAATGAAACTCGTGATAATTGATACATAGTCAGATTCGGACACAACAATAATACAAAAAAACATTATTTATGACCATAAAATATAAGACATTACACCTCTCCCATTTTCCCAAAGAGGAAACGTACAATTCCTTACACCGATGTAAAAATATTAAAATAGATCCACGGTCCTGCAGCGCATGCGCACCGTGTCTCCTTCATTGTGCCCTATTGCTAAGCTAAAGCTAGCCTTCTCTTTGGTCATCAGCAGCATCTCTGTGGGACTGCACGAGCTTCGCACTGACAAAGACCCATTTAAACAGGTAAAACGCCCCGAATGTGACACATTTAATTGCATCTTATCCCAGTGTCGAACTAAAGTGATATCTTAAGTGTCCGATGTCAACTCTTGGCTAGCCTGGCATGCGATTTAGCCAAATTAAATTTATGTAACTATTCACGCTATTATGTAATGTTACCTTGATATACACTTTTATTCAAAGATTAGTCTATTACTATATAGTAACGTATGTGCCAAGGTAAATGTTAGACATGTGTGATGTGAGTGATGAAGCGTTAGATGAATGTATTCATTGCTCACGAAACCGTTTAATGAGCAGTGGTTTATGCTAACGAACCAGAGTTAAAGCTCAGTCACTCCCATAGACTGTAAATATTATTAGTAACACCCCCATGTTTGTGCTAATTGCGCAGTTGAAGCGACATTTATGTTAAACTTCGTATAAATAGTTGGTTTTATTTATTCAATGCACTTCACTTGATGCTTATTCGTTCTCATGATCCCATCCACATTAAGCTTTCTCCAAGAGCATCACTTAATGCTATTTATAGGATTTTAACTCAAATTTATTTCAATCGAACATTATGTTCTCCCCAGCCAGCTCAGTAATTGAATAACATTCCAACAAATATTACACAGCGATAATAACGCCTGGCTGTATTGTCTGCTATCGTTTCAGAACAATGGCTGTCCCCCCTTCTTACACAGACCTGGGCAAGTCTGCCAAGGATATATTCAGCAAGGGCTATGGTGAGTGATTTAGACTTATGAAGCCAGTATGTTTATTAAGACAATTTCAGTATTAAATTATTATTCTGGTAACTTACACCCAGTCAGTGCCACACTTTGTATTGATCATATATTTGTCTTTATACAGGATTTGGGCTTGTAAAGCTGGATTTGAAGACTAAATCACAAAGTGGAGTGGTAAGATGAGCAACCTCTATTTTTGAACTGTTTGTGTAACTCAAAATAGTAAAATACACAATAAATCATCCTCTGTGAACCACACTTTTTGCACTGTCTCACCTAATCTTCCAACAATAATTATATACTACTAAAAGCTAATTTATCAACATTGGGCTGTAATTGGCATATATTTTGCCAAGCATCACAATCAGGTTTCTGCTGGTCTCTGCCACAGGTATTACAGCACAGAGTAATAAAGGCATTTAACAAAGCAGGATATCATACATAATTTATACAAATGTCTTAATGTCTTAATGGAAAACACCAACAAGTAATACATTAATTAAATATATATTTATGAAACAAACTTAGTTCCCTGAAACCACTGAGAACCTAAACGTAAGATTAACAATGTACAGTTCAACAATCCTAATTGAACAGTTAATTGTGACTGTAAATTCTTCTTTCAGTCAAACACAGTGTGAACTAAGTGTATTATTTTCCCAGTATGGAGATCTGTCAGGTCTGTTTTGACTTAGCTTTTCTCAGCACATGTTAACTCCTGTTCTTTCCTGTTGTCTTTTCTGGATGCTTGTGCTGTATTGTAGATGGTAAGACATTTAAAATAGGTTTCAGACTAGTTTTACTCATCTACCGTTCTCTTGGTTCTTGCTTCATACATTATGATTTATGTCTAGTTGTTAATGTCTCATATCTCACTATGCATGTATGCTTTTCTACATTATTTGTTTTATAATTATTTTATTAATCTATTCATCCATTCATTATCATAAATACATCTAAGCTTAGTGCATGTCCATCATGATCTTATTTTAAACATTTATCTTCAAAGTTTCTTCTTTTCATCACTGATTGCTATTTTGACTTGCTGTTTCTGTCAGGAGTTCAACACATCTGGCTCCAGTAACACTGATACAGGGAAAGCTGCAGGAAGCCTGGAGACCAAATATAAGATGAAAGAGCTGGGCCTCAGCGTCAACCAGAAGTGGAACACTGACAACACTCTGGCCACTGAAGTCACTATTGAGGACCAGGTACCTGAGTGCTCCTTTATTGCACAGATTTAGCTGACGTTTGATTTTAATAATCACTTGTGTTTGCTTGCAGCTGACTCAAGGACTGAAGGTGGCTTTGGATACATCTTTTGTACCAAACACTGGGTGAGCGAAAATACATTCAAAATAGAAATCAAATTGGTGATATTTTAAATCAAAATAACCGGTGTCTATTTATCTACGCACAGTAAAAAGAGTGGCAAGCTGAAGACTGGTTACAAGCGTGAATTTGTGAACCTGGGTTGTGACGTGGACTTTGAAGGCCCCATTGTCTATGCTGCGGCTGTGCTGGGTTATGAGGGCTGGCTCGCTGGCTACCAAATGGCTTTTGATACAGCAAAGTCTAAACTGACACAGAATAACTTTGCTTTAGGATATAAGGCCGGCGACTTCCAGTTGCACACAAATGTGTAAGTACATTTAACAAATGCTACCAGAACTATACTCTTTTACACATTATGGCTTTTTTGCATCTTGACCAAATCAACCTTTCTCTCAGTAATGATGGGACAGAGTTTGGTGGATCAATTTATCAGAAGGTCAACGATGAACTGGAGACGGCAGTAACACTGGCCTGGACCGCTGGCAGCAACAATACTCGCTTTGGTATTGCTGGCAAATATAAGCTGGACAAAGATGCATCGCTGTCTGTAAGTACCTTTTTATCTATTTTAACATTTTTGCCACAGAGTATATCGTCTCATATCTCTCTCCACAGGCCAAAGTAAACAATGCCAGTTTGATCGGAGTAGGTTACACTCAGAGTCTCAGGCCCGGTGAGCTCAACATCACATTAAAAATTGCTTCCCTAAACAAAACAAATTTTTAACATTATTGTTTTTTATAACTTCATTACAGGAATTAAAGTCACTCTCTCTGCCCTCATTGATGGAAAGAACTTCAACGCCGGCGGCCACAAAGTTGGCATGGGCTTTGAGCTTGAAGCTTGAGTGAAACCTGTCCAGCGAAGAAGTCAAACATCACAGCTCACGTGTCCCCTGCCCAGTTTTCTGCAGCCTGTTGGCAATTACTTGCACATACCATAAGCTGTTTCTAGCAGCGCAGAACAAATTTGACAGTAGTAGAAAGTTTATGCAGGAGTCTTGTTCACATCTGACAATACACAATTTGTATTGTGACACAGCGAGACCATATTTATTTCTCCATATGTCTTAGAACAAGTAGTAGTTTGTGTAGCTCCATTTAAAACAATGTATTTAGTTCCTCCCGATCCTGAGGCATGTGAGAATGACAATATGAAGGAAAGAATATTTACTTGGTTAAAAACGGTGCTGCGTGTCTTGTTTTCTACTTTTCGTTGCCGCTTTCAACTCCATTTCAATATTATGTTACATTTCAACATTCACCAGGTTAATATTCTTCATTTATAATTCCTGACTTGTTAAGTTGTGATGTTCTGCCTATGTTCCCATGTAATAGTCTTATGGAAGTTAACAGCTTAGTTGGGCCATTTTCTATTTTTTATCTATTTCTGTAGCCTATAATGTTGTTTCAAATAAAGATGTGTGTGTTTAGTGGCTCATAATCAAGTCATTTTTAAGAGTCATATTTGGATTATGTCATCACCCTTGTTATGTTATTTAACTTTGGTTTTATGTCAGAATTTACATGACTTTGTCATTTAGACACAGTACCTCAATTTTTTCCAATGTCAACTAAGACCAATAAAATGTCAAAATATTTGTTTTTGGCTTCCTTTGTTTTAATACCAAAATAATTTAAGGAAATAAGTTCTATTAAAAATGATAAAAACATAGCTAAGTCAAGTATTGTGTTTACATTTGTTTACAAGTTGGGATCTCTTAATCTTAATATTTTGAAAAAGTAGCCTTTTCCAACTGGTCGTGTCAAGTTTCAAACAGATATTGATATGGACTACTGGAACTTGCAGCATTTTGTAACATCTATGATAAAAATGTCCAATTAAAGGATTTGAATTGCTAAGTAGAACTTGTGTGTATATCAAAAATATATTACTCAAATCTTAGTTTTGAGTAGGGAAACAGGTCTGTTCAAACTGAATATTACATGTGCTGTTCGAGCTGTGTCTCAATATACAATATACAAAACATTTTTATGAGATTATCACACATCAATGTTATCTCCAGTTAAGCTTATTTCCTTTGGTTGTATATTTGCATTATGTATATGTAAACAAGTATTGTCATAAATAGTTTTTTTTTTTTCATTTTTTTCTAGATCCCCCAAAAAGGAAATATTATATAATTGTGTCATTCAAGTTTAGATTTATGTCTCCATTGGTAAAATAATTCTAAGCATTTGAAGAATTCACATTTCATAGCAGATTGACTTTGGCCACGACTTGCTTGCAGCCTGTCTGGGAGTATTCATGTTCCCCTACTCTGGGATAATATTCTATCTCTCCTGCCAGCCGCTCTATGTTGGCCTTGTCTGGATAGAAACCTTCTCGAGTAATTTCCTCTAAAAAGCACTCCATAACATGACCCTTTTCCAGAAGACCCAGAGGTACAATGTCTGCCTCCGTCCATAGTGGGTGCTGTGTGTCCAGAGTGTGGCGTAGCACTGAGGTGAGCTCTTTGATCAGGTGACCGTGACCTGAGGCAGTCCCAGAGAAGCTCGACGAGTTGTGAAGCAGATAATTTGTGATTTTCTCATGCCCCAAGTTGCTCAGAAACAGGTAGATAACATTCAGGTACTCGTTCGACTGCTTAGTGGCCACGAGTTTCCACAGTGCATCCAATATCTCTGTGTGCATGTATTCAACCTCATCAAAAATCAATAATGGGATCTTCTCCTCCTCTTCCGCTCGCTCCACCATCTGAGAAATCACAGATGACAGGTTTTGAGAACAATGAAGAGCATCGGCCTCCTGGGGACAGTGGTGCAGGACGTAGTACTGAAGCACCAAAGCCTCCCCGACCACTGATCGGAAGTGTCCTGCTAAAAGGCGACCCAGGAGGCTCTTTCCAACTCCAGAGGGGCCGTGCACCGACACTACCAGAGGCTTGTTGTGGATGTAAGTGGATAGATATTCCTGTAAGTGAGACATGAGGCCCTCCACTGCTCCCTGCTGCCCAAACACCTCTCTACGCAGCGTCTTCTCCAGCCCCTCCAGGTCGTACTTGAGAACATGATCATCCAGATTCTCAATGGCATTGTACACCTGAGAAACAACAAATCAATATAATAACTGAATAATAACTGACTTCGACATAAAGAGTCATGCAACACACAAAACATCACCTGAAGGAAGACGATGGCCAGCAGCAGAAACAGGCAGGGTTTGGCTCGGCTGCGATCCTGTTTTGGTGGGGCCCTGCACCCCCCATGGGTAGGGAACAACACATTTCTTCTCCGCCTCTTCTTCTTCTTCTGATGAGCAGTGTTTTCCAGTGAGTGGGGAAAGGCATTCACAGTATCAAAGGTAAAGATTTTGGGGCTTGTCCTGACGGGGGTCCCTATGGTGGTCCCTGCAGCTGCAAGACTGAGGGCCATGTCCTGTCTGCGCCTCTTCATGGCCTGGTACTTCTGTTTGATGCGTATAACAGCACGCAGAGACGGCGAGAAGCTGGACAGACCGGCCTCCTGCTGGTTTCTGTGTCTGTCCTCCCGGTCCATTTCAATTTCACTGTTTGTGTCGCCATTTGTGTCTTGGTCAAAGTCTCCTGTTTGGGAGGCACCGCTGTCCTGGTCACTCATCTGCAAGAACATGTAGATGGAGGAGAATATTACATCTTTATAAACACACATTCATTAAAAACTTCTCGCTGCGTATTGTTTGGTAGGTCACATAAATAATTTTGATGGATGATAATGATTTCAAACTTTGTTTAAAGAGACATTGTTTTTGAAAATACCATTGATACTAGTACAATAAAGCAGGAAAATCCCAGAAAAGTCTTTTTGTTAGTTTGTCCATTTGAATTTGTTACGGAAAATAATATCAAGTAATAGTGAACCATCTACAGCTATAACATCACCTAAATATATGCATTTTTCCCACGATCAGTTATTGTACAATAAATTAGGCCCATGTGACGTATTGGTCTGTTAAACTTTTTTGCTTTATTTGGGGGCTCGTTGCTTATTCATTCATTTGAGCTGAACACAGCGGTTAATGCTTGTTCATCACAGCAAGAAGGTCCTGGGTTCAATTCCACCCCTTTTCTGTGTGGAGTTTGCATGTTCTCCCAGTGTAGGGAAAAATATCAGTATTCCAAAACATTGCAGAGACCAAGGTCACACAAAGCACTTTACAATGTGCTGTATGAATAAAGATTACTTGCAGATTATTCAAGATAAATCACCATCTACAGTCATTATCAATCTTAAAAGGGTGTTTTTTGATTCACTTATGTCTCATTTTTGTTCTTTTTTCTGTTAGTGGCATAATCTGTAGCACTTTAAAATGTGACAGCTGTAATCCTTACTCACATTGTTTAGCACTTATTTAAAGCGTCTAGACGACTCTGTGAACAGCACGAGAATAACTAGTATCTGTAAGAATGTCTTACGTGCATGTGAAATCTTGCTCCGTGTCAAATAGTTTTAGATTCTTGTTTCGCTTTCAGGTGACAAACCAAGGAAGGCCAAAAATAAGCTCATAGTCAGACTCATTTAAGATGAGGTGCATCACTTTCAAATCACCAAACATAGAACTGTATGAAAACATCTGACCAGCTACAGGCTATGTATAACAAGAACTGCTGAGTCTGTACAATTCAGTGCCATTGATAATAATCCCTAGCAACTTTGTCACGAGTCACTTTATCGGTTATTATTATTAGTACTGCATTATCCATTCATCTGATATTTCTGCCATTCACTAGTCCCTTTATCTGTAGATATTATTTCTGATGTTTATTCTGCTCATACTCCTGAACTAGATGCAATTATAGCTCCAGAGTTGATTTTATTTTTTATCTAATCTTATTATATTGTCTATTATCTTAAATAATAGAGTAATTGATGTGTGCAATCTGAGTGCTCTTATTTCCTTCTTTCTCTGCTGTAATGTGTCCAACGATGACACTGAAATTTCTCCACTGTGAGACGAATAAAGGAATATCTTATCACTCTCAATAAAGCTTCTAACGCTAGTAATTTTACATACATGTATTTTTACGCCTCTGACACATCTTTAGATCAGCTTTGTCAGACAGAAAAGTGAGAAAGAGAGAGAACCGCCCTCAATCAGCCAATTTGTTCACATTTTACATTTAAGACTCATTCTGTTGGTATGAAAAACAGGTAATATTTAGAATTAAACCAAATCACTTTTAGCCTCCTTGGATAATTCTGGCTTTTTTTTTTTTACTCATGTTTAATCATGTGTTTTATGAAATTGCATTGTCCCCTTTGATATAAAATAAGTTAAACTGAGACTGAAGGTATAGATCTGATAAGATGAGATAATATAGACACAATAGAGAAATTGACAAATATTTATAGTGACAGTATAGGGGCAAATATCTGTGTTATGTGCTGACTATTCACAAATGATCTGTGCTAAATGATTTTTGGCCAGGTGGATTTGACAACCTACAGCTGAATTTAGTTTATTTTCCACACTATATTTTTTTTTAAGTATATAAAAAAAAAAATGCCAATGGACTAAACTATAGCCTCTAAAATATTGAGCTTGATATTTCCTGCTTTATGCCCAACCCTTGATGGATGTCCTGTGAGATTCCACATTGACAACAGGCAAATACAAAGAGGCGTTTATTCTCAGCTGAACCCGAGCTCATGTGTATCACGTCAGGTGTCGCATTCATCAGGTTTAATACTACAGCACAACAACAGCAGAAGTTAGGTGTCATTTTGCAGTTTTAATGACGTGACAAATTTCAGGGGGGGAAAAAAAGTTTAACTGGAAATGACTGAAGTAAATCGGAAGAGCCTCCTGTTACAATCATCTCCAGTCATCAGAAAAAAACCAAAACAAAAATACATCATACGCGTCATTTATACTACGTCTATTTGTCATTTGCTGCAAAGTTCGCCATTCAAAACACACTGCGAGCACGAACGATCACGGACTAAAAACATCGGTGCAGGTTTGTGAGGTTTTGCAACAAAGGAGACGGACACTGCCACACACCCAGAAGTACTGCACACTTGGGGGGAAAAAATAAAGTTCTGCACATACAAGAAAAAAAAAAATGCACGAAATTGAATAGACAAAGAGTGAAAAAAGTTGATGTTTACCTTTGGATGCTGCAAAGACGGACGCAACCTTAGTCCATTTTAGGGTTTAGGGAACAGGAACAAGCCAAGAGTTCAGACCGCTCTTATCAGGCTTGAGATCAGTCAATCACCCGCTGGCCCCTCCTCTAGTCTAGCTTCCCCTTTCTTTCATTTGCCTATTTCATTTCAGCAGCGTTACAAAACACCCTGACACATACATTTCACTGTGCAAAAAAAAGTAAAGCTCGAATGAGAAGGCTTGCATGGAAGTTGTGTGAAAAAAAAAAATGCCATGGCTGAATATTATAGAAACCCCTTTATCAGAATGAGTCCAAATGAATGTATTGCACATTAAAGTAGAGATTAAAGTAAAGAAAGATTCATTTGGCTGCAAAAAGTGGCTGATGAAGTAGTTTCCCCTAAAGTTTATCTTCCCCAAGCTGCTGTGGATAAACTGTTTATTTGGTGTGCTGGAGGAAGTCCCAAAAGAGGGCACGACCCAGAGAATGGATCAATGTAACTGCTTGTTTAACACTTCCTGGTTTAACACATTTGGGAAATTTTGTTTTAGAAATATCTGTCAGTAAGGTGGTGTGATGAAAAATCAAATACAAGTTTAAAATTCTATTATGAGTAGGCTGCGTTAAGGCGCCACAATATATTTCTAGTACATTACCAGTCTATTATCTTCTTTGGGTTAAATACACCATTACAACCAAGTTTTCACTCAAGGGGAAAAATGAGTATTAGGTCTATGACGTTGGTTCTCTTGTTACACACGTCCACACATAAGGGTGTATTTGCAGTGTTTTGAAAATATCTATGATCTTTTGAGTCTTGCGTCTGCTGAATTTCAGACAAGAAAGTGGAATAATACAGACACGTTTTTCTGAGATATTTGTCAAGAGAGATCACGTTGAACAATTTATGGTGGCAGAATACTTGGGTGAAAGTCATAATCCAGCGTTTACAACTTTTCAGAGAGAGATGAGCAGAGAATGTTAACAAATAGTACACATAGGCAAATAAAAAAAGTTTAGGGTTAGGGTTTGGATCTTATAAATAACAATGCTTTTCAATATATTTCTTATCTATTTGAGAATCGTTACATACACAAATGATGTGCTGTTCGGTGTCTGAGTGTGGCAGACAGCAGCATTATTCATCAAGGGCACTATTTGCGAGGAGGAAAACGTATTTAGACAAAAGTTAAACAAATAGTGCAATAGTCATTTGCATCTGTCCGTAAGCGCACACCAGAATTCCCACCGGGCTCCAGTTTAGGCATCACTTCCTCTTCCGCCCTCGACCCCTCCTGCCTCTAGAGGAGGGGCCTGCTCCGTCCGGGCTCAGAGCACTGTCTATGGGACTGGCCCCGATGTTGATCTGTCCTTCTTGGATTTCACTGCGCGCCTCAGGGGAAAGGTGCTCGATCTGCTGCTGTGTCTCCAAATAAAACATCACGTCTCGGAGCTGCTCCTGTAACTCTGCGATGGCCACCTCCTTACGCTCCACTGAAAACACACAAGGAATGTCTTCTGTTATTTATTATTAGATAGGGACAGTGCACATACATGCACGTCCATAGGAACTGTAAATATGCAGAGTACAGCAGCAAAGCTCATTTCCATCTGTTTTCCCAGATGTCGGGAGACTGTTCCAGTAATGCATTCCTTTGACTGACACCAAAGGGAGGACTCTCTAGCTTTGCTCAATGCATTTAAAAAGGAGACAAAGGCTGAAAACTATGTTACAACATTGCTCCCAAAAACAGATTTGGAGTTGTTTTTAGGTCCATCCACGCCAATATCGGAAACTTTCGGCATAAAAGCTCCAGTTTCAGTCATGTAATACTATGATGTGACATCATGCTCACAAGCACGTTTCTGCCTTTTACAACTAAAGAACCCTATATTAGTTTTGTCAACCTCAAGTTAAGTTTTTTTATATTCTCATGGCTGGTAATCTTCAAATTTGGAAAAAAAACTATTTTAACTCTGGTGACAGCATGGCTGCTCTGTCAGAGACAGCCTTAATATTTCAGCTGGGGCTTCAGGCAAAGTGGGGTTAAGTGTCTTGTCAAAGGACACGACAGAAGAAATCAGTGGGAGTCGGTGGAGAAGGTCTTATGTGGGGATTGAACCCATGACCTTCCGGCTCAAAAGCTAATACTCTATCAACTGAGCCACTGTCATCGCCCCATAATCATTTTTAATGGGAAAAAATAATGCTCACTATTTCTTCTTTAATGTCTTATAAAAATGTATGTGAGGTGTCCTGTTAGTTCTGAACAAACAGAATAGAGCCATCGCAGAACATTGTAGCTCTATTTAAACCAAATTCAAATGTTTCCCCAAAAATAAGGGGTACAAAAAGAACAGTGAAAGTGTCTGTGTCACTGAATAAATGCAGTTGATATTCCCTCGTGTAGGTCGACTCACCACTCTCTTTGGCCTTTCGCTCTTCGTCCACGAGCTGCGACTGTAGCTGTGTTTGATTATCTCTTAAGCAGCGGTTCATCTCCTGTTCCTCCTTCAGCTCCTGACTCAGCTTTGCCACTCGAGCGTTGAGCTGAGTGCACCTGGACCACAGCACAGTCAACAACAGAGGAATAAACAATATACTGTTTATTTATCTCAATATCCAGAATCAGCATCTCCCTGGTTTGTAACCAATAAAAAGAAACACTTAAAGCAACAAAATAACACACATTTCAATCGGGGCCACGTGTAGGTCAAGATTGCCTTATACATAAAAAACTTCATGGCTCAACCCTTAAACATTTAATCAATTTCTGACAAAACTCAAGCACCTTTAACCATTTTGTACCATTTTGTCTATTGACTTTTTCTATATTCAATTTCAGAATTTTACATAAACTATAATTTTGGAGCTTTATGTTTTCTAAATTAACTGAGCAGCTGCATAGAACTTAAACAACGCATTTTACTTTTACTTTTTAACACTATGACACAGTATGAAAACTGAAAAACAAATATCAACACAAACAGGATATGGATAAGAGAAGAAGTCAATAATGCATTAAAACCATGGATCTATAATAACAACTGGATAGGTTATTACTATCTTATAGCTGTCCCACCCATGGGCACAGGGGGCGCCCGTGGTATTGCAGACTAAATTCACGTGGGGTACCCAGAAATTTTACCCATAGAACTCTATGTAAACTAAAACAGCTCGACCTCAGCTGACAGAGAACCTACAGCTTTGGGCGGCACGGTGGCTGAGTGGATAGCACTCTTGCCTCTCAGCAAGAAGGTCCTGGGTTCGAATCCCGGTCGGACCAGGGCCTTTCTGAGTGGAGTTTGCATGTTCTCCCCGTGTCTGCGTAGGTTTCCTCCGGGTACTCCGGTTTCCCCTACCACTAAAAATATGTCCAATAGTTCTGGCATGCGCTTCCTGTACTGGCGACCCCGCTCCCATCTCTGTGTGGAGTGAGAGACAAATGCCCAAAAATTAACAATTGTAAACCACTTTGAGACTCAGATCTGCAGTGAAAAGGTGGTATATAAATAAAAACTTACTTACAAAAACTTACTTACTTACTTACTAGCTTTCATAAAGGTCAGATTTTGTGGGGATTTTAGTGTCCCTTGTCATCCTGAACTTTTTTTCTTCCTAAATCCTTTGGTTTTCTTTAAATCCACACCTTACTGCAACAAACTCTGCTCCTTTCCTTCCCGCTCTGGCTCCGCTCTACCGCTGCTCTGATTGGTCAAAGCGTGGCCGAGCCCCTAGGTGCACGTGCATGAGAGCCACACACGTGCATTTGGCGCAACGCATCATGGGAACTCGTGCACTGCGCAGAAGCGGGAGGACCAGACGATGCCGAAATATAGGCGAGTTCCACTAATATGTCCATGCGCTACTGAGCACAAGCCGTTCATTTGAATAGGGCACCATCTTGGATCACCAGGGCTGGATTAAAACCAGCCCTGGTTTTGAGCTGGGGGAGGGTCCCAGCTCAAAAGTGGCCAAAATGACGTGCGCTGACATGCTTGCAATACCACCCCGGGCCGATGGGGCTGGACCCAGAAGAAGAATTAGCCAATGCTAACATATAGCATTGGCAGACCTCTCGAAAACATCTTTACAGGATGGTCCAAGAGTTGGCTCTTGGCCCAAAGCTCCGTTCCACATGTGTGTCAATGCTGAGGGGGGGTGAATTTTTTTGGTCCATTCTAGTTTACTCGCGGGGAATTTTTGAAGTCTCTCGTTCAAATGAATGGAGCTGCGCCGGCTGACGCATGCGCAGATGCGTTTTTTTTACAATTTTCTTGTGGGCGGGACCACTCGCGGCCATCTTGGATTGCTCCATGAAAGCACTTTTCATGGCCAACTCCTATGAACGGCGGAGATAGGCGTGACTCTGTCCGTTAATATATACAGTCTATGATTAAAACACATTCAATCATGCTGTGGCCTATATGTGGACCCAATGTATTTTCTGTTCAAAATATAGTGTTTGCTTAATAGTCCAGCAAGTACAGTGTGGACATTAAAGTGACAAAGGCTGTAGTGCCTAACTTTTTGGTTTCATTAATACATTTTTTTCGTCCCAGCAAAATGAGTCTTGTGTGAGTAATATTTTGTGAGTCTACCAGAACACAAAACGGCTGTCTTTATTGGACATGTATTAGCAAATATGTTATGGTTTGACTTCTTTCCACTCCTTTTTGAGCTTTGACAGGAGTGTAAATGCCATAAATGCTTCCTGTTTATAAGCTTGAAATAAATCCAATCAGTTGTGTACATAGTTGGGTAAGGGGTGGTACTCCCCTCGTCACTAAAGAATCTGATTAACAGGCGTGAACACTTGCGATAAAAGACAGTTTTGTAAGCGAGGCAATAGATGGATTTCATTAATCATTGCTAATTCCCAGTGGTTTCAATGTTAGGTACTTCAGCTTTAACTTGCAACAGCCCTATTAACAACCACATGCTTTGAACTTACTTTTTCTCCATGGTCTGTTTGTCTTTAGAAAGCTCTCCTAACCGACGCTCCAAGTTATCACAACGCTCCAAGGTCTCTTTAAATTTTGACTTCATGTTGTTTATCTAGAAATTATAAAACATTTGTCGTTAAATGAAAGATTTCAAATGGCACATTTCACATACAATTGTTCCTTAAAGTCTGCAGTACCTCCTCTGTAGTCTCCTTCTCCAGATGAGTAATCTTGTTCTCCCAGTAAATTCTTTGGGATTCCAGCTGACTAGTGAGAAGGTACGAGTACTGAAGAAAGGAGATCAGAATTAGAAAGAGATGCAGGTAACCGTTTGCTTTTTAACAAGGCTTACTTCAAGTTGTAGTGCATCAATTTTCTCATCATGACAGGTGTCCCCTTCACACTCATACTGCACCATCTTCCCATCAGTCTTACTTGCCACAAGGCGGTGCACATAATTATCTGTAACAGAACAAATGAGTTATTACTAAGAGATATGACTATGAATACAATTAGAGCAATACCACAGTCACACACACAAGAGATGTAAGACACAATTACTATCATTTGATGAAAAAAAAAACACATTAAAACCAATTCAACCAAAGACCGTACCTCCAGCATAGTCCCACACTCTGTGGTTGGTGAGCTGCATGGCATATGTATGCTGCGTTTCCTCAAAGTGTTTGTAAGCGTGACGACTAATGTAGCGACCACAACCAATATGGCCACAGATCAAACAAATCCATAAATTCTACAAAAGTAAAAGAAAAGTACAGATAAATCAACTCTTGAAATGAAAAGGACTGGGGGTAATTACCTCCTGCACTCCACACTCAAAACACTTGTTCTCTTCCACTGGCTCTGGCGTTTGGCAATACCTGCAAACTGGGCACCTGAAAGATGACAATGGGCCTCTATTGTTTAGTTTTGCAATAAGAACAGGCCAGAAACAAGCAGCATTTCACATGACGCCCATAGAAATACCCAGGTGAAAGCAACGACCAATGCTGCCAATGAAAGACTAATGCTATTTTAAGCATTATTAATTATTCCACTTACGAAACATCCTCCCAGCGCTGAAGACACTGACTATGAAAGCTGTGGTTACACAGAGTAGTGAGGACACCATTCACAGACTCGTCCATTCTCTCCAAACACACTGTGCACTTTGGCAGCTCAGTCAACTCCATCACTGGCAGGCTGGCCCCCTGGAAAACCGCCGTGACAAGGTCATATAACTTACATGTATGAAGTTAATGTTTTGAAAATAAAATAAAATACTTACATGTTCAGATTTAAAAACCTCTGCTCTCTCCACATAGACCAACTGACACACTGCCTCTTCAATTGAGTTAAACTGTCGACCATTGCAGGCAGTGTAAAAACTGTCTGCATCTGCCTGAATAACAAAGTTATTTTTTTTATCAGGTATTTATTTAAAAAACGGTCAATCTAACTACGAGCACACATTGAAAATATGGACACGGGAAAAAAAATATTAGGTGAAAATTATCGTAAATTAACCCACAATGGTTTGTATCTGCTGATAGATATTACCCAGGTACTTTCCCCTTCAAAACAGTGTTTTCTTTTTTAAAGTCAAGATCAATAATCTGTATATACCCCATATATCTTCACAAACAGCAAAATGCAGTCAAAGACCTAGGTCATTTTTACATTCCAAAACTCACCTGTGAACAGAATTTAATCAAAACCATATATTGATTTGGTGATGAGTCTCGAATAATCTTCATGTGCTCCATGACGTCATTATATGGAGCCAAGAGTTTCATAAGATCATGACTGGTCATAGTTGCAGGCACAGTCAGGATGCACACCATTGCACTACGTCTAACATTTTCAGTCAGAGACGTCATCTTGCTGCAAGAAAAATGTGTTGATTAGAGGGCAGAGGATTCAAAAGACAGATACCACTTGTGTGACATTACTTGGTCTTGTAGAGATGCATGATTCCATGAATAATCTCGACAGAGGGGTTTCCACTGAAGAAGGAAATCTGATCTGGCAACTGCTTGGAGGGGGAGTCTGGTGTCATGGCTGGAGTGGCGGTGTTTTCGTGTTTTTCTTCTGTTTTTTCATGTGCACTGTCACTATTGCCATCAGATGAACAACCAACCTCTTCACCCCCACCCTTATCTAGACCGCAGGAGACGCAAGACATGGGAATCAGCAACGTAAAAAAGACTGGAAACTAAACTAACATGTAATACACTAAGCCAGGGAGGTCGTTACCTGGGCTGGGCTCAAAGGTCTCTATAACCATGTCACCCATGGCTCTGCTCCCTATGTGCTGGTGTAGTATAGCTGCTCTCTCTAGATCAGTCTTTCCACTGAGCGCCGCTTTGGCTATGCTCAAAGCATTCTCCTCCTGTTCCTCTTCTGACATGATCTCTGATGCTGTCAAGACAACAGACATGGGGGTTCATAATCACTTATTCAGACAAACCAGCCCACCCCTGAAGACTTACCAGCAAAGTATTGGAAACCTCGTGGAAAATGAGACTCCTCGGCTACTTCCAGTCGGATAACAACCAGAGACACACTCATGTGAACGACAGACCCGACGACTCTTCCAGCAAACAACAAACCATGCAAACATCAAGCTAACAACAGCTAGCCCTCAGCTACTTTGATACATTATCTAAGAGAAGATTACTTTTAGAACTACACCGTGGTTTGCTCTAACAGCTGTAATAGTCCATGAAAGAGTTGATCTTCAAACAGAATATCAAGTCAGAATTTTTAAGACTGGACAAGTAACTAACTACATGATGCAAACATCAGGCTAACCCGAGGAGCTAACAGTCATGCGTCTTCTTCGGGCACAGTGCCGGTATTGTACTGCCCCCCCGAGGCCATTATTATTATTACAGGAATTAAAATGAGCATAAACATTTAAGACAACAAATCTGAAATCCGAAGACATGTTACACTACGCATGCTAAAATTGGACTGTATGTTGTTTAAAGCATTTATTTGCAAAAAATGGATGATTGTATGCTTACACAACAATAAAAAGAGAAAGGGTCACCATTTAGCACATTTTACATTACACTCCAATTTTTCCAATAAAAATAATTGCACAAAAATAGTAAGAACACACTGCCACCGTGTCAGTAGTCATTCATCAGTGCTGGTTTATGACAAAGCCATTCAAGTATCATTACTTTGCATTTCAGGGTGAACTAAATCAGACACAACGCTGATGGGTTCTTGAGTTCTTGAGTCAACTACTTCAGTTGAAAATTTTGCAGAGTCTTTGAAAAAGAAATAATAAACTGGAAACAAAAATGTATAAAGCTCTAACTGGATAATAACCCTAGAACACTGCACAGCATCTTCTTCAGTTTTATTTACACTTAGGTCCAATGCACAGCAAAGTCGTCTAAAATGTTCATGTAAAACCTTTTAAATCTGCGTTAATTTTGAGCGCAATAATAACTTGTGTTTTCTGCATATGGCTATTCATACAATTACATGTGACTTACAGAAGTGGTTGCATATTACATGCATCTGTGTCACAAATGCAACAAGTGGACTGTAAGGGTGCAATGTTTAAGAAAGAAAATTATAAACGCAGAGAAAATACCTTTCACTGTTTCCTTGCATATTCATGTAACCATAGTCTATAATAGATCAATCTTGAAACAAAACAACTCAAAACCAGGTGTGATTTTTGGAGCGCAAGGGGCATGTGGTTTAAATTGAAACATTTGTTGCTATTTTAAATCTAAAAACTACAAAACAGGTTTAGTACAGATAAGAGGGGTACAAATAAGGAATAGCAATTTTCTATAGTTTTGACAACCATAAGCTACTGAGATTCTTTTGGACAAAGAAGTGTAACCGCAAAGCTGTAGACCAAGTCTGAATGTCTGCATATAGACCACACATTTTATTGATGTGACAAAATAAACATGAAGCATGAAGCAACATGAAAAGATAAATGGGTGTATATCGTTTGAGGGATGAAAACATGTGAGTAATTCATCTAAAATGTCATCGCTTTTCATTACTGTAAAATTGAGGGATCTAGTAATAATTAAATTTCTGTTGAATCTTCTCAGTTCAATTTGCGTTGTGTAGCAATGAAAAAGTCTTGGCGTTAGGGTCTTGCCTGTGAATTCTCAGACCGCAGGGGAAAAGCAGAAGTAGGAGGTGGATCATAGACTTTTGCTCGCCCAACACAGCGTATGGTCTGACAGCAGTTGATGTCGGCTCCAGATAATAGGGACAAGTCAATGATTCATGGCAAACTTCAGACCTTAAGATTTTTTATAGTTTCTGCCCTCTTTTTGAGCAAATCTCCCACTTCTTGGAGTGAGTGAAGATAACTACTTTGCACTTTGTCCATAGCAGACTGTGTAAACGATGATTCCTCCTAAAGAAAAAAATAAGAATTCAATGAATAGAATGCATAAAGGGAGGTATTGAGAATAGCTTGAGCAACTACATGGGCACATGTAACACCAGTGTGAATATACGTGTTTAGAGTGAGACGTCAGATGATCAAGTTGTCATAAAGCTGTAAGTAAATTGGAATTCAGATCATTTATCTTAAAGTAATGAATTGTTTAATGAATGATAGCGCCAAACATCTTACAGTCTAGACCTGATATTGGCTTGTTAGATTTTTGATCTTGGTAATTGTGGGGGAAACAGTTTACAACAATCAAAACCACAAAGTGTTGATTGTGATGAAAAGCCTCGCTAGATGATAGGAACATCTAGTGAGGCTTTTCAACATAGTTCTGTTATATATTGTACGTGTTGATTTTGTGTTGAATACAAATGTATTATTTACTGTATATCAGTGCCAGGCTTAAGGGTCTACAGCACACAAAGGGCACCTGAGTGTAGCTCACCTGTGAGTATCCGTCCAAGGTCAAACTGGAAAGTTTAAGGGACGTAATGTTTAATTCCTGTTCTTTCACATGCTCTGAAGCCTGGGTAAGTAAATCCAGTAAGCTCCCCGTCAGCTCCTGGAATCCACACACCACTGCGGGCTACAACACATGAAAATTATAAATTACAACATTGTATTGGTGTGTGTGTGTGTGTATGGTATATATATATAAATATGTATGTAACATAAGAACTGCACCAGAGCAGTGCTGACATCCTTTTTCTTCTTTTTCTTTTTCTGCAGACTAGTCTTTAGAGGTCGTAGAATCCTTGCACAGTAGCTTGCCACCCACAACATAATGCTAATGGTCTAAAAGAATAATACAAAATATTACATTTGCACAACAAAGTCAAATTGCACACATCGCTAGACAGGTATTACCTCAACGAAGAAAACTAAATTCTCCATTAGGGATGGTACGGTTTTTAATGTGCTCATTTTAGTCTCCAACAATTCACCCTTACATTTATTTAGCATTTCTGTAGAAAGAAGGAGCCTTAAATGAAATACCAGCTAGAGAAAATAAAACAAAAACACATGTTCAGAAGTTTTTTACCTTGAAGTTGAAATTTTAGGGACTGGAAACAATTACAAATCTGTGCTTGAAGCTCTTCGGATTCATCTAAATAAAGAAGATCATATTAGAAAGAACATGTTTTCCCGTCAGCCTTGTGTATCCACCTGAACACTTAGCTCACCGAGTCCAGCCAACTCCAGTTCCTGTAATTGAACTGCGAGCTGGAGAGCAGCTGACTGGCACTGGCAGCTCCCACTAGACAGCGCAGCAGTCAGCCGAGTGGATGGAGGCCCCAGCAGCGGATACTACAACATCAAGACCGTTTTTACATCTGTATCATATACTGTGAAATAAGGTGTATTAAACAACTTGCTTGTATGCGTTTTTCTGCCAACTGAGTAGCTGACTGTAGTGTCTGGTTGAATCGGGACAGCAGGGCTTCCATGGTTGAGGTTTTGTCCCCAATACCATTCTCGCTCGTCAGTGCAGAGTTGTGTGTGGAAGGTGGGTGTCCAAGGGCTGCTAAAGAGGCTACAAGGCGGAGGGTCAAGGAGCGCATCTTTAGCCAAACAAGCTCTTCCTCCAGCGACTGGTGATGGTTCTCGTCGCTGAATTGTCTGTGGAATAAACCATTGGTCATTTAAAAAAAGGAAATTACTGAAATATTATGAAAAATTCAAAATAAGTCACTAGCAATTCAAATGAAATTCTGATTATCAGGCTAAGAAGAGTGATGTCTTTCTGCAGAGGAAATCTGAACGTAACAACGTGAATGACTGAAACTGATTCCAGTACTTTAAGGACAACTCACCCTTTTCTTGCTGAATACATATCCTGGTCATAATTTTGTCACTTTAGTGCAAATTAGTTTAAAGATCAAATTTCTGCCTAAAACCGTCAGTGAGGCGCCATCTGCAGGCGACCTGTATTTACTACATTTGAATTTTGAATCTAGCGCCAACATTGGCGCAGCAGTGATACCTGACGTCTGCAGAGATACCTGACGTCTGCAGTGAAGGCTGACGTCAGTTGCCCTACGGCCCAGTCTTGTTCACGCCCCCGTAGCGAGTTGGAGAAGGAATAGCAGAGAGTATTTTCATCGATTGTCAGGTTTGCGATTAGTTATACTAGCATTTAGGTAGGTGTTTATTAGCATAGCCGTTTGTATTATTGATAATTGTGTAGTGTTAATGGCGTTGTTGTTGAATATTGTAGTTTTAGTCACTATTGCTTTTATTGTCAAGTGTCAATCACAGCCCCAATTTTGTAATGCATCACTTCAACATCTAATAGTTAGCATGCTTCCCTTAACTGTTAGCTTCTATGACTCATTCACCATTCTATCGACACAAAACGAGCATTCTACAGCTACTAAAACTTTGAGTCAATAATGATATCAATAATAATAATAAGTCCATAAACTGCCCAATTCTACCACAATAATAATACATTCATTGGCCGTATTGCTATATAGGCCACAGGGTTCAAAAAGAAAGTAGTACCTGTCCTTAGGGTCCCAGCAGGTGAAAACTGTGAGGTCCCTGTTGTCTCTTATATTATTCCATGGGATATCATCGTTTTCTGCAGTCAATGACATTGCCTTCACACTATCTTCAAGGCTTAGCAAACTGAAAATATGAAGCATTAGAGGAAGAAAAAAGATGCACAAACTTTGAAAGTAAAAGCTTACATGTCAGCCTCTAGGATTAGATCAAGCAACATCCTCTCAGTTCGGATCTGAGCAAAGTGCAGCGATTGGTTTAACCTATTCCTGAGAGCGATGAACTCTGGGATCTTCTCAAAAGCTCCATACTTGTACGCCTGGATGATGTATTCTGAGGTCTAAAGAAAGGGGGGAAAGGCAAACAATAAACTCCAGAATGAAGTACAAAAATGTGACTGTCAAGAGAGAACATTCATATCCATGTAAAGCCAAGAGGAGATTACCAGAGGTGCCCAATATGTGGTTGATTGCAAACGCAGGGTGAGAGCTAGAATGGGAGTCGGCCTCTCATGGAGTTTATTGTCACACTTCAAATCATGGAAATATAACATAAATTTTGAAGATTTGTCAATGGAACAAGCAAGTATTTTCAGTCTGAGCAAATAAATGTGAAACAATTGACTCAAACTCATGTAGACAGAGTTACCAAACAGTAACAGCCATTTGGAGGTCAATTAACAGTGAATTGAACAAAATCATGAAATTTCTGAAATTGTACAGCCCTATTGTAAACTAAGGTAGATCTATCAAACTCTGGGCACCCCTGGATTTAACCAACATTATGTAAAATGTAGCTGCACACAATGGACACCATTATGAATGCATCACTTTTGTCTAAATTATGGAATACAGATGTTGTTCAGGTCAAAATAAAGAAAAAGGTTTATTTTCTTTGATAAACCTTATTTTTTATTTTTTTTACCATTTTCAATGGTTTAGTGTATGGCTTGACCATAGATTATGGTCAAGCCATAGATTATTTGTATGTATGGAAAATGTATTAAAATGATAGCTGCTAAGGAAGCACCCATTTCTATTGGCTACAACATGGAGACAATTTCACTCACATCTTTCTGGTTAGAATGGAAAAACCTGAGGGAGAAGTTATAGGCTTGAGAGGCAGCAGCAAACTGACCCAAAGTCTCAGCATAGCGTGTCAACAGATACCTGAAAGAGAGGAGTTCATCAAGCATAAATCATCATGGCAAAATTGGCAAAAAGATTGAATACTTTCAACTAATGATAAAAATTGGATTTTTGCGTTACCCTATAGTGTCATGCTGTACATGTTTGGCATCCAGGCTGGAGTATAGGTCTACAACAGGTTCAAAAGCACCCAAGCGACAGTAAAGGAGCAGCAGCAGTAACTTAAATTGTGCATTAGCAGAACTGTGAGACAGGCCTTCATGAAGAAGTCCAAAACAGCGCCACACCATGGTCTCATCCTCTACAAAAGACGAGGGATTCAGGAAAGTCTACGCACATGATGCCATTATGCAGAAAAAACTGGAACATACCGGTTTCAATCCATAGATCTATGTATACATGAGCTGCCATTAGACAATACATATCAGATAACTGCAGTTCTGTCTTTAGAGCATTTTTGCCTGTTCAATAAGGAAAAAAATGGTAAAAATAAAAAACAGGTTTGTGCTTCATAAATTTCATGACAATTCATAATAAATCGCACCAAATACAAGTCCATGATGATACCGGGCTTTCAGCTCCGAGATAAGCTTCAGTTTCCCGTCCACATCAAGAGAGTGATGCAGTCCAAGGGCACGGGTTAACTGGCAAAGACACAGATGCCTCTGAAGAGCTTTGGTATCCGCTGGAAATGCATACCCTTCACCAGGCTCCGCTAAAGGAACAGCTTCACTCAAGAAATTGATAAACTTAAAAAGAAAAAAAATCAAGCAGTGTGGGTTACCGTTTTCTCAAAATCTAAAAGTAGAAAATGGCATAATTTTACCTGTACATGTTGTTCTGAAGGTAAAAGATGCAAATATATTTTCAAATCTGTGATGCAACAAGGTTTATCCCCAAACTTGGCAAAAAACTGCACCATCAATTCTAATGGATTGCCTGTTGAACAAAAACAACAATATGATAACAAAAGTTTATGAAAATGCTGGATGACAGGAGAATCTAACAAAAAGCTCGTACCAAGCAGACTTTCATCTGAAGATCCTCGCTCTCGTAGTCGGTGCAGCAACTCTAGACGAGCCAAATAGGGGCCTCTCAGAGCACGGGAGTCTTTGTGGCTCTCGGCTTCGATTCTTTCCTCAATAAACTTTGCCACTTCACCTACAGAGAGATGCACATGGCCCTCGGAGCAGCTAATCAGCAGAGAACAAAATATTGTTAGTGGATAATTCAGGCACTTCCATGCAACCAATTTGGACTGAAAAATAGCATACTGTTCTCCTTCCTCAGGTGGATGCCATGACTGGTCCAATATGTGGAAGAGAGAGTTGAAGTAAAAGCCATAATATTGCCATTCATCAGGACTAGCAGGAGGAGAACACATTTGTGAAATCCCTTGAATATCGTTGCACAAAGCATTAATACAGCATGTAAGGCAACTTACTTTTTGAGTAACAGCTTATGTGCTAGGGCATTGCACTCAGGCCAACGCTGCAGTCGCTGATACAGCACCATGCACTTATTCTCTCGACTCTGAAATTCACTTGTGAGTTTTTCTAAGAAAACAAACGTACATAGTATTGTGATTGTTGAATGCTTGAGCTGCATACCAACAGAAAGTACCCAAATCGACACATTTATTAAAAGCAATTCTTTGAAGACGTGGAAACCATCTTATTAGCGTTAGTCAAGGCGGCACATAGAAGTATGAAAGCTCCTGTATACTGGGCTTAATGAAAATTTTGCAATTCATTCAAAATGTGACCAAGTGACCTCAGAGACTTGTCTTAGTTTAATTATCTGAATTACTAGATATTGTGGCAAAAACATGGCTCAGTCAGTATACCTCCAAGTGGCCCTTTAATAACTTTAAGCGCCTCTTCATACTTTCCCAACCGTTCCAGAATCATATAATACAACTGGACCTAAAACAAAAGGAAGTGTTTTCAACAGGATCTACTTGGATTTGAAACACAAAACAAGAATTTTACCTCTGCTTCTGCTTCAATCTTCTCCTCTTTGACCATTTTCTCAACCATGCGTTCAGCGAGAGGCAAGAACATGGTCAAAGCCAATTTCTCATCCTCAGCTGATATGGCCTGAATTATATATAGTATGCATTACACCATACATAACAGCGCTTCAATAACATGACAATAGAAGCCTTACCTGCATAACTAAACTCATGACAGACCAAAAGTAATATGGATTTTTAGGTACAATTTTATATAAGGCCATCCCTGCCTGTGAAGCACAAAAATGCAGATTCAGAATGAAACCAGTTTCATTTTAGGTTTTGACAAAAGGTTGATGTTTTACCTGCTGCATCTTTTTATACTCTCCAACTCTTGCATACGCCATGAAGAGGTGGGAATGATACTCCTCACTAAGAGGAACTTTCTTTACTGCCGCTTCATACAACTTAGTCACCAATTCCGCTGTGCAAAAGATATATTAATCGAATAAAAATGTGTGTAATAAAAGATTCAATTTCAAACAGGGTAAAAGTACATACGTCGGTGCATCTCCCTGTACAAGATAGTCAGCGCCTGAAGTGAGTTATCATCAGTGGGTTCAAGACTGGCTACTTCCTGGGCAAGAGTGAAAGCTTCATCTTGCTTCCCAGTTCTTTGCAGTCCAATAGCTTTGAGAACCTACAAACCAACAGTATTAGTGTCCATTTAATGCAACAAATTGAAACATACACCTAGTAGAGGGTCATAGACTGGTAGTCTTCCGGCTCCAGCTCTAAAACAGCTTACCTGCAAACCTCCTAACGAGAGATCTTCAACCCTTTTGTGAATGTTACCACAATTAACCAAACTTGTATATTTCAATTCTCATTACTTCTGTGCGTTCAATGCCCAACAAAATCACATTAATTTATGTTACAAAATAATAAAAGGTATGTTACAAAATAATGTAAGTATGTATTTGTTACTATGTCATCTGTATCCCCACTTAGCAGACAAGGTCAACGCCATATTTGGACTTGTTTGATCAAATGTTGAATCTACCGTGTTTTTGACCCAATAACCAAGACGATTAAGTTATAATCTCATTATTTGACTCATCATTACAGCTCTAGTTAAAATGGCACATAAATTACTAAGACCAAAGATAATAGAATTCAATTTCTGTAGCTTTTTAATGTCGTCTCTGCTCCACAAGTGTTCCTCAATCGGCCTCATGAACGCACTGAATGCTACCAAGGTAATCAACAGACTTCCCAAAATCAGAATCAATAATCCCAATATATTACTGGTGACTGGGCTTGGCCTCTGGGAGCCAAAGCGTGAAACATCTGCGGTCTAAATAGTACATCACAATGCCTTGCTACACATGACTAGAAGGGCCACAGTTTGCAGTAACTGAGCATGTTTCACGTCATCCAAGAGTTAAAGCACAGAGTTGAAGTGAAATTCAGATGAGTTCTAACTCTTTGCCCCTTTTTGGACGGGGAAGCAACACAGTTCATGAGGTTCATAAATGCACCCACCTTCGCACAATGTAGTTCTTTGTGCTTTTTAAGCAGTTTGTCTGCTTGCTGAATTGCCATTTTGTTATTGCCATTGTCAAGATAATCTGAAATATCAGATAAGATCACAAGTCAAATGTATACATTCAGGCATCTTAGTTTTTTAATTGAAACAACCACATACAAGTAAAATACTACCAATATTGCTGAGACATATGACGTTTCTAAAATTAAAAATGCCCACTGCTGATAGTAGGGGTTATATTGTCCAGTAACAGTTGTTGCAAAAGTTCGAGAGTGGCGACGAGAGCCCATTGTTGTTCTAAATGTTGCATTGACAGCTGCATGCTATCATTGTAGCAAGCTAACAGCTAGCTGTTCCAAAGCTTTGTCTGAGCATTATAGTTCCAATGAAGCCAGCAGTAATTTGGCCAGCCAAGACCCGAAGGAGGTGTAATAAGGACAAGGTTGGCCAAAATCTTAACACAGCCACATACACAGATGTTTTTTCAAATTACACGGAAAGCGAATGCCTTATGTCCCTTTAGCTAACAGGGAAGCTAGCTGTCAGAAATAGCAATCGAAAAGTCGATATATTAGTTACAAAGATAAAAACTGCGATTATAAATATAAACGTTTATTCAAGGTTGTACGCAGCACATACATCTGTCTACAACCATAATGTTTGTCCAGACTTATACAAAATAGCCTTCTAACATAGTGTCAGATGTAAGCGACTGAGCTGCACTGTCATTGGACTGTTAAGCCAGGCGCAGTCCGAGGGTGAAGTCTGTGCAGCTGCACAGCTCCTGTGAATGTGAAGCCTGATGTTCGATCACATTGCAGAGGAAAACCCACGATTGCTGACTAACTTTTAATCATCCAAACACAATTCCGCTTACCGTAAATAGGTCGGAGCCGTCTATCGTTTGGGTCTTGCACATGGCCTCTCGCCGCCATGGTAGTTTACCTACCGCTACAAGTTTGAGCATGCGCAGGCGCAGCGGCACTAGTTTGAGGCACGCGGTGTCGGCCCCTGCTGGTATGAGTCATGTGTGCACTAACTATAGACTGAAGTCACTCAGCTAAACACTCAGAGACAAGTTATATTCCCTTAACTCGTAGGCGCACATATCAAAACTAATCCTGACTGTAAATGTATAAATTACAACTTTAGTCAGTATGTTTTTGGTTATTACTTACCAATAACAAAAACAAATTGTGACAAGGGACAAACTACACTGCATTACATAGTAGCAAACAACCTCAGTCAGTGACTTGAGGCTGGTGTTCCATCTGTAAAAGTGAAAATAAACTTCATATAGTGGAAAAGTAATGTATGAGTTTATTAACAATAAATACCAGTGACATAATGGGTTTCATGTCATGCGAGTACATGTGTAAAACATGTAGATCTCTGCAGTTCAATTGTGACATTGTCTCCATCAAAGAGCTGTACATTCATAAGCATTAATGGGTAACAGTAAAACCATGGCATAAAGCAATGAACAATATGCATATTCATTCTACATAATGTAATTTATAGCATACTGTGCATTGCATGTATCTATAACACTACAGTAATGAGAGTGTTCACAAGTAACTATGACTGTATTTCAAGTATGTGGTATTTACACCTATATCTTGGGTCTATTAAAAAGTACACTTATTAAATCTGTCTAATGGAAACCACAGAGGTTACATAAAAGACATTTGTTTCATACCTGATTATAAACAAATGTCTAACATCACACCCGCATTAAGCTGTGACATTATGATCAAATTCATTGCAAAAGGTTGCGTTCTGTTAATAGTTTGACTGAAACCAATACCAAAACAACAAAAACTAAAAGCTTAGAGTTGATGTAATTAAAAAGCAGTGAAGCAAAATATTCAGATCCCTGTAAGAATACAGAATTAACTCAATCACTTAACAAAGTTACTTGAAACTTTTCTAAAATTTAGAGGGATAACAATGTCTCAAAAAGAAGCAATATGAAACACTATCTTAATTAATTTACAGGGTGAAAACCAAAATACAACACACACACATCCATAACTGCATCATCATTGCACATCTGCTGTTGGGAGCCCTGATGATTCAGGTATTTCTCAGCCAGACGAATGGACACAGCGGTGCAAACTTTCAGCCAAGAAGTTTTAGTAAAATAGAAAAGCTTTTTAAAAAGCTGGAAATTGTTCAAATAAAGCCCTAGCCTGAATAAGAGGACATGCAGCATCAGCGTGAGGCAAGTTCCACAGGCGAATCATGAGTCGCAAAACTCAAAAAATGATTTGAGATTTGAACAGACCAGTTCACAGATGAGCTTTCTTTAAAAGATGGTACATCCCTCTATAACACACTTATATGTCTCGGGACGTTCTCATTAAGTGAGAAATTAAATCAATTTTATCAGGCCGTGCCCATAATGTGTATGAGAAAGGTTTACAGTCCCCTGGATGAACATCATTTATGAAAAGAACAGAGATATTTCTTTTGCAAGTCAAAAGAAATATACAAGATGTATTTTCATTAAAAAGTTAAAAACATAGCTTTACATTTAACCAGGTTTAAACATTGAGTGAAAAGACTAGTATTTATGTAGAAACTAATTTACTGGCAGGGTGAGTAAAGTATTGATTTTTGGGGGACTCGTATAAAGATAAAACAACATTCTGACTGTTAAATTAAAAAGGCATGACTTTCTAAGTCCGAAGAGGAAGAGAAGATTACCAAGCCCATTGTCTTAATAAACTAAAAATATATATCAGGCCGTTTACGTTCAGACTACAGACATTTTTCCTTATTATTTTTCTAAGAGTGGGAGGCATGTGATTGTTGTATCTGTACAGTACTCATAATCAATCTGTCAAACCCCCAGTGAACTGAAGGAAGAAGAGAGTTGTGGAGCCCCCTGCGTCACGGTGGGCTCTGAAGACATCATGCCAGGGTTTGGTTGTTTTGCCTCATTGCTCATGAGCAGCACTGGTGCCTCGAATCGGACCGGTTTTACGGAGCTATAAAAAGGACAAAACAATAATTAGGAATGGAAAAAATGAAGTAATCTGTTGAGAATATGAAATGTATCCATGCAACTGAAGAAACAGATTAAATAAATAAAGTGTTTGCAGGTGAAAAAGACGGAGCTGTGGACATTGGTAATGGTTGTAAAAGGGTTAGTTGACAGAGGCAGCAAAAGGTGAAAAGAAATTATTGAAACAAAGATGGTGGCTTGGGTGCGATTGTTGAGCAAGTCCACAATGATAAGAAATGAGGAAGAGGAGGTCCATGCAGTGCCAATACTTAATGAGACTTACTCAGCCTGCTTCTAGAGTTTGAGCTACACGACCTTTATTCATCTGTTGCTGAGGTGCCTCTCACTTCTCCTTTTTGACGCATCTAATGAAATTCAGGAGCAAGAGCAATATTCTGTAATGAGCTCATTACCCAGATATCACATTTTACACCAGGCACAACCAGTCAAAGATGAAAAACATTCTGTAACTTGTATAACTAAACAGTTAAAGTACAATAATAGCAACTAGTACCTCTTCAAGCTCCTTCTGGGTCTCCTCTTCCATTCGCCTGATGTCCTCCATTGTCAAACCCACCCATTTATCAATCCAGCAGAATAGTTGACGATGGAAGTTGGTGAAAATACGCTTTTCTTGCTGAAAACGTAAAACACATATATTTGTTTTTTTATGTTGCAAAAAATATGTTCAAGAAGTTATGTTAATAAGTTCATACTCCAGTACCCTATGAATGAAGTTTTCCACTTTCGTTTGCAGTCCCCACCATCTAAATTTGACTGTGACCAGTTTGTAAGCACACATGTGAGGACAGTCTGCCTTCATTTCATTCTGGGGGAAAAAAAACAAAAGCGTTATACATATCAATACATAAAAAATGTCTGTATAACCAAGTATATTTAGGGCTGATCAAATAATTGGGTTACATTCATTTAAAATAATACATGAACCCCTCGATTACCCACAAAATGGAGCTGTTGAAGTTGAATACCATACACACTTCTAATGTTTACAGTTTAGTAGCAGTTTTGTTCATTTACTGGAACGCTCTGAAGTGGGAATCTTAATTTGACAACAGGAAGGATGCATTGGAAGACCAGAGGCGACAGGTGGACTCTTGCACACTCAGGTATGCTATACAAACAGGTAAGTCTGACGAATGGCAGTCAACCAAAATAAAAAATCATCTTTAAGAGTGACAGTGTGGGGGCTTTGTTCATCAACTGCCTGGAACACAGCATTACAATCTAAGCTGGCCTCGGAAAGCCTTGTGTTTCTCCCAAATGAGGAGTGTGTATTTGTATTTCGGCCCAATTATAAACACACAAATACAGTTTTTTATAAGATTACAACCACTGCTACTCTTAATATCTCTACCTTCCATTCTGGACCAAGAGGTCCTCGGCTTGTCTTGGAAGAGTGGAAAATAGCAGGATCTTCTTCCGATTTATAATCCTAAACAATGGAAACATACAAAAATGCTGTTACTTAATTTGCATACACCGAAGCACTCCACACACACACACTCCACACACCAGCACCCACACAAGAAGCCAAGAGTGCAAATCAGATTTGCTGGAAACAGTGGAACCTATCTGGAGCAGATGGACATTAAGATTAGGCCGAGTTCAACACTGATCCACTTAAGTCATTATTAACAAGAGAATAAGAAACGAAGACTCATGATGCTGGTACAAGACTGGGAAACTAATTGATCATAATAATACATTTGTTAACAGCTAAAAGTACACACCAAAGACTGGGCAGATATCAAATACTTATCAAATAATATTTCATCCTAAAACCATAATCATTTAGGGTTTCCTTTCAGTTATTATGATATTACAGTTATAAGAGATATTTCAGAATTACATACTGCTACGAGAGTTATTCTTTGTATTCTTTTATCACTCTGATCCAAATAATTCACTCAAATTCAATGTCACTCAAAACTCTTACCGCAGAAGCTACTTCGTCATTTGCAATATCAATTGGGACCACCTCTACGGTCCCCCACGTCTGCTCATCTAAATTGTGAACCTGAACCAAAGTATAATAATAAATCAATTTATGTAACAATTACAAATCCAACAAACAATAAAAAACTGCACTTACATTTTCTAAAGTTCCCATGTCTGGCTTGTGCCATGTTTCAATCTTGATCTCAAAGTCATCTTTCATGTACTCATTCTGAAAGACAAAAGAAAGAGCCCTTATCCATTCCTGGTCCTTTCAGTTCCATAAGTGTGGCACATTCAAACTACTACAATGTAACTGTAATGTTAAAATTTTATTTGAGAATTTTATTTTTTGCATTCTTGTATACTTTTTATCTTGATCCACAATAGACGTTATTTGATTTGAATATCTCCAAAACAAAAGTATTTCTTGGCAAATTGTAAATATGATTTAGTTCAGTCTGAGTGAATGCAACTGAGAGTGTTGGATCTTCAGCTGCTCTGTGCTGTACTAACATTCCAGTAAAGTCTGTGTAACTTCAGTATTTTGTGACGCATCACTGTCAACTCAAAGTGAACAGAGAAAGAGGCGCATTTCTTTGTGAACGCAGCAGAATAAACATTGAGTTTATGACCTTATGTAAATAAGAAAACACTCAATAAAAGCACGTGGGTGAGCGCTTGGAGCCGTTATGCACCGTACACGCCATGATCCAGATGATAGCTGTAGCCAAGTCTTGGACCCCAGAATGATCATCTCCAGATTGGAAAACAGTTGAACAGTTACAAAGGTGCACATTTACAAAAGGGTCATTGAGGACTGCTCCTCTGACTAAGTAGAAACTGAGGCACTATGGGGACCAGTTCTTGGTCCTCTTATTTGCAAAAATATCAGATAATTAGTGTGAAAACTTAAAAAGATATTTCTTCTCTTAATGACTGCTGACAGAAAAACATGCCAGATGATTTTTTACTGAAAAGACACTTACCGTAACAACTGCATGTATTATAGAAGGGGGAAACACAAACACAAAATTAGTGCACAATACACCAGTACTTCAAATAGATGTCTTAGCGAGTGTAACACATTCAGCATCTAAAAAAAGAATCAACACTTACCGGTACGACAGTAAGGGTAGGCATTCCAGGCTTTTTCATGAAAAACTAATGCACCTTCTGGGGCAATCATCTTTACATAAGCCGGTACTTTACTGAAAGGATATAGAAAAGATAAATACTTTATTGATCCTGAGATAAACTGGTGTCAATTACTCACATTCACACATGCATAAATAAAACATATCCAAAAGGAGGAACATTTCACATAAAAAAATATCCATAGTTCAAATAAAAAAAAAATGGCAGCAGAATGTGTCAGAGTGCAAGACGTTAAAGGCAATAGCAGAGCCCTGATTTAAGACCCATGACTTTTCCAGCCTCTCCTTGAGGTCGCAGCATTGTGCAGCAGCCTGATGGCTTTCAGATTTTCAGTTTGTGCGAGCATAACTTTACTAAGCATTGGATTATTTTCAGTTACTAATGTGTGCTTATATGGAAAAGTAGTTCTTAAAAAATATATACAAGTAAATGTAGCCTCCAATACAATAATCACAAATAAAAAAGGTCCATCAGGGGTGAAGTTGGTCCCTTCCCACTGAAGCGCTACCTGATGCCTCAAATATTGATATATTGAGTTTTATAAAACAGAGCAGAATGCAAAAATATGATAATGAAAAACAAAAATGGAGCCAGACCCAATGGAGAAAATGTGTGGCCTCCATCACTTCCTAAAAAGGCATTTGCTATTATTATTATTATACAGTCCAGATAAATTATGTTTGTGTGATTTAAACTAAAAAAAACAACATGCATGTGGTTACTTTAAACTTGCCAATGTAAACCTACCTTTTTAAATGATAAATTTTGTGGGTATATTGTCCCTTTTCTCCATCCTCCTCATAGGGCTCATTCTTCAGCACCTCAATGCCTTCTCCTCCCCCAGTTTCATTTTTACTAGCCTCAGCCACAGAGTATAGCTGTCCCACTTGATACTGGTATAAAGAGCAAAACATAATAAATCATCAAATAGGAAAATGTAGTGATGTATTTAAGTCAGTTTGTATATTGTACATCTGGAACTTCACAATGTGGTAGTTCCAATACTCACCTCTTCCACAGAGACTGGTAATAGCACACGGCTAGTGAAAGAAAGGTGAAAAAGAACAAAAGGACACAAGAAACACAAAATCAACAGTGATTTTTAAATAGTATGTTATCTGTGAGGCATCACTCATAGATGTTGTATATTAAATCTGATTACAAAGAGATTATATATTGATCTATCTGCATGAAGTTTACAGTAACAGTAGAACATCAAACATCATATTTCTGCATATCGTCTTTGAGATGTTCGATAATGATTTCTAGGCAATGTTTCCAAAAGCCCTCCCTGAGTCCAAGCATGATCTCACCAATAACATATAACTGCAAACGAGGATATTGAAAACAACAAAGCCAAACACTTAAAATAGTATCCTGCCTGAAAGCTTGACCAGTGTATTACAGAAAGCTCACGTGAAGCACCGTGTACACTGGCAGCACATATACATACAGGAGCCCTGATGTGTACATGTTATTAGCATTGGTTTTTAGCCGCAATAATCATTTCAGCAGTTATTGAAAACATAAAGATGAAATACTTGATTAAACATTTGAATTCATTATACACTATTTTGGTAAAAATCTCATGAGCCACAATACACACGCTACATGTGGATATTGGTCGTTTTGGCAGAGACTAGCCACTAGCCGGCTACCACAGCTAGCCTTAATGTTAAATCCGTGGGAGAAGAAACCTTAATCTGTCAGTCAGGGGACTAAAAGCTTATGCTACTTTGGAGATAAAACAAGCGGCCCACGGGGTCGGGTCGTGCATGTTTAAACAGAGATCCACGTTATGTTGCTATTTGTGCGTAAATCGCATACGAGTACTTTATATCAGCTTCAGTTTCATTACGAAGCTAATTAACATTAGCTTGTGCTAGCATCGCCTAAAAAGACCGGTGTGTGATGCGTCCCGTTATCCACGTCCTGATCCGCCCAAGTTAAATCAGGCTTTTGTGGTCAACAGGAGAGGTGGGTCACTCGAAACAAACATAACATCATGTTCAACTATCTACTACCCACACATAACACACACCAAAGAGCGCAAAAAGATATGTTTAAAAACATTTCAGACTCACTATTCCTTGATGAGCACCATCTTCGTCACCCCGTCTGCGCCGCGCACTGGCGTCATCCAACTCCACAGCGCCCCCTCTGGTGCAGAAGGACTAGCGCCCAACACTTAGGTAGTTAGTGAAAGAAAAAGGCTGAACTATAAACGTTACTCAAAGACTATACGGACTTGAATTATGTTGCCTTGAAATAAGATTTCAGTCTCAACAGATATCAGTGTTGTGCTAAATATGATCAGAAATGTGAACAAATCTATAATTCATTCAACATGAGTCAAAGGCTTGCTTGATTTATTTGTTTATTCATAAAATATCAGTACTGAAAAACTGTACAAAAGACACTTATAGCTATTGATACTTTTGATAGAACAATCATTAAGAGAATTAAAGTCGCCTTAATGAGTTACCACAAAATGTACCTAAATGCCTTCATCTTAAATTATTACAAAAGTTCATTTGTTTCAGTAGGTAGTGCTAATATTTGGCAATTGAAAATAAGAAAAGTAATAGAAAGAACAAAATATGCACATTTTATGAAATTCAGCATTTAGATGATGGAAAGAAATTTCCTGGTGAAAAAAATCCAAATCCATGTCTGTCTTTTGACTTTGTTGACAAATTGGATGCTAAAGGAGGTTCAGTCCCTTGACTTTGGTGGCCATTATGTCTGCAGTGATCCTGCTCGTCAAATATTTCTGCCTTTTCAGTAGGTTTACTCGATTTGTGTTTTTGAGACAAATTAAGCAACCCTAAAACATCCTTTTGAACCATACTTATTTTCTTATTTCCACCCTGGAGTAGACTAGCTGGACATGGCACGTCTTGCTTCTGAGTGGCATGGGCCCAAAAGTTTCTCAAGTTGTGAAATGATTTAGTATCCTGTACGCACAGTTTTTGTTCAGGGGAGGTGGAAGGGCTTGAAGGAGGCATATTGGAGCCACTTGGAGAATAGGAGAGAGTCGGGGATGGGGAAGAGTTCAAGGGAGAGCTGGCGATGTTACTGCACGAGTGAGAGAATGCTGAGGAGGCACTTCCACGAGAAGAGTTGGGACATTGTAACTGGGCCAAACTGGGTTTATGCACATTCAGGGAAGGACTTGACTTTTGTCGGCTGATAGTAGAAGACGCATTTTCAGAACTGACTTTCTGTAAAGATGTGGATCGAGGAGGCAGTTTTGGTCGGGGTGTAGATGTTAATGCAGCAGATGAGAAGCATGCAGGATATTCAGGCGGAGAATGAGGAGATGAGGTTTTTGTGCTCGCTCTGCTTGGGGGTCTGCTAAATGCACTGGTTTCAGAAGGTTGAAACAGTTTTTTAGATTTCAATGCGGGAGTAGCAGTTGACAAAGATAGTGGCTTGTTTTCCTGTGACACCCTTAGAGGTATGCTCTTGCAATGTGTAGTCTGCAGAATCTCTACAGCCTGCATGTGGCTTTGGGTCTCCGCTAAGATTTTCTTGGCAAGTTCCTGGGGGTCTAGAGCCCCTGTTGGTCCCATCCTGTCTTCCTGGGATTTCACTGTGCTGTCTGTTTCAGTACTGGACTGATCAGACTCGGAGCTGCTTGCTTTCCCCTTCCCATTCTTCGGTGAAGAAAAACTGTACAAAACAGAACAGAATTTCAATGTTAAGAAAGATATTTGGATTGTTAGACTATACATGTATATTATAGAAAACATTTATAAAATGATCTCCCCCCTTGGACTGCCACCTTAACGTGGTGGGGGAGTTTGAGCACTCGGATGATCCTGGGAGCTATGCTGTCTGGGGCTTCATGCCCCTGGTAGGGTCTCCCATGGCAGACAGGTCTCAAGTGACGAGTCAGACGAAGCGCAGTCCGAAGCCAACCATGGACAGCACGACAACAAAAACCGTGACGTCGCCCGGCATGGCGCAGCCGGGGCCCCACCCTGGAGCCAGGCCTGGGGTCGGGGCTCGCAAGCGAGCGCCTGGTGGCCGGGCCTTAGCCCACGGGGCCCGGCCGGGCTCAGCCCGAAGGGATGACGTGGGCAGTCCCTCCTGTGGGCTCACCACCTGCAGAGGGGTCCGTGGTGGCGAGGTGCAGAGAGGACTGGGCAGCAGTCGAAGGCGGAGACCTCGACGACCCAGTCCACACACCCAACATCTGGCTCTTGGGACGTGGAACGTCACCTCACTGGGGGGGAAGGAGCCCGAGCTTGTGGGGGAGGTTGAGCGATACCGACTAGAGATAGTCGGCCTCACCTCCACACACAGCTTGGGCTCTGGAACCCAACTCCTTGAGAGGGGTTGGACGCTCCACTTTTCTGGTGTTTCCCGCGGGGAGAGGCGGCGAGCTGGGGTGGCCATACTCATTGCCCCCCATCTCAGCCGCCACGTGTTGGAGTTCTCCCCGGTGAATGAGAGGGTCGCGTCCCTCCGCCTCCGGGTGGGGGACAAGTCTCTCACTGTTGTGACGGCCTACGGGCCTAACGGTAGTGCAGAGTACCCGGCCTTCTTGGAGTCCTTGGGAGGGGTACTGGACAGTGCACCGCCCGGGGACTCCGTTATTCTCCTGGGGGACTTCAACGCCCATGTGGGAAATGCCAGTGACACTTGGAGAGGGGTGATCGGGAAGAGCGGCCCCCCTGATCTGAACCCGAGCGGTGTTCAGTTGTTGGACTTCTGTGCCAGTCACGGCCTGTCCATCACGAACACCATGTTCGAGCACAAGGGTGTCCATCAGTGCACGTGGCACCAGGACACCCTAGGCCGGAGGTCGATGATCGACTTTGTAGTCGTATCATCTGACCTTCGACCGCGTGTCTCGGACACTCGGGTGAAGAGAGGGGCGGAGCTGTCAACCGATCATCACCTGGTCGTGAGTTGGATCCGCTGGCAGGGCAGGAGGCCGGTCAGACCTGGCAGGCCCAAGCGTGTAGTGAGGGTTTGCTGGGAACGTCTCGCTGAGCCCCCTGTCAGACGGACTTTCAACTCACACCTCCGGGAGAGCTTCTCCCAGGTCCCGGCAGAGGAGGGGGACATCGAGTCCGAGTGGACCATGTTCTCTTCCTCTATCGCCAATGCGGCGGCTCGTAGCTGTGGTCGCAAGGTCTCTGGTGCTGGTCCCGGCGGCAATCCCCGAACCCGGTGGTGGACACCGGCAGTAAGGGATGCCGTCAGGCTGAAGAAGGAGTCCTATCGAGCAATGATGGTTCGTGGGACTCCTGAGGCAGCTGTCCAGTACCGGCAGGCCAAACGTGCCGCGGCCCGGGCTGTTGCAGAGGCAAAAACCCGGGACTGGGAGGAGTTCGGAGAGTCCATGGAGCATGACTATCGGTCGGCCTCGAAGAGGTTCTGGCAAACCGTCCGGCGCCTCAGGAGGGGGAAGCATTCTTTGCCAACACCGTGTATGGTGCGGGTGGAGGGCTGCTGACCTCGACTGGGGATATTGTCGGGCGGTGGAAGGAATACTTCGAGGTTCTCCTCAATCCCCCCGTCACGTCCCCCGTCCAGGAGGCAGAGGCTGAGGATGTTGGGGCGGATACTTCCATCTCCCTGGCCGAGGTCACCAAGGTGGTTGGCAGCCTCCATGGTGGCAAGGCGCCGGGAGTGGATGAGATCCGTCCTGACTATCTAAAGTCTCTGGATGTTGTAGGACTGTCTTGGCTGACACGTCTCTGCAACATCGCGTGGCGATCGGGGGCGGTGCCAATGGAGTGGCAGACCGGGGTGGTGGTCCCTCTCTACAAGAAGGGGGACCGGAGGGTGTGTTCCAATTATCGTGGGATCACACTCCTCAGCCTCCCGGTAAGGTCTACTCCAAGGTACTGGAGAGGAGGCTTCGTCCGATGGTCGAATCTCGGATTCAGGAGGAGCAGTGTGGTTTTCGTCCCGGTCGCGGAACACTGGACCAGCTCTATACTCTCCATCGGATACTCGAGGGTTCATGGGAGTTCGCCCAACCTGTCCACATGTGCTTTGTGGATTTGGAGAAGGCGTTCGACCGCGTTCCCCGGGGTGTCCTTTGGGGGGTCCTCCGGGAGTACGGGGTCCGGGGTCCTCTGCTGAGGGCTGTTCGGTCCCTGTATGACCGGAGCCAGAGCTGTGTTTGCATTGCTGGCAGTAAGTCAGACCTGTTCCCGGTGCATGTTGGCCTCCGCCAAGGCTGCCCTTTGTCACCGGTTCTGTTCACTGTATTTATGGACAGAATCTCTAGGCGCAGCCAGGGGCCGGAGGGGGTCCGGTTCGGGAACCACAGGATTTCATCTCTACTTTTTGCGGATGATGTCGTCCTGCTGGCTCCAACGAACCAGGACCTGCAACATGCACTGGGACGGTTTGCAGCCGAGTGTGAAGCGGCTGGGATGAGAATCAGCACCTCCAAATCCGAGGCCATGGTGCTTGACCGGAAAAAGGTGCCTTGCCCTCTCCAGGTGGGTGGAGAGGTCCTTCCTCAAGTGGAGGAGTTCAAGTATCTCGGGGTCTTGTTCACGAGTGAGGGGAGGATGGAGCGTGAGATTGACAGGCGGATCGGTGCAGCGTGCGCAGTGATGCGGTCTCTGTATCGGACCGTTGTGGTAAAGAGGGAGCTGAGCCGAAAGGCAAAGCTCTCAATTTACCGGTCAATCTTCGTTCCCTCCCTCACCTATGGTCATGAGCTGTGGGTAATGACCGAAAGAACGAGATCGCGGATACAAGCGGTCGAAATGAGCTTCCTCCGCAGAGTGGCTGGGCGCTCCCTTAGAGATAGGGTGAGGAGCTCGGTCACACGGGAGGAGCTCGGAGTAGAGCCGCTGCTTCTCCACGTCGAGAGGAACCAGTTTAGGTGGCTCGGGCATCTGTTCAGGATGCCTCCTGGACGCCTTCCTGGGGAGGTGTTCCGGGCACGTCCCACCGGGAGGAGGCCCCGGGGAAGACCCAGGACACGCTGGAGAGACTATGTCTCTCAGCTGGCCTGGGAACGCCTAGGGGTCCCCCCGGACGAGCTTGAGGAGGTGTGTGTGGATAGGGAAGTCTGGGCGTCTCTGCTTAGACTGCTGCCCCCGCGACCCGGCAACGGATAAAGCGGAAGAAAATGGATGGATGGATGGACTAAAGCGGTAAACAACATATGCTCATATGAAATTATGAAGGACATTTCATGGATAAAGTTCTGGTACATTTAGTGTTTTGCTTTTTGTTTGGTTGACGATTGAATCTTTTCATCCGTTTAAATGATTAATATATGGAATTTACTTTGTAATAAATCACATTCTCTTATCATCCTTAATTCCTTGTGTATATTTGCAACAATTCTGATCAAAATTGCACTTACTTGTTCTGTTTTAGATTTGAAGTTGTTGTAACTTTTATAGGCAGTGCTGCTGCTTTAACAGGAGAGGTAGGTGTGCTAACACTTCCAGAAGCTGCTCCTCTACCAGTTGAGCCTTGTTTTTGTCCAGAAGGTTTTGGCAGAGTGTCACAGTCTCTGGAGTCTCTCCCACCGCGCCCTAAAGGCTCACTGCTTATTATGGAGTATCCCTGGTACTCGTCCTCCTCTCCTTCCCCTAACGTGGCTCCATTATGGTTGGTCTGTCGCCCTCTGGACAAAGCAGCGTGTCGAGGCAATGAGTAGAGGCCAGCACTTTTGCTGTGGTCTACAGGATTTGAGCGCTGGCTGATGATGTCACTTCCAGCAGGTTCTGGACGGGACAAAAAACTGAGAGAGGAGGCGAGTGAACTGAGACTGTACACAGAGATTGCATCACAGGAGAGGTTGTCAGGACACATAGGAGCTAAAAAGGAGGACTGTGCTGGGTAGCAGCCAAAGGAGGCTGGAAGTGAATGTGGCTGAACTGTAGACTGTGATGATGACAAGGACTCTAAAGAAGACGAACTGTCCATGCTCAGCCGCTTAGGAAGCTCTGGCGAGTCTAAAAAGCATACGAATGTATCATAAGTGTCTTTAAAAAATACAATTACTACAATCACAAGGCAATTCTTACCGAATAGAGCCAAAAGCGATTGCAGGGCGAAATACATACAGCGCCGACTAGCCTGCTTTCCCGTCTTTAAGACAACCTCCTCCTGACCCACTTCACAAAGATCAAACCCTAAAGGAGTCAAAAAGGTTTTGGTCAACAATTGTATGCATGTTGGATTTACTGTAGCTAATACAAGTATGATAGACAATACATTTTACAAAGATCAATGGTTTTATTTACCTAAAGCTGCAAGAAACTCATGGCAACCAGGGAGCCTCCAAAGCTGTACACTTATTGACACTTGAATAGGACCCAGAGAGAAGTCTTGGTCTTTGTCAGATAACTGCAGCTGTACCAGGACTTGGTGTAACTAAACGGGAATTAAATTATTATAAATCACTTGAACTCTATAATAAATTCTTGTTTCCATCAGCCCTATTCTACTGGATTTGGCGATACTTGTGTCACAAGAGGGTAGTTTGACACCAGCATAACATAATGAAAATCAACATAATGCATTGAATAGAAGTTTTGATACTAATTTCTACCAACCTTCTGAACAAGCTGTTCACCAGCTTCTCTCGCTGTTACCAGTTTGCAGAGCGCCTGGAGAGCAGTAGGTGTGAGACCTACAAATAAAAATAAATAACTGTTTTACTTAACAGAAACAAAAAAACATAATAATATATGTATATTCATGTACCAAGAAGGGACTGGAGAGTGTTACTACACTGTTGAAGTCGGTCTCCTGGGTCTGAAGTTGGAAAGAACACAGCGGCTGGAAGAGAGCTACCTTCTCCAGAGAAATCCAACCTGAAACCCACAGCAGATAACAACGCCTGCCACCCCGGCACTCCTCGAACCTACACACAGAGATACTGAGAGTTACCACTATATATAAATTCAGTACCAACATACATTCATACATATATCATTACCTTATTTTCAACACTTTGTTGTGATGTGTACATGGGATTGCACTGTCCGCTATGAATACGCTGCAAAGATTTCTCAACCTATGAAGAATAACCATATTTACTAAACTATAAAAATCCTATTTAATTAATGAGTTCACAAATGATCTTACCAAGTGCAAAATTACTCTAAGGGCATCTCTGGCTTTTTCTGGATATTGGAGGATTTCCGTCAGTGCTTGCCCAACCAAAGACATGGTACTGTTAATCTTGACATCATTACCAATAAGAACATACCCTAAAAAGAGTAAATTGTTTTAGTGAAATGTGACAAATGTGTTCTTTGCTTGTATGGCTCACCTGCCCAGTTGGATGGATGTGAGAAGTGTTTGCTGCTCTGCAAAACCTTCATAGCTTCTGTCAGAGCTGAGCTGACTTTGGTCCCATTCATAAGTGAGGTATAAAACGTGTGCATAAATAGTTTGGAGGCAGCTATTGGCACAGGCCATAAAGACACACACACACACTGCACTCCAGCGGCCAGGAAGGCTCGGGTTAGTCCCACCACACCATCAGCTGTGACCTTACCGCTAGACTCTGGGTATAACCTGGAAACAATCCACATGGTTGTTCGATCAAAAATAAATTAATCTTCAAATATAATATAGTAAAATACTAATTAAATAGACAATACCTTAAAACTACTAATTTTACATTCAGACAGAGACCCAGTATGTCAGCAGCAGTGAGGAGAAAGTCCTGTAGAGGTGGGCTATAGCATGTGCCCTCATCTTCACAAATACTTGCTTCATCATCACTAATAGTATCAGCTGTCTTCTTGAGGCATTGTGAGCTGATCTGACTTTGTGTAACTTTTCCAGTTTGGCGTGATGATGTTGATGCACCATTTAATGATGGATTTGTGATGGTCTTTTTAACTCTCTCTGTACAAACATGCTCCTGATAGGGAGCCAACACAAGTGCTGCAAGCTTCCAGGATATGTGTGTTGCAAAATGAACACATTCAGCCTGGCTTAGTGCTTTAAGAACATGGTCCTTTGTTGCTTCTGTCCCAGTGAGAGGATGACAACTAAGCTGATCTCCAAGCCATACAGCCTCTTCCTGGGCTGAAGGTAATGGTCCCCATAGCCATCGATCCATCACTCTTGGAGGAACATGTGGTGCTCCCACCACTGCAGCAACCGACCCTCCATCAGAACAAAGTAGAGTTCCACCACGACGAGAAAGAACCTTAAAATATCAATTATGTTTTAATTGTAAATTCTGTATAGTTTACAAATTATGTACTTACCTTAACAGAATCTTCTAAGCTGGATAATGATGGCACAGCTATTAGATCAAACCTTTCATAAAGGTACTCGTTAGAAGAACTGCCTTGGAGTAAAGCAAATGGGATCAAGTACAAGTCTCCCTCAAGCACCAAAACCAACTGTCTGTGTCTCCCCACAGGTCCACTATTATGCATCAAACCCTACAAAAAAATAAGTATAATGCAGAGGCTGAAATCCCTTATATTTAAATTCTTTTGTTACATACCACTTCCATTGGAGCAATAAGCAAATCATAAAGAGCCCGAAGTGGTGGTTTGCCTATATTTGAAGGGCGGAGGGGAGAGGAGAACAACCCTTCTTTCCCTGGAAACATGGTGGCACTATTTAAACTAGCCATGCTCTGCCAGCTTCTGTTAAAAATGATAAAAAGTTAGTCATGATGAAAAGTGCACAGACATATTAGTCAGTAATATGAATAATCAGTAACCTGTTAAAAGGGTGGTTTCTGAACACCATGCGGAGGTAGCCAGTGGGATCTGCAGACGCAAGTTTATTGTTAACCTCGTCAAACTGTTGCTCCATCAAGTCCCCTGCTTCACTCTCAGTCTCACTGTTGGAGCACACTCTGCCGATACAAAAACATTTGTAACATAACATGGATTAATTCTCTATAAATTGTATGTCACATCTATTTGTAAATTCTTAATAGCAATCTACTACACATACAAAACAAATTAAAACCAAAAATGCTCCCATAGCTACCTGCTATAGATTCCATCCACTCCTAAAGCCTCTCTGGCATTGCTGATGTATTGATCTAATGTAAAAGCACTAAACTCCTTAGGACTTTCATTTCCATGATTGTCCTCAGTCTCTCCAAGGTAGACCTCATGAAACTTTACAATGCCTGTAAGTATGAAAAAAATGGTTAAATATACTTATATGAAGTGTAAAAATAATATTGGGTTCTACCTGTTCCTGGAGGGATAAGCCAGCTGTACAGAAAACCCCCTGCTAGAGAAAAGTAGAGCACCATGGCTTTCTGACTATTGACTGTATCCAGGAGGTGCTCAAGTGTAACAGGTGTGTATGGGTCGGCTCCAGGCATCTGCTGAGTTTCTTTCTGGCGTTCTACTAATAAATCGGCAAAAGCCCGAGTGCGGCCGCGCTCTGCGATTGCCAGAGCCTCATCATGACAACCTGTGAGCAGAGGCATACAAACATTAGACATACTTAATGCATCTTTGAAGCTGGAGAGATATGTTTCAATAGTCAATAATCTTAACAGCTTTAGAAACATCAGAGCCATCAGAAACACAAACTACTGGCCCCCAGACATTTATTTGTAATCCTAAAGCTCTAAAAAATAAGTTTAAAACATTTCTAAAAGTCAAATTACCCATGCTGACGAGAACTCTTTGGAGAGCCTGGTAGGAGCTGGTTTGCAGATCAAACAAAGACAGTTTGTAGTCCATACTGTGAGGTGTCTCGTGCCGTATTGTCTCAAATAGGACAGATGCTCTGTACAACTGAAACAACACAAGCAGAAAGTCAGAATGCAGACAGACTGCTCCCTTTGTGCACCGGTCTTGTAAAAGCAATCTAATGTTTGCTATCATTTAGTGTCACATCACTAACATTTCAAACTGTTTTTGACATAAAAAAATAAAATAAAAAAAACTTAAACATACCACTGACCAAGGTAACGTGATGCGCTTTACAATTTCCTTTCACTCACACATTGCGGGGCCAAACCATGGGTATGAAAATGGTGAGTGTTGAGTGTGAGATGAAGAGTTTCTGAACGACTTTTTAATGTAAGTCAATAGTAGCCAGTGTGAGTTGAAGGAGCCCCTCCCTATTGGGCTTCAAAGAGCTAGCGGGTTAGCTTTGTCTATCTTTATACATGCCTTATCTGTCAAACTGTCTGCAACTGACGTGGCTACATCAAATTACATCAAACCCTCATTGTTCTGAATGAATATTTAGCACTTAGAAATATTGGATAAATATAAGAATCTAAATGGGCAGGATCAGACCTGGTGTTGAGCCTCCTCAAGGTTTCCACTGGCCCATAATGACAGACCCAGACGGTGGCGTATCTTGGCTTCTTCTTCTCTGCGTCCGAGCTGCTCAGATAGACGAAGACCTGATTAAAAAAAAACATAAAGAAGTTTGAGTCAGACAACTCCAGTACCGTTAGATATCTCCAAAATCATTGCAAAAATTAAGCAAAATGTATCTTTGTTTCCCAATTCTTTCTTTACACATACTTTACACATACTATATTAGATCCTTCAGTGTCTGACAGCATTCTGAAGTTATTGCAAATTTTACAGTTGCCCATTTTATATTCACCCATGACTTAAGCAGGATTAATTCCAACAATGAAGTAGCCGTGGAACGATGAATGGCATATGCAAAAAGGAACGGCTTTATAGGATTATTGACAACAAGCTACGTTCACCTCTGTTACAGTTTGGCTCTGAGGCCTTCAGGGACGGGTCAAATGCAGAAGACATCCTCAAGGCAACAAGAAAGGCTAGTTTTACAGGTGCGCTACCTATTGTTAGAGTGTGTGTGTGTGGTTGTGGGTATATGTGTGGTCTATGCTCCGTGAAAAAAACACAAAACTTGGAAATAAATTCAATGGGAAAAGCTTGAACCACACTGTGAAACTTTCCTGATATTAGAATTTCCATAAGACAAGCCTGGACAATGGACGTTCAAAAAACAACATAGTGCACCTTTATGTTATTTTTGAAAGAAACTCGACTCCTAAGATGTTGTCTTTTACTGTGAGCATAAATATAATACACACGCTTTGTCGTTGCCTCTCTCAAAAGTCCAGCCCATACAAAAGTACATTTTAATTTGAACCAAGCCACTGTCAAGCAAATGAAAGGACAGAAGAACCAGTGGCTCCTACCTTCTTGCAGATACATGACAGCCTGGGAGTAGTTTTGCAGTGCGTGGTGTAGCCTTCCCAGACTCCCATAGGCAATTGTTTTTGCTGTAAGGTCGTTTGTTTGTGCAGCAACACTTAGGTGCTGCTCCTGGAAAACCACGGCCCTCTCAAAGTTTCCCAACGCTTCATAAGTGAGCCCCAGGTTTCCATAAGCTCGACCTTGACTCCTGATACATCCATTCTGTTCAGTAATATCCAGAGCCCTTTGGTGCCACTGTAGTAGAAGAGCAGCATGCTTCAAGGGTTTGACAGAAACAACTCCTGCATCTCATTTATTGAAAAAGGACAAACCTGTAGTGCTGTTTCATGATCTGCCATCATTCGATACACATTACCAAGAGTGTCACTGGCCTCTGCTTCAAGTGATTTATCCTAAAACATGTTTGGGTAACATGGGTAAAAAAAAGAAATACAAAAATACACTTTTATTACACCTACCCCAGCGGTTCGTGCTAATGCGAGCTGATGTTCCAGACAAGAAAGTGCTTGTTCATAGTTTCCCAGCTGGCTGTGTAAGGTGCCCAGCTCACCGTATGCTTGAGCCTTACTTTCTCCCTCTCCACCAAGCTCATGTGCCACCACCAGCCGCTTCTCAAAACACACCAGTGCCTGCTGCAAACTGCCCATAGACCTGAGTAACAGCACATTGTAAATATTATTAAATCCATCAAGTAATTCATGTTGCTTTTAAACTACTCAACAAGGTCTGTGTCTGTGTTCACCTGTGAGCATTTCCAAGTCCTGTATAGGCCTTCTCCTGATCTTTAACATGGTTAAGGCTTTGAGCCACAGTAAGGTACTTCTCGAAGTTTTGAATTGCTTCCTCGTAGTCTCCTAAAGCAGTGTAGCAGTCTGCCAGGTTCCCAAAGGCTCGGCCTCTGTCCAGCATACCTTGTGTCCCACTGAGTTGCTGCAGCATAGCAAGCTGCTGCTCAAAATAACCTATAGCCTCCTCAAACACTCCCATGTTCATTTTGGTGATGCCCATGTTGCCGTGAACCTGGGCTTCTAACCGTGCATCTTTTAGCTCTTGGGTTAAGTACAGCTGACTTTTATAACATTGAAATGTTGTGGTATAGTCTCCCAGAGCCATATGAACCGCCGCCAAGTGTCCAAGAGCACGGCACTCTCCCTGCTTGTCATTCAGATCTTTAAGGACAGTCAGTTCTTGACTGTGAAAAGATAAGGCAGCATCCAGCTGGCGGAGAAGCCTAAAATAGATGAAAAGGGTGTGGGATACTTCTAAATTAAATTTACCATAAGCTCTGGGATGTTTCAAACCTGTGTACTGAGCCCAGGGAGGAGTAAGCATCAGCTTCCATTTTCAGATCCTTGACCTTATGTGCAAGGCTTAACTGCTTCTGGTAAAACTTCACTGCTCCAGAAAGATCCCCTCGACTTACACACACATCGCCAAGGTTGCCCAAGGCTCTAAATATAGCCTGTCAAGAAAGATCAATCTACAGGTATATTCTATAAATACAAAACTGCATATTGTAGGAGTCAGAGTCTACCTGTGAGTTTTCCAACGCTTGTGCTAAAGAGAGCAAATATCGCTGACACTCCTCTGCTTTAGTGTACTCTCCCAGTGCTTTGTGCGCTAGTCCAAGGTTACAATAGGCTTTTGCCTGGGACAGTTTGTCATGGAGGTCCTTTGCCAAGCCGAGGTCCTGCTCATAATACCTAAGAACAGACCAAAGTACAAAAAAAAATCCAGACTGTAAATAAAAAAATAAAAAGACCAAACAGACAAAGTTATATTTGTCTGTTTCTGACCTGACAGAATCTTTGTATTGACCAAGACAGTAATGCGCATAACCAAGGTTGTGGCACACTTTTCCTTCGACTTCAAGATCCTGCAAACTAGGAGCAAGAACGAGGTACTGTTGATAATATGGCAGGGCCTGAACATATTCCCCTCTACAGCTGTGAAAGTTCCCTAGGTTTACTAAAAGAATAAACAGAAATACAACTTAATACTTGAATGAGCAAATATAAATCTGTTAAATAAAAAAATGGAAAAACGTACCCAGCGCTCTCGCCTCACTCTGAGTGTCCCTGAGCTCCTGAGCTATAGTTAAATGGTGAAGGTAGTGCTGTAGAGCTCTGTCATGTGCCCCCAGCGCTTGGTAGGCTACAGCTAAGTTACCGTGAGTGGAGGCCTGAGATTGACGGTCATTAACCTGAAACACAAAAAAACAAACTGTGGCTCTGCCTGTTTTGCTCTGACACAAAACTAAGGCCAATGTTGTTACCTCCAGTGATATCTGCAGCTCCTGCCGATGGTAGCGCACAGCCTGGTCGTACAACCCCAGTGCGTGAAATGCATTACCCATGTTTCCATAGGCCCGTCCCTGTGCTGCGTAGTCCCCTTGCTCCTGAGCCATCGACAGGTGAGCTTTGTGAAACTTCATCGCTGCTTCAAACTCCCCTTTCATCTGGTGTATAATTCCTTGGAGAAAATGTATGAAAGTATGTTATATTTTTCAATTCATAATTAACAATTGTTTTTTTTTTTAATGGGACAGAGTTTAAGCAGGGGTCTCCATCCTTTTTAAATTGGAGCGCTATTCAGAAATGGCAGAGAGCTACTCCCATTATCAGTTATAAGAAATAGAAGAGGTTAAAATCATAAAAAACACACATGCCAAATATACAATTACTGTATGATGTAACCCCCTGCATTAGTGATCATACTGAAAACCTTTATAGTTAAAATAGATATGCAAGTACTAAAAATTCCTGAATCTTTTAGGAAGCGACCTGAAAGGCAATTGTGAGCTACTGTATGTTTTACTGCTGCTAGGATCATCACCCGAAGAAAAACAACAGATCACATCACTCCGGTTCTCATCCAACTCCACTGGCTCCCCATAACCAACAGAATCCAGTTCAAACTCCTCCTTCTCACATTCAAAGCTCTTCATTACCTGCCCCCCTCATACCTGAGTGACCTGCTCCACCCTTACACCCCGCCCCGCTGTCTCCGCTCCTCATCTGCTGCTGTCCCCACTATCAAAATGGCCACGATGGGGGGCAGAGCATTCAGCCAATCTGCCCCAAACTTTGGAGCGCTCGACCAATTCACCTGCAACAGTTAGATTCTCTGGACATTTTCAAATCACATCTAAAAACCTGCCTTTTTAAACTGGAATATTCTTTATTTTTATGTATTCTATTCTGTACTTTTAGTATTGTGTGTAATGTTTTGAATATATTTTAAGGTATGCTTGTGTGTCTTGAAAGGTACCATGAAATAAAAGGAATTATATTGGTTCATTATGCCAAAACTGCAAATGTGACGACACAAACTCTAACTCAAAAATCACATAATTGAGTTAGAGTTTCTGCCGATGGGAATGCATAGGAGAATTTATTTTTGAGTTGTTCGAAAGAAAAGGTCAGGGGTTGCATTAGCACATGTCGAGAAGGCCACGGCTGATAAGAAAAGCTCTGTTTCGACATTGGGTCCTCTGTCTAAGAGGATTACAAAGGTTCGCTGGGATCAAAGGCTGCACTCCTCTGACACAGGTGACGGCTTGTGTTCTGTGGATGAACAGCAATCGGAGAAACGCTGCCTGCAAAACGCGGCGGTAGAACACAAGGCTTTGATGTGAGTTGTGCTGAGATCCAAGTATCAAACCGAAACAACAAAAAGTGCTCTCCACACACACCTTTCAACCAATTAACTCAATGTCAACCAGATCAGTGTCCAGATTAGTAGGGGTATCATCATTTCTGTTTAAGTGAGTTTAGCTGTGCATACAACTGAATGATTTTATCTTTACTCTTTTTAATGCACTGTGACTGTTTATGATTTTAATCCCATGTGTAACTTTAATATTGTAAGGTTTTTAATGACTTTTACTTTTACTTTATGTTTTTGATATTTCCTGTGATGTTAATGTTTGTTTGTAATGCCCTGTGGGATTCTAATTGTATGTTTTAGCGTTTATGTCGATTTTGATGTTTATGATTTTTGCTTTGTGTTGCCTTGTGTAAGAAAGGCACTCTACAAATAAAAGTTGATTGATTGATACTGTTGTCTAAAATGTATGTGTCATTTGCATTTAATGATGTTGTGTTTAAAGTAAAAGTTAGGTGAATTAAATGCATGTCAAAGCCAGATCCTGTCAGACACTCTGAGGCTAAGCTGGGCTGGGCCTGGTTAGTAGTAGATGAGAGACAATGAGGCAGCTAAGTGCCAGACATTACCACATTACCTAGTATTATGAGTCTGCTGCGAGCATGAACGATTGGTGGTGGTTAATGGCACATACTGGTTGCCTCACTTCTCTCAGTAGGCCCCATGGCAGCTGTGGCTACAATAGTAGTTTATCACCACTGTGTATGGAGTGAATGAATAATGCAGGGTGAATAAGTGTGTGTTGGTGAGTCAGAGTGTGAGACACGGATACAAACTAACCCAGGCCTATTCACATTTTCTAAAACTGTATATTATCACTAATTGGACTATCTCTGCCATTATTTTTTATCTCTAGGGGGGAAGATTTGATGAAGACTGCGGAGAAAGCTTGCAAAAAACGGATCATCATAAATAATGAACAAAGAAATTGATCTGAGACCCCGGCCACATCACAGGGACTGAATTGACGGCAGAACGATGTCATGTAGAAATAATTGAAACAGTTCTTGTAATTCAAATGTGGGCTCATTACATTGAATAATCCATAGCTCATGTTACAGGTGTAATAAAGGAGAAAAGAAAAGGTCTGTTCAGCATGGGATCAGATTCACAGGAGCTTGGATATCACTGTGGTCGCAGAAACCAGAAGCTGCTTAATAAAACATGACTGATGAGTGGACAGAGAGACTACATGTGTAAGAGGACCTCAAGCAGCTTCAGAGCGGGATCAAGGGCCATATATGGTCACATGGTCAGTGCTAAGATTTGCAGAGTGTTTGTCTCCATGTGAAATAATTGACCCTTTAGGCATCAAAGTAGCAGAAATACCACATGCGCTGATGACTACAGTGGCCTGGATTCTCAAATATCTCCTTAATAAAGTCTTGATGTTCTTTATGTTATGACATGTGTGTGTGTGTGTGTGTGTGTGTGTATATGTGCGTGTGTGTGTGTGAGTGAGTGTGTGTGTGCGTGTGTGTGTGTGCGTGCGTGCATGTGTGTCTGCGTGTGTGTGTATGAGAGGACATATATGATTTGTACATGTTGGCCTGTGTCTCAAGATGTAATTTACAATGAAAATACTAATTTGACCTAATAATAAATGATGATAACAAATGCTAAGTCAACTGTGGCTATTGTACCTAGATTGGAAGATGCTCTGCCCTGCGACGATCTGTCTGCCAACTCTTCTGCGATGTCAAGTTGTCGCTGGTGATGCTGAAGCGCCCTCTCGAAATCCTATGGAGCAGTTGAGTTTCAGGTTATTCATAAACTATTCTAAACTGGACGATTGTTAGAATACCGACTTGCATGCAGCGGGCAGCGTGTCCCAGACCAGCGTAGGCCCTCATTTCCACAGATTTGTCCTTCAGTTCATGTGCCAGCTCTAAAACACACGTATGGAATGAAATGGCCTTGTCAAAGTCCCGTTGAGAGTGGTAGGCGCTGCCCAGGTTGCTGTATGCACGTGCTTCTTCACATTTGTTTTCTAATATCTGAAAACACAAGAATATGTCATGGTTTTGTACACACCATAGTAACCAAATACTCTGTAAAAAATACATATAATAAAATGTCTCAAATACGCCCGTATCCCACTCTACATGGATTTGATGTGAAATGGATCAGATTCAGATTCAGATTCATTTATTTGCTATTTGCAGTAAAACCACATAGGAAAAACTGTGCAAGACTACCCCGGTGTGCACCAGACGACACACACCAGAGCTCTTGCCACGGCGCCATCTTTACGGCGCCATGCCATGGCGCCGTAAAGATGCCATACATGCCATACATGCCATGCATGTTATTCCAGTTTTTCAATCTTTTGGCATAAACTAGCAGAGTTTTAATAACTGAATGTGGAGTCATGGCGTCACCTCTAGCTCAGATCCCAGTTTATGGGTTAAAAAAGGGTCACGTTTTTGTGTCATCCAGTGGTTAAAAGTGTAAATAAAAATAAAAATGTCTCTTAATTTGAACACATTTTGAATACCTTAAAACAAGATTTGCCAAAGGGACAAGCACAGTATCTTTAATAAAAAAAGTCTTCCTTGGAATGAAAAATAAAGCAACAGTTTTTAATAATACTAAATGGCTTTGTCCCATCGGCAAATCTTCTTTAAAGATGTTCTCAAACCCACTTTTATATTACCTCATATTTTATCACTTCCAGCTGTGTAAGCCTTGAATAAGCCAGGAGTTTCAGGCAACATTTAAAAACTAATTCCTGAGAGGACACGGCACCTTTGCGATGCGCAGGTGTTGTTCGTGGCACTGGACAGCGTTGGTGAAGTCTCCCAGGGCGGTGTACACTGCTCCCATGTTTCCGATCTGCCGAGCCTCGGAGGTTCGACACTGCATCTGTCGCGCCAGCAGCACACACTGCTTATGGCTGGCCAGAGCGTTGGGATAGTCGCCGATCGCTGTGTACACATGACCGAGACGACTCAGAGCATCAGAAGCAGCCTGCGTGAAGAAAAACAACATGTGAACGGATTGTTATTATTGCTGGAATCAATGGGATAGGTTTTGTTTTTCAAGTTCTTCAGTGAAATCTTTTTCTCAGCTCTTGTGTTAGTTTGATTTTGTATAAATTATATCAATGTTTGTCATTACTCACACAAAATGCAATTATTTATAGATGAGTGTTTAATGCCAGAAGTTAAAATGTTCTATGACAAGCTTAAGCATTAACATTTTACATCCTTAAATCTATATATTACTCTATACATTAATTATATATTCTACAAATAAGAGCATTCATATTTTAAACTCCTCATTTATTTCAAACTCCTTAATTGTTAAATCTATCTTCAGTGTTGGAACCAGCCAGAAACAGGTGTAAAAGTTCTAGGTTTAGTTTAGTTTCACATAGTTTTAAGTAGTTAAAAAATATCAGATTAATCGAGATGTAGTATTTTTTGTTCGATTTTAATTTATTCCATCCTTCAATACCACTGGGGCAGTGCCTCACCCAGGGACCCACCAAGACATGGGAAGAACATGCAAACTCCACATAAAAAAAACAGAGTTGGAACGGAAATCGAACGCACAACCTTCGTGTAGTGTGGAATGATGAATTTCCAGATGATTCAATTTAACTGTACTTTTATGTTTGTTATTATTCCCATCAAAGCAGTTTACGTAGATCATGACATCATACAAAGTCACATTATTGAAAAAGCATGAATAGACTGTTGATTCTAAAAATAAGAAAAAATATGTCAACCAGTCCCAATATATTAGTTATATATACAGTATATATGTGTTACTGCATTGTGTTCTAGGTCTGTTTTATGTGTATTTTCAATGTAGCAGCATGTGAGTTTAGTCCGGAACAAGATAAATGAATCTTGAATCTAGACTTACATCACTGTCCTTGAGCTTCATGGCCAGCACCAGTTGATGCCTGTGGTTCGCCAGTGCTTCTCTATAGCTGCCTTTAGAGAATAACGCAGAACCAAGATTCCCATGAGCTCGGCATTCACTTGACTGGTCACCTGTGTGCGCAAAAAGACATGTTCATTCACCTATATCTTTTTAATTGCTTTGTTATTACTTGTTTATTTAAAAATATTCACCCACAAAACTAACCAGGGGCTCACCTAAAGTTTTGGAAACCTCGAGATCTTGCAGCATGTATGTCATACTTTTGTCTTTGTCGTCTAAAGACCAGTAGGCAGAGCTCAGTGCGGAGAAGACTGATCCACGCAGTTTCAGTGAGCAGGTGCCAATCTTCAGAGCTGCCTCAAGAACCACGATAGAAGCCCCATGAAAACCATGAGTGAGCAGCTCCTGACCAATGACAGAGACCACCACAAACGGACTCTTATCCAACTTCATCTTCTGCAGCTGCTGGTAGGTGGGCTCCAGCGTGTCTGTGAATGAGAGAAGTCAAACATATATTTACTTCCAAGGACCCCCAAGTTCCTGAGACAGACTTCATACATCCCATAATACCAACAAACACGGAATGTTTTAAGTACAGGAGGACAATTCCAGTTCATATCTATTTCCTCGATTCCAGTCTGTTGTTATTTTGCTCAGAATTGTTTTGCTCAGAATTCTATCTTTGAAGTATAAAAAATAGTTTGTGAACATATAAAGCAGCTGTACTGTAGACCTTGTGGCATTTGAAAGAGTCAAATGCAGAGGACACATTTTCCTACAGGAGCAATAACCTCTTCCTTAATATTTGTCAGTGTATAATAATCCTTAGAGAAATCCTGAATGATTTTACAGTTCACTTTGGGATCCTCCCTCATTAAACAATGTTATGCTGTCCCTGTGTAGTGAGGAGGGTGGCTGACCAACAAGATACAGAGAAATCTCCTCTAAATATGTCAATATATATTTTTGCGTATTCTCGCCAATGGAACCTGAAGGCTCAAACCAAAATCTCTGCAAACACTGTAGTCTGCTAACATTGTAGTCTGCTAACATTGTGATCTGCTCACTGTCGAAAACCACAGTAACACATTCTCAAATGCCACAGGTCTCACCTCTGAGTGAAGACTTCATGGCAGCTTCCACCATGCCGACCAGCAGCTGGAGACTCTTGGGGTCCTGGGCCAAACCAGAGGCAAAAGCTGCCAGGGCATCGGCATGACGACCCAAGTACTGAAGGGCAACCCCCTGGCGAAAGTAGGCCTGCAAACACATTTGTGGATTATTATTGTTATTGGTTATTTGAAGAACATCAAACATTATGTGTTATTATTATGATTTAGTCAGGAAAGTGCATGTTGATGAACACAGCTCTTTGGATTGTTGCCTTGGGCTAATTTGCATCCATTGTTGTAAGTCAACCTTACAAACACACATTTATTCATCCTGATCTATTGTTCATCATGTTTTAAGTGAAAGGGGAAACCGGAGCACATGGAGGAAACCAACACAGACACAAGGAGAACACATAGAGCTTTTTTGGACTCTCAAAGACCCTTCACATAATTATTAATTCACTTCATACACTATGAGGATAAACTACTACTGTAGTCACAGCTAATGATGACAAAAGCGAGTTACCAGTATGTGCCATCGGCCGTCAGCCGCTCCGCACACCTCCACTCACTCACACACCAGACAGTTTTTTACAATTGATAAGCGTGATGTTGATTATCAGGGGGAAAGTTATGACAATGACAATCTTTTTTTGGAATAAATGACCTTCAAAGAATATTGACTATGAAACAAAAATATGGAACACAAGAATTACAAAGCATAAAGGCCATCAGGTCCAAGTGTCAGTGCAGAAACTAAACTCACAAATAAACAGATGCTTCAATTAGTGCTGCAAATCACATTAACCAGGAGCAGATGCTAATACAGGTGGGACATGCCACTTTATCAACAGAAAGTGATTGATATTTTTTATAACAAAAAGAAATGTTCCTGGTCATAACATCACGTCGTCACCATTTCATCTTTCATTAAATGTCTCCTGAAGTAGAGTAGAAAGTAATTTGAATTTGTCTATTTTCTACGACCACCGCTCAGTTCTCTATTATGCACCTGACCCCAATGACGCCCTCTGCAGGAGTGGGCAGCCCCACAGTGTCCCTTCAGGCTGAGCCTGGCCGGGATCCAGGGTGGAGCCCCGGCTGCAAGATCACAATCCTTGATTTTTTATTCATGGGAGAAGATGGAAGAATTTTCTGACCCATGCCCTTGGATCAGGTTGACATGGGAGACCCCGCCCCCAGATAACAGAGCTTCAGGGACCATCTCGGCGCAAAGGAGGAGTTTATAGACTTATTCCTCATTAGTGACATGCTGATGTTGGGCAGAGTTGTAAAGTTCAATCAAACATCAATAATAGAAATAAGAAGGAAAAACACATTTGACGAGGAGATAATTTATCTTCATAAAAAAGACAAAAACACTATTGTGTGTGTGTTTTGTCCAGTGCGCACTTGCCAGCTGCTCCACCATTTATCTTCATGAATATTTATCATAGTTACACCGGGACACTAGCTAAGTTGCAATAATTGAGTTGGAGTGGTCATTACCAGTTTCCACTGGGAGCGATAAAGATGTTATGTGACCAGCTGTGCCTCTGCCACAGCCAAACCAAACGTGGACAGTTTGTGCACAAAGTGAGACAAAGTTGTCTTATTAGCTAAGTGAACAAATAATAAATCTATGTATGAGTCCACAATTTTGCTTTTTTGAAAGGAATAAACAATTATCTCAAGATCTGAAAAAAAAAAATAATAAAAAGAAATAGTGTTAGAAACTTGAAATTTCCCAAAAATGTTTTTAAGGCAAGAGCCAATAGGTTTATGTGAAGAGAAGTAACAGACAAATTATTCAAATAAGAGAAAATCAAAGAAAGAAAATCAAAGCCACTATTTAATCTATGATCCGATAGTGCTGTCAATGTTTGGCATTTGTGACCTGCCTAAAAGTCTGGCCTTTGATGTTACTCTTCCCTGAGCACACTGTGAATTCTGCAGTGAACAAAACAAATTTAATTTTGAAACCCAGGCCAAAAATGCTGTCCTCTAACATTTGAAAGAGAAACTGTCCATCTCTCACACACTGAACAGATCATATTCATGAAGAGGAGAGAATGTGGAATCTAGATCTGAACAGCCACAGCACAAGCTTCTACTTCACTTGAGGCGACTGAGGCATCGCTGTCAAACAAAAGTCCAATCTCCCAAAAGTGAATCCATGGAATGAATAGTGGAGCTCATATGTTTCAATTAAGACCCTTTTTCGCAACACTAATGAATAATTGGGTTAACCCCCTTTCTGCCGATTCTGGGGGTGGCAATTAAAGTCAAGGTGGAGCACAGAGCAGTAAAAGAGAGAGACCTCAGGGAAAGATGCCATGCACAATTTCCACTCGTCAAATCAGGCCAAGGCAAGATCACACTCTCCACTTTAGTTTATGCCACTAATTAGAAGCACTGTTATAAATCGTTAGCAGCAGATCATATAGAAGCTGAAATTGTTCATGATCTGACCATCAGTAAATATGGCCATCTCTAAAGGTTGCAAATAAATGGGCTGTCCATAGTAATCCAAGCTACCATTAAATGTATTTGAGTAATTGACCACAACACAATCGGCATTAACTGAAACCAAAGAATCTGATTCAGGATCTGTGTGTCCGGGTGATTACTCTTAGTAGTGGCTAATTACGTTCCCTTTTGTGCTGGTTTTATTTTTATTTTTATCTTACTACAGATAAGGCTTAATTATGTGAAGGAAAACAAGTTATATATTTTTTCAAGGCACAGTACATTGAGTTCCTATAGTTCATCTTTATTGTGTTTTGTTTTAATAATTCCTTATTGTGTTCTCTTGAGATGCAATAGGATGCAATAGGGCCCTGCACATTCAGTCGGCAATACTTCAGCCTGGTGCTGCTCCTCTGGCCCCACATGATCTGGTGAGGATCATGGAGGATAATTTTCCTCCTGAAGTCTGATCCTATAGAAACTGTTTGAACAATAATTTGAGTAACCTTGATTGTACAGTCAGTGAAACAAGTTTTAGCAAGTGTCCAAAACAAGGCAACATTTATGTCAAGGATCTGCCATAATTCAGGAATAAAACTTAACAAATCCTTGCAACAAATAAATGACCCTTGACTATGGCTAAAAACAAACTATAATGTATTTATATACACATATATGGGTCAAGGAAGGAAAAATAAATCAGCTCTAATGAGGATAAATGTGAGCTAATAATTCTAAGCGCCCTGTTAAACCCTCACAAATCACATAAATAAGGCCAACTATAATTACACTTACAGTACAATACAGTGTATTCTGCACAATACACATCAATACTAACATTTGAATCCAAACTTTTCATTTGTGGTAGAAGAGAATCTGACTGCACCACGATACTGACATGTCGCTCAGTCCCAGGTGAACCAGGAATCACTTTAACGGAACCAATTAGGGCAAATTTGCTTCATAGTCATTTCATATCTCCACAAATAAACTATTTTTGCCCTAATTGGATCATTTAAAGTGGACTCTGGTTCACTTGGGACTGAAGTGTGAACACACCCATACACTATTAAAAAGAGACAAATCATTTACACCCAGCATAGTTTTAGCTTTTTGCAGCTAAAGATAAATGTGGAAGATTTGGAAGTCTGTGAGTTTCACAGGTTTTCGTCACCCGGGGAAGCCTGAGGCAGGACACATGTAGCTGTCAGGTCAACGTGAGCCAGCACCCTCAAAGAAACTAAGTATTACGAAGAGGATGATGTGGAGTACTAACAACTCACAACACAAGTACTGTATATGCTACAATATTAGCTTTATCATAAATATACATTAGTGAGATAACAAACACTTAGGAGCTATGTTTACATGGACAAAGAATTTGGTCTGAGCTAAATATCAAATTCCAATTCTTTGCACCCAGGTTGTTAAGCCACCTCCTTTACAATTGGCATTCTCGCAAATGAACAACATATGACACCATCAATGTTTAACAAATATAGCGTTAACAAAATGGGACAAAACACTGTGAAAACCGTGAAAACTTTATGTGATTGGGCCTGAATTGGAACTCTGGTCTTGAGATGATTTAGCACATACTACATAATGTTACACAGCATTCTATTGGAGACTGTGTAATTCATAGATATCCTGTGAGGCCAGATGTGAACAAATCAATGATTATATTTTACAGACTACAAAGCTATATACAGGAAGCAGTTATGAATAGCACTGAACAGCTACACCTGACAGTCGATCGATGTGGCCAAAGCTGGTTAATGCTTTGAAATTTAAAGAAACCAACCAGTCAAATAATAAGCTTTGCCAATATCTTTCGGCTGATGGTATATCGGGCTGATTTGGATAATTTCCCCCAAAATATATTTTCTACCTCATAAATGGACCTGTTTAACAACAAACGGGATGAGAGAGTATTTGACTGGAAACTCCAACAAGATATGTATAATGTATGTTTCCAGAATATGCCAACCAATGACACCATTATGTACTTTTTTGAGTAATGAAAGAAACCCGCGTTTAAACACATAACACAGTGTGGTTTATGAAATTCTACAGTTTCTCTCTCACCTTTTTCCGGGGCTGCCATTTCATCATATTTGAATGACAGGTGAGTCTGTGAACAAGTGCTAATCCTGCGTACGGCCCCACTGGTCTGGAGCCGTCTCTGAGAGCCACGAATGCATCTCAAGTCCACAAGGCTCCTAACCCAGTGAGGAAAAAAAAAAAACTTGTAACACAGCGGAACAAGGCTACGTTTTCCTTGATATAATCCCAAAAGCGAACAGGCTCGGCTTAGCTGTGCTCCAGAGACGCGCTGGTCAAGAAGAAAGGTGCAAACGGCGTGTGTAACGGAACATCTCTCCATTTGTCTGCTCTTTGAACTGTATCATCTCTGCTGCTGCCAGACTGTGAGCCCAAAACACAGCATCTCCACCACAACTCCAGTGTCCCCTCCCACTCCCTCTCTCCCAGTCAGCCTCACACTCACGAGTACACAGGCATGCTTACTTATAACATCAGCACTTCACACAGCAGATTTCACTTTTTCAGATTCATCCTGGCTGTAATCAAAAATGAGTAATTTTGCTTATTTTTTATGCTAGAAGTATAGATTTTATTTTAATTTAGTATGGAGTTATAATTCATATTTTGTGTTGT